TCCGGTTTATACGTTCGGTTATACCGTTTTATTTTAGTATATAAAAAGTTATAAATTTAAAAATAATCCTTTTTTCGGTTAAATAATTTTCTAATTTAACTAAAAAAAAATTTTTATCGTTATTTATACGAATAATATTCGGATATTTTCCGAATTAGGTTTTATAATATTCGATTTTATTTATTATAATATCGAATATATCGGATTTTTTTTAAAAAATTTAATTTCCCGAAATCCGGTTTTATTATCCGTAAAATTAATTATATATTTATAACTAAAATAGCTAAAAAAGGTAATATAAACCGTATCGATATAAATACGATATAACGGTTTATTAGCCTTATTCGGATTTATATAAGGTTAGTTTTAGGTAAATTTACCCGAAATATAGGATTTGTAATTTAAATCCTTTTTTTTAATTTTTTTTAGGAATCCCCGTAATTATTTTAGCTATTTTAGCTAAAATATTATAACTAAAATAGCTAAATCGTTTATGCTATTTTTCCGTAATTATAAAAAAATTCGAATAATTAGAAATTAATTCGATTTCCTTGAAATCTATGGTTTCGTTAAATTTTATATCCGAATTCGGTTCCGGATAATTTAAACCGATTATACGGGCTTTTTTTATTATTTTTAATAAATTTATAGCTAAATATATTATATTAAATTTTAATTTATTAATTAAATATAGGAAAAATTTACGTTTTTTTTAATTTAACGTAATAAAAAGCCTATTTTTAAAATTATATAATTTATTCCCGTTTATAATACCGCCTTTTTAATAATATAATTAGCCGGATATAATATTTAGCAGAAATTCCGGTATGTAAAACACGTTTAATAACGTTATTTTACGTATTTCCCGGTTAATTTTAAAAAAAAGCGTAATATTTCTAATTCCTTTTAAAAATATTTTTCTATTACTTATAATAATCGGTAAAAAATCCGATTTTATAATAAAATTATCGAATAAATGCTTATTATTCGATATATACTTTAAGGAATTAATATTATATAATTACTAATCTTTAGGAACGAAGGTTAATCTTTTTTCGATTTATTCGAAATATTCGAGAAAATATAAAACGATTTATCTTCGTCCAAATTTTTATTACGGGATAAATTTTCCCGTTTTTTAAATTTCTAATTTATAATAAATATAATCGAATTTAAATTATTTAACTTATTCGAATTATTCGAATTATTAAAATTATTCGAATTATTCGATTTTTTTTTATTCGATTTATTCGAATTCTTTTTATTTCCGCTTTAGGTTCCCTATTAATTCTAATTGGATCGGGGGAACCGGGATTTTTTATTATCCGTATAATAAGAATTTCCTATAGCCGTATCCGGATTCCGTCGGTTTTTATTTAAAATATCCGTAATTAACCCTTTAAAAATAAATAAATTTATAAACCGTAAAATATTACGGTAACGGTTAGCCTATATAAGGTAAGCTAATTAAAAAGCTATAATAAAAATCGTTTTTTAATCGATATTATCGATTTTAGCTTTAACGCTTAAAAGCTTTAAAATATATTTTTTAAAAATAAATATAAATTCGTTTAATAAATTATAATTTTCGAATTTTATAATATAAAATTCGAAATATAATTACTAACGTAATACGGGTTTAGTGCCTTAATAGGCTAATTATAAAATCGATAAAATTTTATATAAATTTATTTTATCGAATATTAAATTTAACGGTTTTATTATTAAATTTTAACGAATTAAAAGCAATGCCTAGGCTTTTTAAATATCGGTTATACCGTTATATATATCGGTAGTTTTAAAAAACCGATCGATTCCTAATAGTTTAAAATATAATTATAACGTAAATTTCCACGTATTCCAGTTTCCGGATCCGGAGAGTTTTTATTTCTCCGGTATCTAGCATCCGGCAATAATACGGATAAAGTTATTTATTTTGCCGAATTTTTGCCGTTATAACGGTATAATTATCGTTAAAAACGGTAAAAGAATCGTAAAAAAAATAAAAATAAAAGAAATTAAATTTTTTTATTTTATCGATAAAATATATAAAAGGATTTAGGTATTATAATATAATATAATAAATGCTATAGGGTGCTATAGCAGATCGGCTATTATAATAAGGATTAATTATAAATAATTTTATAGCCGTTATATAGTTATAACGGGTAAAATTATTATAATTAGCTATTTAACTATAGTTTTTAATATAATTACGGTTTATATAAGCTTATATATAGGCCTATAAAAAATCGGCTATTATAACGGAATTCTAAAATTTACGTTAAATTAACTCGTTTAGGAAAGCGGCTATAATTTTCGATATAAAATCCGGTTCCTAATATAATCGATATTATATCGGACCGGGCTTATAACCTATTTTAAAATATAATTAATAAATTATAAATTTAGGCATAAAAAAGCGTTTATATAATTCGTAAAATTAAGCCGTAAAAAATAGTTATAAAATTATATAACTAATTTATTAAAATTTAAAAAAAAATAACTAATTACGAAAAAATAACTACCTTTTATATTTATAAAATTAACCGATAAAAATATTTTAAAATATATTACTAATAAATTAAATTTATAATTAAATTAATTAATAATAAAATTAATTTATAATCGAAGAAATTATCGAAATTTATAAATTTTTATAATATAAGTTACCTTATAACCTAAGGTTATTATAACTAGGTGTATTAATTATATTTAATAGGGTTAAATTTAATAAAACGTTTTATTAAATTTTAATAAATTCTAATAGCTATAATAGCCATAATAATTAATTATAATAATTTATTAATTATATAGTATTATAAATAATAGCTATAAATAGTACTATATTAATTATAGGTTAATACAGGGTAAATTTTACTGATTTTTTATATATCGTTATTTAACGATATTTTAATAGGTTTTATAGCTGTTATAACGATATAATATGCGTTATAAAGCTAATTTTATGCATTATACGATGCTGTATTAACATCCGTGCAACAAAAATTAAATAATTATTAGCTTAGGATAAAAATTATAAGTTCGGATTTAAATTATAAGATAAAAAAGAAAAAATACCGTATAATTAAATATTTTAAATATAAAACGCTTATATAAAAATTCGGATAAAAAAATTATTTATATATTTAAAAATATATTTTATAATTTATTATTTTATAATTCGTATTAAATATTATTATAATACCTAATTTTTATTATATACCGTTTATATCCGTATTATTAATATTATAATAATGCTAACGCTATATAAATATTTATATTATAATTATATAATTTTATTTATTTTTCGCTTAAATATATTTAAATATATTTTTTTCTTTTAAAAAGTAAGCTTATTTGCTTATAATTTTTATTATATTTTTTTAAAATAAAATCGTATTGCTTTTTAAGCTTTTTTTTCGGGTATTTGCTTAAAAACTTTCGAATAAAGCTATTAAATCTGCTTATAGCTATATTTTTAATAATTTTCTTTTTATATTTAGCGTTTAATATTATTAATAAATGCTAAAATTAAATATTATAAGCCGTAAATATATTAAGGCGAAGCGTATATTTCGTTTTTATGCCGTTATAATAATAATTAAAATATAAATTTTTAATAATATTTACGCCGGCTAAAATATATTTAATTATTAGTTTTGCATTATTTGTTTTTTAATATTAATTATAATAATTTTAATTGCTATTAGCGATATATTTGTTCGAAAAAATAAATAAATAATATGCTATAGTTATAGCGTATTTAATTTCGGTAAAATATATTTTAATAATTTTATTTTTTTAACTCGCTTATTTCGCTTAATTTTAAATATAAAAAAACGCTAAACGTATTAAAAAAATAAATTTAGTATAAATTATATAAATAATATATAAAAATATATAATTAAATATTTAAAAATATATTGCCTAATATTTAAATTTATATATTTAAATATTTATAAATATATTATTAAATATTTAAATATATATAGCTAAATATTAATAAATATATAGCTAGGTATTTAAAAATATATAAAAATATATTTAAATATTACTAAATTAAATAGCTTAAAAATATTTAAAAAATATAGGAAAAATTAATTAAAAATTAAATAAAAATATTTAAAAATGCTTTAAAAATATTAATATCGGTAACGTATTAAAAAAAAATATATTTTATTATATATTTATTAAATAAATATTAAGCATTATTAAATTTATATTATCGAAGCTAATCGATAATTTATATTATATAATCGAGGTTAATTTTATAAGCTTTAAAGCTTATAAAAACTTTAGCTAAAGCCGTATTTTTTTATTTAAAGGCCGAAAAGGGTTTAACGTCGTTTTTTAATTCCGGTATATTTACGGTAAATATAACGGTAATTATTAAATTAAATTAGGTTTAAAATAAAAAAAACGCGCGGAAAAAGTTACCGATAAAAATAAGCCTTTTTAATAAGGCTTAATTAAATTTAAAAATTTTTAATTAATATTTATATAAACGCGCGTATATTAAAATAAAGTTCGGAAATAATACGGCTTACGCGCGGGATAAAAATAATATATAATATAAAAAAAATATAAAATAATATTAGCGGTTTATAACTAAATAAAAAAAATATAACTAATTTAATAAATAAAATTTATAAATTATAAACGCGATTAGGAAAAAAAGGATTATATATTTACCGAAATTTCGAAACCGGGTAAACCCGTATCCGTTAGGACCGCGGGATCTATGTAATAAAGGCAGGTGGGGCAAAATTTATTTTGTTATAAACTGAGCTCTGAACCGTCGTAAATAACATTGGCCAACGATTGCGATATGAAAAATCTGACAGCTGGCACCAGTTCCATACCCACATTCACCTTTCTGCGAGCTTCATGACAATAACCAATTGTCTCTCTCCAAGGAAACCCAAACAGCAACAGCCCCTCTCATTCTGCCATACCCAAATTTCATACTTGGCTATATCTTGAAGAAATACAGAAACATGGCCCCCTCACCATTGCCAAAGTATGTCTACAAGATCATACCCTCGGCTCCCCCCACGCCCATTCCGGACCAGTACCCACTCTCGGACCTTGACAAGGCAGACGGCTTTGTGCACTTGAGCACGGCGAGCCTGGTAAGACTTTCCATAATCACTAGGATTGATTAGTCTATATACGCAACTATAATGGCAAATCAAGAGCACCTGAAGACTGGTTTCGGCATCGCTCTTTTATTCACTACTACATACTCCTTCTTCATACATTATCATATGCTCATCCTGGCGAATAAAATCTGACAAGTAGTATTAGATCCCAGAGACACTCTCCCTCTTCTTTCAGTCGGCTTCCAGTGTCTGGATCTTCAAACTACGCTTTACTTTTACGGACAAGGTCACTTATGAGAACGGTGATGGCTACCCGCATCTTCATGGCAACTTTGGCGCTGCCGATATTGAGGATACAAAGGAGTTTACCCGTAGTGAGGGACAAGACTGGAAAGCGGCAACGAAAAACTACGCAGAATGGCTAGTTTAATAATCATGGGCATGGTCAAGCCTGTCAGCTGCCGGTAATACAATGTTCTGATTGAGATTCTTCCTGGTTCAAATGTGAAATCAAAGCAAAGACAAGGTTCAATTCTTTGACTCTAGAGTTTACACATAGCGTCCAGAGAGCTGCCTTGTTATTACTCAGATTCTGGATTGTATCCTTGGAGCTCATAGGCGGGCAAGCGGCGGTGCTAAGCACGCTTCGCCTTTTTGCCTCCAACATAGGTCCATCCCTCTTCCGGGGAGGTGAGTACTCCGTTATCTGCAATGGTCCAGCCGGCTGCTCGCAGGTTTCTCCATTCATTCCTGACTTTGAGCCGCACTAGCTCTCCGGCAGCTCTGGCATCCTCAGCACTGTCGTGGCCCTGAATCCCATTGTCATTATTGGATGTGACCTGAATCTTACGACCCAGCATGGTTTCTGTCAGCCACTTCAAGCCATTACGAATGGGCAATCCACGTTTGTGCGGATAAAGAAGGATGCTGTCTACAATGATCGGATGTACAACTCTGAGAGCATTCAGATCATTCTCCAGACCATGTCCGACGAGAGGCGTCTCTGGTGATATAAGGCTGAATAAGAGATCTCGTGCATCCTTGGGTGATGGTACTATCTTCAATTTTCGCTGCGGGGGCTTTGAATCATCTGATGAAGGGATAATTGTGGGTGTAGCATCATCGCCAGGCTTCCAGCGCTGAGCCTCGGCCATGTCTTCAGGCCGGACACCAGAATAACGTGTGTTGAGATCAATGTACTCGCCAACCGGATAGACGAGAACATCCAAGAGTTCGTCACCGGAGGGCCAAGATACGGCCGTAACTCGAATGAGTTCCATTCCATACACAGTGTAGCCCATCTCGCAATCAAAACAGACAGCTCTATCTTTTGGCGCATTGGGGTTCGGAGGCGTCTCAGCAAACTGGAGAACGCTTCCCAGTCTGTTGGGATCTGTCGTCTTGAAAACGTGGTGTTTACCTGTCTCGCAACCGTCTGTATCTCCGACGGTTTGGTCGCAGCAACGCCATTTCTTGGGCGACGAAGAGCGGTCACCAGATGGGCCTTCGATGAAATAAGTCTTGCCAGGATGATGAACACATGGGCCGCCCGACGCCAGTGCGCCGTCTTCCTCTCTGCGTCCAGGGAAGACTGTGAATCTGCGTGTACAACGATCGCATAGTTCAATGTTGCCCGATGCCTCGACTGCCCGTCTTGCCTTCTCAACGTCTTCGTCCTTGGGTACGGTAGAAACATAGCCAAATTGTTCCAGGCCAGTGAGAGGAGAACAAAGTCGTGACAGAAGATTGACTTCTTGAATAGGGGTTAGGCCTGTATCGATGGTCTTGGGTGTCTCCTTGGGGCGTGAAATGTCACCCGAGGCCTTTTCCAAAGTCTCAGCCCTCTCTTTCTTCCACTGCTCTAGTGACATCTTCTTATATCGCATGATTGTGTTTTTGACTACATTGCCGTGTATTGATGGCTTAGTAATAGCTGCGCGCTCTTCTTCATCTAGCGCCTTGATGATGAGTTGTTGCTGAGACATGATTAAAGGGGATTCGTCACTTGTGGCCGCTTTCTTGAGCTCATTATTGAGGCGCTCGTACTGAGCATGAAGCAGCTTGACAAGCTGTAAACGGATGTTATGTGATGCAGGGGCCTTTGCCAGGTGTCTAGGGTTGAGGGTTTCTGGCTTTGCTGGTACAGTCTTGGTTGGTGGTCGTGTTGCAGCGGCGTTGGATGTTTTCTGAGACGCTGCACTGGAATTTGCTGTTGTCTGAGATGGGAGTGCACTGTCATTCTTGGCCCCGGCGGTTGCGACCAGAGCATCAGTCCTCTGAACAGGCGTCCTCCGGGAAGGCGGTGGCGAGATAGGTCTCGTGCTGAGGCTCGTGGCCGCCGTCACCACCGACGTATTGTCCGGAACCCGTGACTTGGCCGCTGTGGATCCCAATACCTCCGGAGTGGCTGACTTGGCATCTGGTGAGCTTGTTGACAGCTTGACCCGCTTCCTCGGACTGGAGTCGACCTTTACAGAGGAGGACGAGTTGTTATCGTTGCCACCAAAAGATTGGGCTGGCTTTACAGCCTCGTCTGTCGCGACTGCAGGATCGTTGGGGTGCTTGAAGAGACATTGAAAGGCAGTACAATTGCTGCCAGCGGGACAAGGCAGGTTTTTGAGCATGCCCAGAGAGGCTGCCATGACGAAAAGAACGACGAAAGTAAGCAACACCACTTCACAAATAGAATGCAGCATCCACGATTGCCGTGGGTGTTGGATGATGAATGGGTGGGTGTTGTTGAATCAGTAGAGTGACGGACGGATCCACGCGGATCCAAGCTTGTTGTTGGCTGCAAGTGGTGTACTACCTGGCTGGCGTGGCGGACAAATCAACACGAATGAGAAGTCTAATTTCACTGCACCTTCCAAGGATTCAAATCATCAAGGCGAGGAAAGGGGGTTACTGCCTCAATTGTTGCCCATTGCAGCCGTAATGTCTATACTGGTGTCGTGGCAGGTTTATATGTGCTGTCGGAAACTCGAGGTTTGGCCTTAAGAACTAACCGTGCGCTGCTGCAGTTTGTAAGAGCTGATTAGGCGCAAGGGTACCCAGAGCTTTGCATATTCTGCACGCAGCCCAGCAAGGACGGTTCCAGTTGACTGCGATGATAAGCAAACGGCAACGTTTTTGAGTATGTTTTGGCTCGATTTGGCATATCTTATACTATATCTATCTATCGTCTGGTTGCCCTTTGAAAGGTATTGTGAACATTCAACTCGGCGACCTGCATCAGTCCAAAGATACATCGAATCAGTGTATTATTGTAAGTTCGAGGTATGCTGATCTCGACGAGCTGGCATAAAAAGTAAAAGGTGCAGTTTCGAAATTCTTACTGAATTGAATGAATCTGCCTAAAAAGTTACTCGACTTCTCACTGATGTGAATGGAGTGAGCGCCACCTCTACATACGACACTTGTTTCTCCTATTAGACCAAGCGTGTAACGTGCTAGAATTCAATGTGCACGCATCATAGTAGTACATGGACTGGAAGAAAATGGGTAGTCTTAGGAATCTTGATTAGGCTGAGGTAAATTTTTTTTTTCCGTCAACTGGCAACTCGTCACTTGATGACATACTAAATGACAGGTACATTCCCAAGCCTCCAACACCGTAGTGTAGGTAATGCTCAGAACCGAGATGATAACTTCGTAGCACCACCACCATTCGATGGACCTTGGGACCAACTGTCTGCGTATGGAGTGAAATCCACCCCTAGCTTGCAAGTTGGTGTCGTCACCCACCTGCAGCCTACAATTCAGCTAGCCGCCTTGCATTTGGTCACAGCCATGAATGTCCAGTATGATACACGTACGAGCTGCCGTGTGTACGTTGATGCTGCCTGGCTGCTGGGTGCCTAGGCCCTGGGCATGGGCAATGTATGGGTAAGGGGTGCATGGTAATAAGGGGTTATCAGTGCGCTAAAGATCTGGTCTGCGGGTGCAAGGGTATCTGGTATCAACTTCCTGCAACAAGAAGTCTACCACGACCTATTGTATACTAGGGAGGACAATTGGTACTTAAGGTAGCTTATCTTTATCGAGGTGGATAATGTCCTAAATCAACTTTTGTATTCCGTAGTTGTCCATTAACCAAAGCGCTTCTCAAGATTTCCTACATTATATGTGCTTTGAGTTGTCTTTTCAGTGCAATCCTATTCTTAGGGCGCTCGAAACTATATAGGGACATGAATGTAGCAGGTACCTACCTTAGTGGCTTGCGCGACTTAAGGCTGCGGAGCCCACTGAAGAAATGTTGAGGTCTGGTTCTCTTCCCAGTCTAGGTTGCAGCTTTCACGGGCAATCGCCAACCTCGGGGCCCGAAACCCATCTCATCTCACTTAAGTCCGGTCGTCATCCATCAACCCTTTGTGCGAATGCGATTTAAGACCTGTGGCGCGCTATGGTCGTCCTGGTCGTCTGTCGCTTTGTTGACTGACAGACGACCATTGGGCCATAACAATTTCGTCTCTTCCCACCCCCATTCCAAATCCTTTTGCTCCTGTCCAGCTCTCTCCAGTCCCCGAACTCTGCCAAGATCGCGAGCTCCCACTTCTGAAGACGTCATGGAATACACTGGCGGAGGCACCACTGCGGAACACCTTTGTGTCCTCGTACATGGGGTATGCTCGCTCACCCTTTCTCCCCTCCATCTGCGCTGAGCTCCATGTCAAGACTAACTCTGAGTTCCGAACATGTAGCTATGGGGAAACCCCAACCACATGAGAAGTGTCGCCAAAGCCTTACGAGAAGAACATTCGGCCGACAAGCTCTACCTGCTAGTTGCCAAGCGTAATACGGGTAGCTTCACCTACGACGGCATTGAGCGAGGTGGCGAGCGCGTCTGTCTCGAGATCGAGGAGGAACTCGAAACGATCAAGAAGAAGGGCGGCAAGATCACGAAGCTCAGTCTCGTGGGATACTCTTTGGGAGGGCTTGTTGCGCGTTATGCAGTTGGTCTGCTTGGCGCCAAAGGAATACTCGACGAGATCGAGCCTGTCGTAGGTACACTCACGCCGTCAAACGAATATTCCCGCTCAACCTTGCGGTACAGAATTTTACCACATTTGCGTCTCCCCATTTAGGAGTCCGAACCCCACTACGAGGATGGCACAATAACGTGTGGAATGTGCTGGGGGCTAGAACACTTTCAATGTCTGGGAGACAGCTTTTTACGATTGATAACTTCCGGGACACTGGCAAACCGCTGCTCTCAATCATGGCCGATCCCAGATCCATCTTCATGGCAGGGCTCGCCAAGTTTAAGCGCAGAACGCTCTACGCCAATGTGGTGAATGACAGAAGCGCGGTCTATTACACGACCGGCATTGCCAAGACCGACCCTTATACAGATGTTAGCAAAATCAAGGCCAACTACGTGCCGGGCTACGACGATGTGATTCTGGACCCTTCGCATCCAGTATCTCCTCTTACGCCCAAGAACGAGCCAGTGAGTCTCGTCTCCGTGAAAGAGACGGCTGTCAGCTATCTCAAGAACACTCCTGTCATTGTGTTCTTGGCTGTGTTCATTCCTGTTGGAATCATTGGCTACTTGATCAATTCCGTCATTCAGAATTTCCGCAGCTCCAAGAGGATCAAGCTGTATGAAAGCGGCCAGGAGGGCATCCAGCCCGAGAACTATCGTGTGCCTGTCATGATCAAGGAAATACGTGGGGCCGTCGAGGACGTCTACGAGAACTTGAATAGCTCCCAGCATCAGCAATATCTCGCGCCATCCGATTCGGAAGGAGATGATTCTGATCTTGACGATGGCGAAAGGCGGACTCTCAAACTTGAGCGCAGGCAGTCACATCCCCAATGGCCAACACTGGCGTTAGCACCATGTCAGTTCGACATGGTGCGGGCTCTTGACGATCTCGGATGGCGAAAGTATCCGGTATGGATTCACAAAGTGCGTCACAGCCACGCGGCGATCATTGTGCGGTCGGAGAGGCCAGCGTTCTCCGAGGGCTACATTGTTTTTAAGCATTGGTTGAAAGAAGAGTTTCTGATTTAACAGAGGTGAGCTTAGGAAGTAGAGGCGCCTGGTAGCATAGCGAACGGTGTGATTTAAAAAGTTCTTGATTTAATTCTCCAGCCAGCGCAGATAGATCCCTTGTGGAATGATGCGTGGGGGAATGATAGCTTAATATATAGGCTTGGGTATGACCGTGGAATCCGGGGAGAGGATTAGCAAGAGTTCAAGCTCCGCTAGAGCGTCATGCCTGAGATTCATTTTACTTCTCAGAAACTTCCCCTCTGAACGGAGAGGTTACACTGGGCATGGCCGAAAGGAAAATCTCTACAACATATCTGGAAAGGATTGGCGGCTGAATATTCTGGACATAGATGTATGTTACCACAAAACACACTGACGTATTTAAGGATGTATTAATGGTCTGGCAAGACATTCCTTGGCGGACCAACGTTGATTGAATTTATTGACCATCAACGTAAATATTTATATCAAGACTGTACATTGCATACCAAATAGAGCATCACAGACTTATTTGGGACTTGAAATGTAACTTTGTTTAATCTCATGCCAAACCTATTGCAATGAGGCACCTGCAATATTCCCAGCAATCACACAAAATGCACTAAACCCAATGTGTATGTGCCAGGTTCAAACCTCAAGTATCCAATCCACATTAGCTCATTGGACGGGAGCTCTAGCGGGTTTCCGTAGTTGGCAATCCGGGGATAGCACAAAGGGTGGAGCCGCAGACGCAGGGTCTAGGCAATGGAACCAATGATTGCGACCTCCCGAAAAGCTGTAGCATGCGTGAACCTTTTTTCTTTCCTTTGTTACTTCTTCTCGTTGAGACTCGGTGATACGTGTCGGTCACGATCGTTTGTTAGCAGCGGGCGTACCGTACCCATTTTGGAACGAGTAGAGCATGAGGATATCACGATTGGCGCAAGATACGACAAAACTACACGGCACCATGCCGGCAGCACCAGTTTCGCCACCTCGTCGCATCACCCGCGGTTCACTGGCTCGATTTGCCTACAGTGACGGAACCTCTTCAAAAGAAAATGTGACACCTTCAATCACTGACATTGAAGATGCCGTGGTGTCGAATGCCACGGTTGCCAGCACCACGCGCAAACGAAAACGGGTCATCAAGTCATCGCCGCCGACGTCTGTCAAGAAAGAGGAGGTCCTCAAAGAAGAGGAGACGACGATAACAGACAGCAAGCCTGCCGCAACTCCTCGAAAGGCTCGAAAGCCCGCCCGGAAGATTTTCGATCCTGCAACCAAAACGGAGACGATATCGGCCCCCTCCGACTGGGAGGAGATGTACGACCTCGTGAAAGCCATGCGCCTGGACGGCGGGCCGGCCGCCAATGCCGCCGTCGACACCATGGGCTGCGAACGGCTGGCGGCGCCGACGGCGTCTCCGCGGGACCAGCGTCTGCACACGCTGGTGGCGCTGATGCTCTCGTCGCAGACCAAGGACACGACCAATGCCGTGGCCATGCGGCGCCTACAGACGGAGCTGCCGCCGCACGAGCCGGGCGCGCCGCCGGGCCTCAACCTCGAGAACCTACTGGCGGTGGCGCCCGAGAAGCTCAACGAGCTGATTTGGATCGTGGGGTTCCACAATAACAAGACCAAGTATATCAAGCAGACCGCCGAGATCCTGCGGGACCGCTGGGACGGCGATATCCCCGATACGATCGAGGGGCTGACGGCGCTCCCCGGCGTCGGCCCCAAGATGGGCTATCTGTGCTTGAGTGCGGCCTGGGGCAAGACCGAGGGTATCGGCGTCGACGTCCACGTCCACCGTATCACCAATATGTGGGGCTGGCATACCACCAAGAACCCCGAAGAGACGCGCCTGGCGCTGCAGAGTTGGCTGCCGCGCGACCGCTGGCGCGAGATCAATTGGCTGCTCGTCGGCTTTGGTCAGACCGTTTGTCTCCCCGTGGGCCGACGCTGTGGCGACTGCGAGCTCGGTTTGCGAGGCCTGTGCAAGGCGGCCGAGAGAGGCAAGGTGCTCAAAGGCAGGAAAGAGCGGGAGACCAAGATCGAGGTGGGCGAGGATGGTGACGTGGTCAAGGCGGAGATTGTAGAAAAAGAGGAAGTACTGGTAGCAGATGTCGTCAAGAACGAGGCAGTCGAAACTGGTGCTGTTTTGGTCAAAGAGGAAGGGTCGGACGAACTCAATTTGCCCACACCAGCCAAAAGAACGAGGAAAAGAATATAGTTTATTTGTGCCTCGGCATATGTAGCAAAAATTAAAAGGTTATACTGTACCGTTGACTGGGATCGTACACCGCATACACTTTCGGATGCATGAGGGACGCCATCGAAACTACTGTCTGTGGTTTTCTGCGGTCCATGGCACGTGGTAGAAACGTCACTTGAATAAAGGTTGAGCAAAAAAGTATGCAGAATTCTGTTGAGATGCGCAGTATATACATGGAGAGAAACCTCACAGACAAGCGTCTGAGGACTCGCTCCCCGAGACTGGTCTTATATCGAAATCCATTCCGCAGGCTCAAGTAGCCAAACCTCTTGGCACCAAATCGCAAACGCAATCGCAGACCGCCGGCACCCGCCGCGCAAAAGTGCAAAAAGATTCAAACCATCGCAGTGCTGTGTCGAAAATGACAAGTCCTGATTATCCGGTACGCCATGCAAGAAGAAGCAGGTAGAGGTGTGGGTGTGAGAGAGTATGTGGCTCGATAAGACGGCTTTTGTCTTTGTCGAGAAATCGGAGCTTCTCCGTCGCGCGGTAAATCGACGGGAAGCGTAATCGGGTGCGAATCGTGGAATTCGATTGTAGATACGTGTGGATGTAGATCACCGATGCTGGTGGATCATTTGCCGTTGGCGGAATAAGACTATGCGACCTTGATGGTCTGCGTGCGCTCCTGGTTCAGCTGGGCAGCGTTCTGGGCGTGGGCTTCCTTCCTGCACTGTTATTCCCAAAATCATGGTTAGCATTTGGTTCTTCAGCGGAATGCGTGCAGCGATGTCTCCCATCTCGGTGGACCGCCGGCGATAACCAGATCAGTCGGTACTTACGTCATCCAGGCCGGAGCATGTGTGATCCTCGGGCAATCGGTGCTTTGCGCAGAACTGGCGCTGGCAGAAACCGCAATCGCCAAACATTCTTTGAACGGCCTCCTTGCAGTCGTTGTGCTTGCAGCGAATCTTCTTGGGAGCCATGTTGTTGATGATGTTGGTGTTGGCGATGATGTGTTGTCTGTGATGGGTGGTTGGGAACGACGGGTGTGATGATGATGATGCACTATCGGTGGTGACAAGGAAGCGGGCTGACGTCTCTTTGTTCGTCGATGGATAACGTAGTCGTCAGTCAAGTTGATGGATGGGAAGGATGGAAGGGAGAAAGAGAGGTCAAAGATGGAACTGAGGCGAGGCAGGGTCAGCGGGATCAGTCTATATTTAAACGATGGCAAACAATCGGGTAGGTGGATCGGTTGAGGGCCTCGGGCCTGGGCGTTTGCGACAATGGGGGTGAGTGAATGAATGTCGACTTACATAGGTTAATCGATCACACGATGCGGCGTGCTAAGGCGAAATTAGATGACGGGGTGTTCGGGGTCGTCTCGCGGCCCAAGGGTGCAAGTTAAGGGTCAATGGCCAGTTATATCCGCCTCGGGTCTTGTGCACTTGGATCGCCGGTATGTATCAAGATGGCAGGAAAGCACTAGAATCACGGAACACTTTGCGAACTGGGTCCTCAAGGGAGGGAGGGAGAGAGGCTGAGAGGCTGACAAGTCCTGGTTGGATTGGTAATAAGACTTTAAGAGATTTCTTGCTGCTTCTTCTTTCTGCTAATCAGAAAATTTCGGTTTTGCCAGTTTGCTTGTGCCTGTAGTAGTGATTACCACATGAAAAGCAGCAATGTAGCAAGAATGACTGACACAAGTCAGTCGCTGCGTTGGCGCTGTTCAGTTGCAGTACGTATCTCGGCACGGACGAGGCGACAAGCCAGGGTCCTGGACCACGATGACGACGTATTGCTGCTGACTGACTGGGGACTCAAAGGACAAGGCGGCTCCGAAAACGGGAGGCGAGACGATACGGAATCAAGCGCTAATTCGGATCGACGGGGCAGATTAGAGAGAGAGAGAGACGGGCAATGGGCGTTTTCTTTTACTGGTGAAAAAGACTGGCTCTTTGGTTCAAAACGGAAGCAGGCGATACGTATCTGATGGCTGGCTGGCCACAGTACTACTAGCTAGTACTCTGTAGTATGTATGTCGGTAACAACCAACAGGCACTTTGCTTTGATTGATGAATCCGTCCAGACCTCGCTTCTGTCTGGTCTGATCTGGGGGAATGTTTTGCGTTGGCTTGCAGCTGAAAAGATATCTGGCCAGAACCAAATAGTCCCGTCTCGGCGCAAAAGCAACGATTTTTTATTTTTTATTCGAGGCTGGGAGTGTTTATGTCAACGTCGGCTCCCTTTTTTTTTTTTTTTTTTTGTTCAATGCTCCTTGCTTGGTATGTATAATGTATCTAATTTGCATGCGGACTTGGGCGAGACAAGAAAACAAGAGCCAAGGACGTTTTGGAAAGAGGCTGGGATAGTCAAACAACAAACGTGCTGGAATGAGTCGTCCTCTAATAAATAACAACCAATACTTTTGCCAACTAGCAAGCTCTCACCTATCTCCGTACTTGCCATACGAATCCAGCCAGGCTTGTGGTTGCCAACACATCATCCAATCTAGACCACCCCTGTCTCGACTACCGAGCTATCGACGGCTTCGTATCTTGTCCTCCTCTCGTGTCGTGTCGTTCGTTGAGTCTCCTCCCTGCCGTCCGGCACAACATTTGTCGGCCGCGATAGCCGTCGAGTTTGCGAGGTAGCGCTCGCAGTCACTTGCCGGTTTCTGACGAGAGGACACACGCTTGAGGAAGCAAGGTCCGTCTTTCTTCGCTCGTCAAAGGGAAAATCCCCGCGACTATCGAACGGGGGTGCTTTGACGGGGGACCCGGTCTTTCCATCTGGACGTTCCGTAAGTTGGGTCATGTGGTTGCGTCCCGGGAGCATCCTGGAGATTCCGCGTTCCGCAGTACCTAAACACCTAGTCCCCAGCAGTCCAGTCTATCCGGGTACGTACATTTATTACTGCAGTCTGCTACCAAGAAGATAAGATTGCATCTCTCAATGCCATGCCAGCCTTTACTTTCTACGCATACCCCGTACGACATGATCCAAGCTGGAATTTTACTACCGCCGAATCTGTGCACAGGGAGCTGATGATCATTTCCGATCCTACATCTTGGTCAACTTTATGGCGATCAGCTCCTTCATCTACACTATCACTTCTCACACTTGGCTCTGGTGAAGAGGGACAACTGGTTCTCCAGTCAATCGCCGTCCCTGCGCCAGTTAGTAACCATATCGCAATATCGCGTGACACGATTCCCACGCCAATGCCCCGTGGACAATGTGCATCAATTGGGCAGCAGCTGCCGGGCGAGCTGTGCTGAACTGCTGCTGAAACCGGGCGACTACTGCACAAGCCACAGGGCAAATCGGTGCCGGGTGTTGTTTGAGTCGTGAGACTTGGGGAAAATGGCGGCTCGGGTCCGCCTCGTCTCACCTTCATGGTATTTTGATTATGGCTAATGCACAGCTCCCGCGTTCTGTGCTCGTCTAGAACAGTTCACCGTGACCTGCATTGCAGGCCTGGCATTGCTCAATTAAAGCGATCATTTACCCGGACTCTCAAGTTGCACTTTTGCTGAGCCTGTGCGGAATGTCATCTCAATATTCCGTACCGGTTCTTGAATGCAGATCTTCAACTCGCAGTAACGACTATTACACTTACACGACTAGATCCACTCGAGCTCGAATGAAAACCTGACTCGAAGGATGAAATTCGCCACGGTCAAACAACCACAAAGCTTCCTGACTCGTACACTCTAGCTTGAGCGCCGGGACACCCGCAAGTGCATATGTCGGGCCCGGTTCGAGATTGCCATGGGCTATAGTTTATTTTTCGTCACGTAATTGTAGACATTTGAAAGAGCATTCAAATATGGTGCAGCTGGCCTCTACAACTGGAGATACACGTCAGCCATCTCATACCTACTCGATCCAACATTTGAGATCCTGGACTGGTCTCTGCTTTACAGTCACGCAATTGTGCAAGTCACAATCAGCAACTACAAGCGCGGCAGAACTCCAACTCCGCATAAGAGAAGATCACACTTATCAATCTGTACCAGTGGAACAATTCGTATCGCCCCCCCTTAAAGGCTTTTGATCATGAGGTCAGTTTTTTATCTGGCCCAGACCCCGCTAAGGATACATTACCTATCTTAGATTCTTAGGTGTCTAGTCTAGCAGCTAGGTATCGCGGCCGGGGTTTTAGTCTACCATTTTACCGCCTGCAACTGCGCTAATAGTGCTAGCACCCGCTCCAGTTTCTCACTATTACAGATCGCTGTTCGTCGTGGATGAGCATCATACACTTTTATCATCCTTCATTGTGAGTTGTCCAATATCCAATTTAATGGATAGGTCTTATATCCTCGTAGATAAAGTTATATACTTGAATTCATATGTCATTACTGATACATATTCTATTGCTTTGAATCCGGCTGAACTTGAAGGTGACATGGTAAAAGGTCATAAAGGATAGATAAGCCTGATTGACAGATATACACTTACTAAACAGGCAATACATGGACTGAAATGGGCTTGGTGGCATTTTCAGTTTCATCTCTGATATTATAGTGAATACCACACGAATGTTACCCGTCCAACATCCATTAGTATAGCAAAGAGTCTTCTTGCCTATTGTTCATATTGCTAGAGGGCGGGATTGATTCCACGTATAGTGCTCAAGATAGGAACCTACGAGATATTAGATAACAATTGACAATTTACGGAGTACCAGGTGCAGCCAAAGAGTCTTTTACAATCTTTATTTGTTTTGGTATTGGCTGAAGATACAGGTAGATGATAGCTTTTACAAAGTGGCCATCCGGGTGCATGTTCTCCTCATTTTTACTTAAACCATGCAAGTTGCCCTAGCTCAACTCCGCCAATCTTCCCTAAATCTTCCTCATGTCAACGACGCAGCGAATGCAGTCTCCTGCCTTCATCACCTCGAATGCAGGGTTGATATCGGGAAGCTCTTTTCTGTGAGTAATGAACTCATCCACCTTCAGTCTACCCTCGAGGTAGTCAGTCACCAGGCCAGGCAGCTGCGAGCGACCCTTGACACCTCCGAAAGCACAGCCCTTCCAGACACGTCCAGTGACCAATTGGAATGCTGTGAAATGTGTGAGCTTCAATCTTGAACAACACTAAAAGACAGAGGTACTTACGCCGTGTGGAGATCTCTTGACCAGCGGCAGCGACACCAATGATGATGCTCTGACCCCAACCCTTGTGGCAGGCCTCAAGTGCTGCCCGCATGACACCGACGTTACCAGTGCAGTCAAAGGTGTAGTCACAACCACCATCGGTGAACTCAACGAGCTTCTCCTGGATCGATTGGCCCTTGAGCTCCATGGGGTTGATGAAGTCGGTCGCACCAAACTTCTTGGACCATTCCTCCTTGCTGGGGTTCACGTCGACAACAATGATGCGGCCGGCCTTTTGAACAACGGCACCTTGCACAACGGAGAGACCGACACAACCGGCACCGAAGACGGCGACGGTTGAACCCTCCTCGACGTTGGCGGTGATTCTAGCGGCACCATAACCAGTTGTGATACCGCAACCCAGCAGGCATGTTCGGTCCATGGGAGCATCTTGCTGAACGGCGACGACGGAAATGTCCGCGACGACAGTGTACTGAGAGAAGGTTGAAGTTCCCATGAAGTGGAGGAGGTCCTTGCCCTTGCATTTAAATCGGGAGGTGCCATCGGGCATCACACCCTTACCTTGCGTGGCTCGGATCTTGCCGCACAGGTTCGTCTTTCCCGACTTGCAGAACTTGCACTCCTTACATTCCGGTGTGCTATGGACAGAGGCAGCACGTTAGCCGTGGATCTTTTTCTTGCCAACACTGACCCGCCGACTTGTACGTGCCAAAGGAGAGAGAAATTGAAGGCTGTGGACTCACTAGAGGGCAACGACGTGGTCACCAGGCTTCACGTTGGTAACACCCTCACCAACGGACTCAACAAGACCGGCACCCTCGTGTCCGAGAACAATAGGGAAAGCACCCTCGGGGTCCTTGCCGGACAGTGTGTAGGCGTCTAGATTGGGCGGGGGATATCAGCTCCTCGATGTTCGGACATGGTTCGGAATCTCGCAGACTTGGCAGAGGGGGTAAAATCGGGCGACGCACCTGTGTGACAAACTCCGGTGTAGTAGATCTGAATGCGAACCTCGTGAGCCTTGGGAGGCGCAACCTCAATCTCCTCGATGCTGAGCGGCTGGCCAGCTTCCCAGGCGACGGCGGCCTTGCACGTAATGGTCTATGTGACGAGCAAAAGCATCAAAAGTTAGCTTGGATATCCAATTGCCGACCCCTCCATGCGGCAGCGGGGTAAAAGAATTTGAGGGAATGCGCAAAACCAACCTTGCCAACGGTGTCAGCCATTGTGTGAAGTATGAGCTATGATACGAGGCAAGTAATGAAGGAAGAAAAAGAAGAGATTGGTTGGAGAAATTTCAAAAGCAATGCACAGAGCACGGTGCCTCGGGAAAGTTGGATTTATAGGTTTGGCAAAAGAGAAAGTCGAGATGATGTCGCCGGATCGGAAGCTAGCATTAAAGTTGTAGCTCTTCATTCAGCCTAGAGCTAACGTAACTGCCCGGGAGCACTGCCGTTTGTCTGCTTGGTGCGGAGATACTGGACTGGGCACCCCACCCAAGGGAAAGCTTTCCTACTTTGCTCAGTTCGTTCAATTGGCGGGGCCGATGTTTGAACGGCAAAACTGATGTCACTTTACTGTCTTATCTCCCTTAAACGCGGCCAATAACTGGTCTCATTCATTACTAAACTCAGCTACATACACTATATAATGTGGCCTCTTGCTTGCTGGCAATGAGTTGTTTGAGCCGTGAACAATACTGACATTTACCCAAAAGAATAATGGACCATACGGTGCATGTCTGGTAATTACATCTTGTTAGTCAGCGGCGCGCTGATAGTGCCTATCTCCATGCCCAATGTCCTAAGAAATCTAGCCCGATGAATTGCGAGATATCTGCGAAAGACCGGCCCTGCCGACTCAAGCTCATAACGTGACAGGGATGATCTCCGTCTCCGTCCGGATAAGTGCTACTATTTTACTTGGTATCGTATCCATAATCTCAATCTCACCGTCTGACTCATTATCATTACCAAGGGAACTACTCTTGGGCCGCGGGAACTTCTCGGTCATTTGGCTTTATACCCACACGCTGAGCACGGCATTGTGCGACTCCATCCATTTACTATAAATGCTCTTATAGGTATAAATACCCGGTCTAAAAACCATTCTAATATACTCATGCAACCACTCTAACCACGACATCAAATCAAGATTAGGCTCAAAAGTCTATAAAAGTGATTAAGAATGCTCAAACTAGATGTATAAGAGTCTTGAGTCTTCAAAGCTATCCATTTGTCTTTCAGATGCAGGGACAAATGCAAATCACCCATCTAGATGAACTTGAGGGAGAAATTCAAGATTCATGCGTAGAGTAAAGATCTATACTGATATAAGAGCGCTTGATACATATTCGCGACATTGAAATTATTGGATCAAAGACTCTTTCATCAAAGCAAACACCAACCAACAAGTACGTAGGCAAGTAGGAAGTATTTCGTGTGAAACACAAAGCAAAAGCTGAAAAGAAATGGCTGGCTCGTGCACGGCCTCCAATTTGGAGCTTTGAACAACTGGGGGTCGTTCGCCCAATGAATGGGTCGTTCCCAAGGCGGCAGGCTGCTTGCTACCTTAGCCTAGCCTAGCAACTGGAGCTTGTCTTTTCGCGACAAACGCGAATCGATAAATTTCACATCTCAGCCTTTCAGTTTTGATATGGCCGCTTGAGCAGCCACCACGCTCAACACGACCGATTGGACCCACGAATACCATTTCCCCCCTCTACGTGGAGCTTCTGGTACGACCCTGCAGGCTTTGGCAAATTTGACGGGGCGCTGTGCTGGCAAGACCGAAATTTGCCAGCAAGGAATTTCAATTGAATCAACATTCCAGTCGCGGTCATGTACAAGTTTACCGAGCCGAGCTCCCCTGCGACGCCGCAGCGCAATCAGCGAGGCGCTCCCAGCGCGCTCTTTTCCTTCACTGGCGAGCATCCCAGTACGACACCTGCTGGACCGCCGCCTCCGTCGTCTGCTCCCTCCTTCACACCAGCTGGCGAGCCCTCGCCATCTTTTCTGCAGAGTTCCATTGGCACTGCAGCAAGCTCGACCAACAAGCCCAAGCCGCCCAACTTTGGACGGCCCAACCTATCAAGTTCCATGAAGCCTCGCAGCAGAGGACCTCTGGCCAGCTCGATCCGTGGAAAAGGCGCCCTTGGACAACCTTCGGGGCTTAGCAAGCACTCGTATTCCATTCTGGATGACCTTAGCGACGAATCAGACGAAGAGGATGACGCGCTACCAGCTCCTCGTTCTGGAACTTATGGGATGAATTTTGACGACTCAGAAGAGGAGGAGGAGGATGATGAGGAGCTTGATGAGGATGCAGAACATGACGAAGACGACGAGGAAGTGGACGCCGAGTATGATGACGAGCAGGACTCTGAAAACGAGCCGATGGACGAGGAAGACGCTGAAGGAGAAGAAGACGACGAATACGAGGATGAGGAGGAGGAAGATGCCGACTATGACATTGAGGAAGAGCTTCTGCAAGAGATTGCTGCCGAAGCTTCGGGAGACCCATTCGGTGTAGACAATATGGACATTGCCCTTCCTGCAGCAACCGAACGCATGCAGAGAGAAGCCGACGACATCTTTCGCGCATCCGCCATGCGCTCCATTTCAGGTCCACGACGCGAGTTCAATTTTGCATCGGTCGCTAAAGATCTTTACAGTCAATTGGGTTACGCCAGAATAACCGAGCCAGCAGAAGTGATCATACCCACCGAGGATATGATCAGCCAGCTATTCGATGAAGGCGTCGGGGCTGAGGACGATGAAGAGCGCTTGGACAATACTCTGGCCATGGCAACAGAACAATTGGTCGACAATGTGTGGGAACCGTACCATGTCCTTCTACCTAAAGATGACCAGGAACACGAAGCCAAGGTTGGTCCCGGACCCAACCAACCCGACTTTGAGAAGGCTTCTTGGATCGCTTCCATGGTATTCCGGATACATCACACAGCTCCCCTCAGAAATCAATTCGGCGCATCCCAGGTTATCCCTCTCCCACTGGTGCTATTCAAGTGGCAGGACGAGTACCATGATCCTAGCAGAAATCAGATTTTGAGCATCAGGGATCACCTTCCTTGTCCAGCAGCGCATAGTCTGTTCTGGCAGGGCGTCTACATGTCTTTGATTCGAGGCAATGTTCAGGCTGCTGCTACGCTACTCAGAAGGGCAGATTGGGAAAGCGTCAAGAAGGGTACAAGGGCTGAGCGCGCATACACCGGTCAAGTCTTGACAAACATTAACCGGGTTGTTGAAGATGTCTGTTCGATTATGGACATATGTCCAGGTATGCGGGACGAGAATTGGGACATCCGTAGCAGTGACTGGACTCTCTTCCGTATCAAGGCAAAGGCAGCCAAGGAGAACCTTATCAACTTTGCTGAGGGCAAAGACCGACCTCACCGACCGGCGAATCGCTTCGTTGACGCTGATCTGGCTAGCCCTCAACCCACCCTCACTGGATTGGCAAGGAAAGCCGAGAGCCGCTTGCCATGGGACATATATGAAGCACTTCAGTCACTTTATTCTATTCTGGTGGGTGAAGCTGAAGCCATTACAGCGGCAGCACAAGACTGGTGCGAAGCAACCGTTGGTCTCTTTGGATGGTGGGATGATGGCCATAGCAACCGCAAGTTGGGCTTGTCTCTGTCCCAATCACTGGGCGCTCCGCCGGTCGGGGATGACGACTGGCTTGACCGTCTTGCTCTATCCTTCCGTGCAGCCATGGATTCGGATTTTCATTTCAACACCATCGACCCCGTCGAGGTCTGTATCGCGTGTGTGTTTGAGAGCAATGTCGAGGGCATTATTGGTTTTCTGCGGGCATGGTCTCTCCCTGTTGCATCTGCAGTTGCCGAGATAGCATCACTCGGTCGATGGTTGCCTGTACCTGAAGCCGATCTCATCGACATTGAGACTTTTAGCCAGGACGATCTCGAAGTTTTCGGGTTCAACCAAATTACAGACTCGAAAGACAAGGATGGCATCAAGGATACAACTCTGATTCGATATGCACGTGCTCTAAACGAGATCAAGCAGCTGACTGGTAGCATTCCCAAGAAGAATGGAACTGCCACGAATGTTACAAGGGAAGGCTGGGAACTGGCTGTGCAGGTTGTCGGGCGAATGGACGACGCGGCCCGGTCTGAGGAGCTGGTCAATGAGCTTTTGCAGAGCAGCCTCGACAAGCTTGAGCCAGACAGTCAGGAAACAGTCAACAAGATGTGGACGTTGCTCAACCAGCTCGGTATGATCAATTTTGCCGAGGATACTGCTGAGGTATGTACTATTGAGTAAAATTTGTTCTTGTTGTTCCGTGGACTCTAACTAATGGCACATAGCGATACGGCGACATACTAAAGGAAGATACCTACCGGTTTGGAGACATGCTTTGGTACTATGCCCTAGCTCACCGGCCCGGTAAGATTCGAGATGTGCTTAATGGTCTCATGTCGATTTCTCTTGCCGAATCCACTACGTATCCGCCAGAAAGCGAGCTGGACGAGCGTCTGCGATCAATACTGAAGGAGCGTACCACTGTGCTTGAACAATTTGCACTCCAGGATCTGGAAGCTGCTGAACTGTTGGGCAAGATGTTGAGTGGTTATGCGACACTTCGAAAGTTCTATGAGCTCCGAGACGGCAACGGCAAAGGCAACTCGCATTCACTGGCGCGACGTCAGCAAGCTGCAACAGCGCTATCCTTCGTTATCGCTAGTGCCGACGACAACATTCGAGGCGGCATGTACGATGATACCCGTGATGCTGTGGTCAGTGAAGACTTTATCCTCGCTTTGCTGGGTGAGGCTTCGGTCTTTGTGAATCAAAAGCCAACTGTGCTCAACCAAGACCAGCTCGACACCCTTTTGAAGGCGGTCGAGGATATTCAAACGGTTGGCTCAAGGGTTTACGAGGCGGCAGATGCATTCTTCCAAATGGTCATGTCTTCTGGTCACGGCAAGGGATCAACGCCAGCTGATCTGATGAAGAAATCGACAACGTCTCTCGGCGGCAGTTTTGTCATGACCGGCAGCTCCATGGTGGCGTCGCAGCTGCACAAGTCCATCCGGGAGAGCGGTGTGCTCAAGGGACCTATCAAGCGGTCTTGGGACTGGCGGACAAGCGTGGTGGCGGGAAGCACTTCAGCAGATATTCTCAAGAAGATTAGGCTCGGTCTCACCAAGGACATTGCCAATATCTGGCTTGAGCAGGCTGATAGCATCATGATGTAGTACAATAAGGGTTCCTCTCTGGGCTGACTTGGAGTGAGAGAAAGAAGATAGCATGCAATGGCGTTTAAGGAATGGATAAAAATGTACGGAATAATACCATTAGATTTCAAGGAAGCCATGCATACCCACAAGATGACAATTTTCTGCACATTCGGTGGTTTGCTGTCCTGTTGCATACCTTTTTCGACGCCTTTTTCTTCGCTGTGCAAAACTATGCATACCCTGTGCGAGGGTCCTACCGTACCTGCCTTGGTTGAAGGCAGCTGTGGTCAAGCAGCAGGTGTCGTTTGCAGTTGCCCCAGCAATGGTAAGGCGCAGTCTGTTACAGCTGTTTAAACTCTCGATCTTCAACCAAGAAACAGCACAAAGGTCAAGCCAGCAGCTTGACAGATCTTGCTAACTAAGATACACAGGTTCAAGGTTCGATTCCACTGGTTTCGGCCATGGAGTTTCTCGATCACCAATTTACGGCTTTATGCCAATTTCAAAACTCGACACCTGACTTACGTCTCACGTCACACAACCCAATTTCGACTTACGTCAACGGACTGATGTCCAAATCGCCTCACAATATGGACTTAAGTCCGATCCAGCGACCAGGCTTTCAGTCTACTGAAGCCCCGCTCAAAAAGATTCACAAGACTTTAAAGTCTTGAATGGCGCAAGCCAGGCATTCTTCTCTGGTCCAGATCCTGGACCATAAAACTGTAAGTGTAAAAAATCCCCTCCCAACCTTTGTGCTGTTTCTTCGGTATTCTTTCAATTGAAGTATTAATTGAATAATTTTTTTTTAACTTTGTTTTACGAATAGCTTGGAGGGACCCCATTTGCGCCGTGGCCCCAGGCTGTATTTTCTTTTGGGCCGAGTACAAGTTCCAGCGTTCCTCCTTTTTGGAAAAAATCATTTGTCAGCCAGTTTTTAGTATAGTCAGCCCCGTCTAGAGTTGCATTCTGTATATAGATATTATTATATGCAGAATCGAAGTTAATATTACGAATGGTGGCCACCTTGCCGGTGTGCTGATTTGTAATGGATATTTTACGAAAGAATGGCGGGGTAATAAAATAAACATCTTGACCTGGGTTGGGAAAAATGCCTAGCATCGATAATGCTGCAAAGGAACCCATGGCGCCCGAGTCATCGTTGCCGGGTATGCCGGCAGTCGACGTGTTGAATTGGGATGGGATATAGCTGTGGATGCGAGCAGCTGACTTTCCAGGACGTCCGGCATAGTGATACTGGAAGATGGGTAGAAATGCCTGCTCGTCACCGATGTATAAAAGACCGCTCTCGTGTAAATAGTCAAGTCGTCGTACAAACTCGTCGGGTCCGCCAAGCGTAGCAATCAGGGTTGCGTGGTCGTGCGGCGCAAAAAAGGTGTAGAGCCACGAGCTGCCCTCATATGTTTCGTGGCCGCCAGGGTTCAAGTAGCAAGACTCGAAATTGAGAAGCGGGGAGCAGAAGATGGGATCCTGGACACCGAAGGTCTGGTTGAGGTATTTGGGTTGCAGAAAGCCGGCAAAGCCAGTCTCGGTGCCATTAATGCTAGATGTCTGGCTCGGATTATAGAGGTTGATCCAGTTGTGCGAGCGACCGAGGTACTTTTCATAGTCATCCTGCTTGCCCAGGGATTGGGCGATTTGAGCGATACAAAAGTCATTATAAGCATACTCGACCGTTCGACTGATGCTCCGGGTGAATAGTCCGTTTCCATCTGGATCAAAGTCGTCTGCAGGAATATAGCCAAGGGATTTCCAGCTTCTTAGTCCGCCACGGCCTTCGAGATCCCACACCTGCGGCTCGATTTCTGCGTCCTTGACCAGCGCTTCGTATCCGATATCCCAGTCGACGCCCTCGGTGATATTCTTTAGGAACGCATCGACCAGCACCACGTCGGCATTGGATCCTCCCTGCGTAAACCCCTTGCACAAGGACATGCGACAGTCTGGCAGATACCCTTCATGACGATAAATATCAATTAGAGACCGAATCATTCGAGTTTGGGAATGGGTATCGATGAGTGTGATGAATGGGTGTATGCTTCGAAACGAGTCCCAGATGCAATAGTACGAATCGTAATAGGGCTCATCGCTCTCCCACAGCGGATTCTCCCCGGTGTAGTCTTGCGGACTTAGCATGGCACGATAAACGCCGCTCCAGAAAATAGTTTGGAGAGAGTCCTCGACATCCGTAGCATCGACGCTGATGATCGACAGTTTGTCTCGCCAGACCTGTTCGGCTGCCTGTAGCGTGGCATCAAAGTCAAAGTCGGGCACTTCAGTCTCTGAGTTCGAGCAAGCCTGTTGAATACTAATGAATGAGACCCCCACCCGCGCTATAATCTCGACAGGCTCGTTTCCAGAGGCTTCGAACCAGAGCCAGGTCCCAGCAGGCAGAGGGGGGTTATTGTTATCCTTGGCGACGGTGATATTCTTTGGATCGTTGCCAGCCCGCGTGTTGATAAAGACACCAGTATCGCGAATGGTTGCCCCTCGGAAATCAGCACAGTAATACGCATCGTATTGTCCCAGACCAAAGCTCGGCTCAAATCGACCAGTCCCCGTCATCCTTCCAGTCTCGGGGTTCACCGCGGCCGAGCCACTTTGCCTGGTATTGGGGAGATCCGTGAGATCGATAATAAACAGGGGGCTGAGAGGACCATCGACGGTCGCATTCCCAGTGGCGTTGCCGAAGAAGGTGAACTTGTACAGAGCCGTGTGGTTCGTCGCCGTAATCTCGCCCCTGACACCGGACAAGAGATCGACAGTAAAGTATCCGGGACGCGCAGAGACACTGTTTATAACAGGTACCACGGAGCGGTTAGCTTTTGGGAAAACACACCCGTTGATGTCGTCTCCTCGACATCCAGGATATGGGAATATCGGAAAGTTTCCACTGTCATCCGAGCTTCAGTCACGCGAAATCTTGCGAGTGAGGATCATGTCATATGGAGACTTACAGCGACAGTGCTCCTCCAGTGCCGGAGTCGTGCATGTGGGAGAAACCGGATATCGGGCTGTCGTTGGAGGCAAAACCACCCTGATTATCCTCCGTACTATCGGCAACTGCTTTTGCCATTCCTTTACTGCCATTAGTTTCGTGGCATGGATGGGCTGAGAGGAGCTTCAACGAGCATACCAAAGGGCAGACTTGCGCCGGCGAATACATGACCTTTGGGCATGGGGTTAGCGACGAATCCTCTCATTCTTTGGAAACTTTCTAATGGCAGCTCACCTCCGTTGCGAGTCCCAATAAGAGGATCAACGAAATCATAGCCAGGTTTTTGAGCGTCTGCCACGACTTCAGACAGCAGTAGCATTACCCCCAGGCCAGCCAACGAAGCGGCTCGTGAGAGCCAGTGGCGAGCCATCATGAAGTTCCTGTTCCTTTGGGATCGCTGTCTAACAAGATGAAAAGAACTGTATTGTTCGAGCCTAGACTTTTTATTGACTTGAAGAAAACTGTCAAAGTTAAGACAACATCTACTAGAAGTGAGGAAGAATCAAGGCAAGTCCAAGGTGTTGGGAACCCCCATCCAGGTGAAGTTTCCCATGCTGGAAAACGTCTCCCCCCATGCCTTGCACAATATGGGAAGGTATACACATAGTTCCTGTTTTCCCACCCTGCATTCACCACATGACATGCATGCCCATGACGGAAAAACGGCCCTCGTCTGAGGCCTTTTGTCGTGTGAGGTGACGTTTTGCGGGGAAACGAGCTGCAGGTGCATCCCATGTCTACATTAGTTCGAGGCAGGGTCGAACTTTGCAAGTATTGGCATTCAGCGTTGAGGAGCTCGGAAGAACGACGATTGCCTCAGATGGAACTTGTTCATGATGAATCAATCGAGGATTGCAGTGGTTCCGTACCTTTTTATCAACGAAAGCCATGTCATTCAAAGCCATAAAATGCATTTTCCAAAGAACATCCTAAATATCTTTTACCCCCGAGGTTTGATGCAAAACAAACGATTTCAAACTCCTAGACATTTTGTTGAACATGCCAAACATGACCTGTTTTCCAAAAAATAATTTCATTCGCGCAGCCGCTGTTCCCTCTAGTCGCCATGCTCAACAAAATGGCACTCTTCTTTTGTTCCATACCATCTCAAGTATCGCGTTCTACTTTAGTCAACCCTTCAACGCCATGCCGTCCGAATGTGAAATTCCACTTCTTCATTGTATTCTACCTGGTAACCGAATATCCTACGCTTACTCGGTCTTCGGCGCAGTCGACTCCCCAACGGTGCTCGCCCCCGTGGTCAATGGACCCTCCTTGTCAATTATCTTTTCTCGAATTGGCAGGTTCTTGACCGTTCCGTCAATCTTAGGTTCTGAGCTTGCGGCAGCGGCAGCTTCCGCGGCCTTCTTCTCGGCTTTGCGAGCCTTCTTGCGCTCCTTGTCCTCCTGCTTCTTCTTCTTGGCCTCCTCCTCTGCGGCCCGGGAGGCCTGAGTGCCACCATATTTCTCCTTCCACTCGACAATCTTCTTCTCGTCAATTCGCGAGAAGAGGTAGGCGGCCTTGCCAATCTTGTGGCCAGGCTTCAATGCCTCAGCCTCGAAGGTGTCGGGGATGAATGCAAGCTTGGTGTTGAGCTGCTTCACTAGGGACTCCGAGGTCGACGGAATATAAGGAGATGCAACAGACGCCAAGAGGTTACACAAGTTCAGGGCCAGACCAATGACGGTCTTGGTTCGTTCGGGGTGCTCAGCCAGGGCTGCATTGTCCAGACGATATTGCAGCAAGTTGTTGCCCTTGGAGCTAATCTCCATCAACTTCTTGGCACCGGCGCGTAGGTGTACTCCCTCCAGAAGATCATTGTATTCCTTCAGCGCAGTGTTGACTTCCTCGATCCAGGCGGGGAAGTCAAAAGTCTCGTCCTTGTACGAAGCCGAGAACTCGGGAATGACACCGTCAAGTTTGGCATTGACGAACTTGATCACACGGTTACAGAAGTTACCAAAGTTGGCGAGCAGTTCGTTGTTGTTGGCCGCCACAAAGTCAGCCCACAAGAACTGGGTGTCGCCAGTCTCCGGTCGAGTGGAAAGGAGGTAGTATCGCCAGACAGAAGGAGGAATGCCAATCTCCTGGGCAGTGTCTCCAAAGACACCGACACCTCTCGACTTGGAGAACTTTCCAGTCTCGTAATTGAGGTACTCGGTTGTGGAGAGCGTGTTGAGCTGAGTCCACTTGTCACCCGTTCCCATCTGAGAGGCCGGGAAAATGACCGTGTGGAAGGGTGTGTTGTCCTTGCCCATGAACTGGTACAGTTTCACATCGTCAGGGTTGCGCCACCACTGCTCCCACTCGGATGTGTAGTTGGCAGTAATCGAAGGGTAGCCGATACAAGCATCGAACCAGACGTAAATAACCTTGTTCTCGAAGCCCTTCAGCGGCACCGGCACACCCCACTTCAAATCTCTGGTGATACTTCGGCCCTCCAAGCCTCTAGTCAACCAGGACTTTGTGATACTGATGCCGTTGGATGACCACTGACCCTCCTTGCTCGACTTCTCGAACCACTCAGAAATCTTGGGCGCCAACTTGTCGAGCTTCAGGAAAATGTGCGTGGTATCTTTGGGAATGGGCGTGGTGCCGTCAACCTTGCACTTGGGGTTGATCAGCTCGAGGGGATCCAGCAGGTTACCGCACTTGTCGCACTGGTCACCTCTGGCGTCGTCATACTGGCACTTTGGGCAGGTTCCCTCGACGAAACGATCGGCCAAGAATGCCTTGTGGTCGGGGTGCTCGCAGTAGGGCTGTGTCGTAGTGCGCTCCTCAAGATAGCCGTTCTTGTAAAGCTTCAAGAAGATGTCCTGGACGATCTCGGTCTGCTTCTCGGTGGTGGTACGGCCAAAGTAGTCAAAGCCAATCTCAAACCAGTCGTAAATGGCCTTGTGCTTGACGTGGAACTCATCGCAGAGCTCTTGAGGGGTCTGCTTGGTCTCGAGGGCCTTGGTCTCGGTTGCGGTACCATACTCGTCGGTACCGCAAATGTAGAGAGTCGGTCGGTCTTTCAGCTTGCTGTATCGCGCAAAGACGTCGGCACTGAGTGTACTGCCATCAATGTTGCCCAAGTGAGGCACATTGTTGACGTAAGGGAGGGCAGATGTGACGAGGATGTTCTTCTTGCCCTTTTGAGGCAGAATGACATTGGGATTCGCCATGGTTGCGGGAGGAATTTGACGATGCAGTATTCTGTGTCGCTTTGGAAAATTCCAAGGATGACTCAATAGCTGGAGGAAACGGCGGCTACTTGGAAAAGAAAAGACCAACACCAAAAATAACGTGAAAAAGAAAGTGAGTCGAAATACTGAGTCACAGTCAGCGAATGCGCAGGATCAGACAAACATGAACAGGACAAAGTTCAGAAGACCCTTGACTCAATGTTTTAATGTAGGTGGTGTAGAGGCAGGCAATGGCGGGGGGACGCCTGAGTCGGAACTGTGCGCAATGGCGGGGTGATTTTCGCGACCCAAAAATCGCTGCGCCCAAATGTCCCCCAATTGCCCCTCCATTTGATCTCTTTCTCAGTCCAGACCCGTCAAATTGGTAACGTTGGGCGCCGGCCTCCGGCTTTACATTTCAGGTACCGCATAACAAGCTTGAAAGGACGATACTGCCAAAACTCTATCTATTTTTTCGTGAATCTGGAATCAGAGAAAACAAAGAATCTAATTGTCTGTTGGGTTGAGTTAAGGACTTCTCGTTCAAGGAAGGAAAAAGATTTTTTTTTTTTTATTCCGGGGCTGCAACATCCGACATCAGCAACATGTCAGTGGATCCCTTTGAAGAGATTCTCAATCTTGAGGAGCAATACTATGAGCAAGGCTATACCCAGGGATATGAGGATGGTGATCGTGGCGGCAAGATCGAGGGACGATCGGTGGGCTTGAAAACAGGCTACGAAAAGTTTCTGGAAGCTGGACGTCTGCAGGGCAAAGCCATCATCTGGGCCAACCGGATCCCAAGCTTACGGAATCCTCCAAAGAAGAACGACGGAGTACAGCCTCAAGTCTCTTCAGAAGGTCCAAATGTCGAGGCGTCCAGACTTCCAGCCTTGAGCAGCAATGCAAGACTGAGCAAAAACGTCAGCTCATTGCATGCGCTGGTGGAGCCTGGTACTCTTTCAACTGAGAACAACGATGATGCAGTCAACGACTTTGACGATCGCGTGAAGCGAGCACAGGGCAAACTCAAGATTGTTGAGCGCATGCTTGGAGAGGATGCCGAGAAAGGCAGCTCCAAGGAGAGTGGCGCCGCATCCCGCAACGAGATATGAAGACCGTCGTGATGTTGACAGCAAAAACCAACATTTCGACAATCCCGCAGAGTCACTTCAACTTGCATGCCGAGGACGATGAGCGCGGTGAACGCGGTGAGCCAAAGCTTCTGGTGCACCACAAGGGCACTTGGTGACTTGCTCGACTTACTTCCAGCCCAAGCCTAGCACATATCTAATGTAAGACAAGTCCAGTTCCAGCACGCCCTCCATCGTGTGATCATGAAGCTGAAATACACCAGTCTATATGTCATCGATGCCGAATCTCAGTAGCATCCATGCATAAGCTTGATCTACTCACGAATTGATCAAATTCGGTCATGAGAGGCCGTGGTGCACATGTGCCAGGATTAGGTTCTGCAAAAGTTAGAATAGAAATTTGTCACTAGGAAATATGATCTCAGCTCAATCTTGAGCGTTGTCAGGTCGCAATAAAATCTATACCGCCCTCATCTTATGTACAAGCCATTGATTCTTCTGTCTCGTCTAGCCATCTGTTGGCATTGTCATCTATTTGAACACACGGCACGGGTACCTGTAGTCCTGTTAGTATGGCCTTGCTTTCGCGAATATCCTCAGAACAAAGGGCAGCACTTACGCGTCGTCAGGGTATGTTTGCTCCTCCACCAGCTCGTACTGCTTTGCCTCCCACAGGCCACTGCCATCCTTCTTGAGGGCCTGGCCGCTGGGCAGCGGTGGCAGACCATTTACCAACAACTCCTGTGCCGTCGCCGGGCCCTTGGCCTCGAAGAACTTGGCCAGACCACCCTCGACACCCTCGCTCTTGGCAGCCACCAGGGCCTGCTCTCCGGCCTCACCAATCAGCTCCTGCTTGGGGCTGGCGGCGCTGCCGACGCCCAGGAGGGCAACGGCATCAGCCTGGTTGACAAACGAGAGCTTGGGGTAGTTGCGCCGCGCGTCGCGCTTCCAGTAGGGGTTGTCTGCAATGTCACCGGCCGGGATGGTGACGGGGTCGTCGTAGGCGAGCGGGTCGTTGCTGCCCGGGTTCGGGTTGCGGTAGTATGGGTTCAGCGGTACACCGGAGCTGCGGTTGGGGTCGACGGCGAGGACGCGGCGGATGCGGTCCCAGATTCCCGTAGACTGCAGGGTTTGTTTCTACCATCATCACCGAGTCAGCGAGTTCGCTTGTTTGCTTGCTTGCATGTTCGAGATCGCAGAGAGACGATAGCCTCGTTCTTGTTGCGCATCCCATTGAGCTTGGGCTGCAGGGTCTCGAGGTTCGCAATTTACCTGGCTGACGCTCATCACGCCTCCAGCAGCCTTTGCTACTGCTTTGGACGCCATGGTGGCAGATTTGACGACACAATTGAGTGGTATATAGCGATTGGCAATGCTATGGATGTCGGAGTTGAAGCTTGGTTGACGTTCGGGAGCGCTGAGATCACGCTAGCCGGGGTTTAGCCGACCCAGAATACCGGGGCTTTGTCCAGTGCTCGCCAATGACCGTGCGAGGATTCCGAATCATGCTTCCTACCTTAGTGCAGCAAGTACTATAGAATACGGAATGCATGAATGTCCTTCTCCTCTTTGTTCGAAGCTTGTCTTTTCTATATTGCGACATCCCACCTTGATCTTTAATTATAGCTTGATGGACAAATCGTGTCCACCTACTTTCCACCTTCTCCGGAGTCGACTTCTAGCCTCAAGGGCTCAATCTCATATTTCCTTTCTCGGTTCTCTATCTCTACGACCTTGAGAGCTTATTACACCTGACTCTTGGAATTATGTTGGAGAAAAATACTCTTTATATGATCCGTGAGATGGAGATACTTATTACCATTGTGTATCGATGCTTGTTGACAAGACTTGCGTCTATATACGGCACATACAAGAGACTTGCACATCTATTATCCTCTTCCCGTTTTCTCTGAAATGTCCGGAAACTTACCCAGTGCTCGAATTTTGGGATTGACTAATTTCAAGGACAAGGTCTTGGATTGATTTCTTGCTTCATTTCTGCTACTTATCATAACATCTTGAATAGTATCACATTATGGATATCATATCGTATCCGAAGTGGAGATCAGAGAATTCCTCTCTGTATTATACACGTTTTTGCCTTGGCTTTTTTACCCATACAGCCCACAACCTTATGATACATCAGCCGCTTATGCCTTTCCTACCGACAGCAGAAATTGACCGCCCTGCTTTCCACCTGGCAAGTAGGCAACATTCGGGTTTCCTGCCAGGGTCTGAGCAATCTCTCTGCTGGCCTCGATCTTTCTGATTTGGATCAGACCGTCACCGTTCTTGGCAATAGCTCTGCTAATGGTGTCGGCACTCTCGGCCTCACCCTCGGCGCGGATAACGTTGGCCTGTCTCTCCTGCTCGGCCTTCTCGACGATGAAGCGTGCACGCTCAGCGTCCTGTTGCGCAATCTGCTTCTGCTCGACAGCCTTTGTGAACTCCTTGCCGAAAGTCATGTGCGTAATCGAGACATCCTCGAGCGCAATGTTGAATTCTGATGCTCTCTTCATCAGGTCTGTCCGAATTCTGTTGGAGACAGCTTCACGCTGTGTAATGAGCTCGGCGGCATCGAACTGTGCGACAATAGACTTGAGCACTTCGTTACCAATAGAGGGCAGGACTCTCTCGTCGTAGTCTGTACCGAGGTTCTGTAAATGGAGTTAGCTTCAGCACTTCAAAACTGATCCAGATTTTGCTATATTTGACATGTTAAAAAACACACCTGGTAAATCTTGGGCAGAGCCTGAACCTCGGGTCTGTGAAGAACTCTGAGCGTCAAGCTGACCATTTGCAAATCCTTGCTGCCGGTGGTTGTGGCAATGTTGCGCGGCTTCGTCCGGACATCGAAGGTGATGGCTCTTTGTAACCATGGCACCAAGAAGTGTGTGCCTTCGCTGACGACCTGCTCCTTCACACCGGACAACCTGTCGAAGATGACGGCTCTGGATCCACCGCGAACATCGTAGATGGAGGACTGGAATAGCGCAATGCCGGCAAAGGCCGGGAAGGCGTATCTGGAAACAGTGTTGAGAATTCGAGCTTCCATGTTGACAAGCGCGCACGCTTCCGTCTGTCTGGCGGAGTATTGGCAGGTGTGTGTGGCGTGGGCGGGAAAACTGAAGCTCTCTTCGTCGACCTCTTTTTGCGTCTACCTCTCTCTGCCTTAATGATTGATAGACTGATTCCCTTACCCGTACATTTTCCCTATGGTCCAAGCTTCTTTTCCGAGAGCTCGGCGCGACATTTCGGCGGGTCATCACTTGTGCTTGAGGGGCTAGTCCCAGTCAGGTTAAGCGTGAAAGCTCATCGGCAACGTCCAGTCAGGTCGCTCCAATTTCGACGTCGCAAAGGCGCTTGAAGCCAATCTTTCCTGGCCATTTCCACGATCCCATTCTCCGACATTTGCCAACCTTTTAAACCCAATTGACAGCTCACACCTCGTCAATTGTTCACCATGCACCCTACTCAGATCCTCAGAGGCGGCGGCGAGACCCCGCTCGGCAAGCACGGCCAGTGAGTCGCCCTCCGGAACCAACAAAGTGACGTCGACCGCCCGGCTGCGGCTTTTGCTCGCATTGCCTCATTCGGGCTGTTTTCACGTTGGCATCTTCCATCTAGGAACTCTCTACTAACACAAGTATAGCTTCCTTGGTGGCTGGGGCAACTTTGGTGAGTAGACTCTCGTATTGGATTCATCCGAGCGCGGCCGGCAAAAGACGAAGCACGATCATACGACACTCCAAACAACAAAGTGGTGGAAGCAGGGGAAACTCAACACTGGCAGTTGATAATAATGGCAAACATCAACATCACGAGATAAGCGAACATGCGAGATGGAACACGACAGCAGACCAACGCGCAACCTGGACGAAATATGTTTTGGAGCCGAGAGACTAATACGGATTGATTCCCAGGTGGTCTCAAGCAGAAGGGCATTGTCACCTACGGTCTCAGCTCCAACCGACAGAACCCCGTCGCCGGCGCTGCCCACGACGCCATCTTCAACACCTGGAGACGGTTCAGCAAGCAGGTCCTTTACATTGCTCCTCCCTTCGTTGCTTTCTACTACGCCATGGAGTGGGCCATTCACCGGTATGATCTCTCGAGGCCGACAAAGGGGGGTGCTTGACGTGCAGAATTGCTGACTTTTGGCAGAAACCACTACCTGAACTCCAAGGCCGGCCGTGCCGAGTTCGGTGATGAGGAGTAAACTGTTCAACTTTCATGCCAAGAGGTGTTAGGACGGTAGACAAAGACCTTTGTACATCAATAGACTGGGATTTTCATCATTATCCGCCTTTCATTCCAATATCTGGACTGTATCATATGGCCGAGAAAGGGCCACCCTTCAAATTTCGGTCCGAAAGTGCCTGCCACATGCAATTTTTGCCTCGAATACGAACACTTGCAACAAAACACTACATCTGGAGCTTTCAGGGTCATCAAGCCAATTTTGCTGCAAGACGAAGATCAGATAACTATTTGCATTGACAACGTAGGTCAAGGACACCAAAATTCGACACCTTCGGACTGTTTTACACATTTCAAACTAAGAGCAATGGGCCGCGACTCGCTATAGACCCTCCGTTCGGCCCCAAGTACTTACTTCAACAACTGGACTTGAAGATGCAATGGTGCCAAGGAAATCGTGACAATCATAGATTGTATTGGCGTCAACATATCACGCAAACTGATCCGATACCTTGGGTGGTATCAGAGTGAACAAAGAACAGTATCCAGCACTGCATCTTCAGATCTCGCCAAAATTGCTTTTTGTCTTTCTTTGTGCTGCAACGAATTGTTGTCAACATCTATATACAATTCACGTATTGTCGCAACTTCGACCCTTTCTATTTCAAAATGCATTGTGATCTTTATTACAGACTCATTGTTAGATGGAGAATTGGCTATTATGTATTATTTCTTTTTCTAGACAATGCTAATATGACTTTAGTTTGATATTCTTTCTAATGGAGCCACGACTGGGCTTCTATATAAGTTGTTGTTTCCGTGCTCGAGATGGTGATCATCAACGATAATCATGGTTTGCGAATTCCAACACTCAAGATACGCCTAACATTCTCAGACACATCCGACAACTCAATACATCAGTTGCGAGCTTTGGCTATACCTGAGCTGGACAAAACGACAAAATGGCCGAAGACAGGATCCCGGCCACTTTGATGGATGTGTGTATGCGCATTCCTCACTTTTTTGAAAGATTAATATACGTCGAGTGCGACGCTTCCTCGAGAACTGCGTTCGCCTTGACATGTCGCTCCATCTACGATTCGCTCATCGCATTGCCAGATGCTGCTGTTGTGGGTGGTCCCAATGTTGCGCCCTTGCTGACGCGACGAGGTAATGTCAACCGCATGAATCCGGAAATAGAGGATTTACTAACTATCCTGGAACGCGATGTTTTATTCAAGGACCTGACATATTGCCATTTGTGTCAGAAGTTGCACAGCCCGATGAAACCGGTCAACTCGATGGAAGATCCTAGGATACCCTATTCTAGACAACCGCGGTGCGCTCGCTGGGAAAGTCTACCCACGGTCAATGGTCACGCAGGTACGTTTCCACCTTCGTTTAATCTGTTGCTGCTGTATACCGTATACGCGGCCAAGCAAATAACGCAGAACTGGAACCCCATCGCAGTCGAGCGCTCGCTCGATGTGACCATGAGACCCGACGAGTTCCCCATTCCGCTGCAAGGGTCGGTGAGTGGACCGTTTTGGACCCGTACACGGTTCACGGCGAGCTGCCCACAGGAAGGCATCTTCATCCGGGCCGTCAAGACGCTACAGCTACCGGGAAGTTTTCCCAGTCACTTGGAGACGCCCTGCCAGCACACCGACATTCACTTTAGCAGGATCACGGGCGGGTTCGAGATCAAGCAGGTCCAACGCGTGCCCCACGCGTCAACGTGGCTGACCGTGTGGCCGCACGCCGTCACCGTCGAGCAGATCAAGGGCGTCGTGAGTAACCAGGGCCAGGCACAGGTCCATCGAAGCGAGCGAGGGTTCTGGTCGACTGTTCATCACTGCAGGGCCTGCAACACCGAGTGGATCCATCAGGCGCGACAGGCAATGACCAACGCCCGCGTGCCGGGAATGCTCCTTCTTCGCATCTACCGGTGTCTTGGCACCAAGGATGATATTTACAACGCCAAATCGGTATACCAAAACTCGACAAGAGCTGAAATAATGATTCGTACGGGGTCTACTGCGAGTATACCGGCGACCACGTGCGCGAGGGTATTTGGCGACTTGATGGGCGGGAGCTCATAGATTCTGTCCTGTCGCAAGTCATCACAATGCAGATTGGGGCATATAAAAAGGACTGCAGCGTGGTTTCACACAACACATTCTGACGTAAGAGTAAGCGAGTACTCATTTATGTATATAGTTACCGAATTAAACAGACGCATTGCAGTGCAATGAAAAACACAATCGATGCCATTAGTTGACCCATATGAAGGGAACCGACCCGGCTTGCCATCAATAATGACCCATTTGATGCTCATGACCGTCTCCAAGTGACTCGCGCTTCACTAAACACCGGCTTCAAGGCGGAGCTCAATTAATCTTTGGTCGGAGCGTGGTACTGAGCCGGGACATCACCCATGAGCTCAGCAGCCTCGTCTCTCTTTCTCTCTTGAATTAGGTTGACTTCATCGTCGGCAGTGCCACTCGCATCGAGCCGGTATACAAACACCTTCTTTTTCTGGCCAAGTCGAGCGATGCGTCCGATTGCCTGTTCTTCGCCGGCATTATTCCAGTACGGACCAATGAGGATGGCATGATTCGCAAACTGGCAATTCAGAGATTCTCCTCCACACTTCAGCCCGACGATCTAGAATTAAATGTCAGCAATCAATTATCGTAAATCATGTGATTCGAGTCAACAATCAATGTGAACATACCATGACCTTCATCTTCGAATTCTCTGCCATCTCCTTGAGAGCCTCATCTGTCTGCCTCGGAGTCATTTTCCCATTGAAGTACAGAAATGGGATGTCCAGATTCTGCAGCAAGCGACCAATCATGGCTGCCTCTTGGTTGAACTGTGTGAAGGCGATTATTTTATCTCCGGGCTGCTTCTTGAGAATTCGGTCACAAAGGTCTGCGCAAGGACCGATCTTTCCACGGCGAATCAGTGGTATGTTGTGCGTTTTGTCACCTATCTGGAGCCAGTGAGTCTCGAACTTTCTCAAGGATGGGTGGGAACCGCGGTAGTCGTATCCTGGTCTCCGTTCAGGGGGTTTGTCTTGTCCCTTTTTAGACTTCTTCGATTTGGAAGTCTTTTTTTCTCCAGTTTCATGTTCCTCGACGACAGATGTCCAGTATCCGCCACTGTCGTCATCCTCCTCCTCCTCCTTCTCCTCCTCAATACCGCGAGGCAGACTCTGAAAATCGATGCCGGATTGATTCTGATCGGTGCCTTCATTGTTCTGGTCATATGGCTGTACCACGGGGCAAAGATTTTTGCACCCCGGACATTGTGCCCATAATGTCAATTCGGCCTCTCGTGGTGCATTAGGGAAAATACAGGGCTTGCAGAAGACGTGACCACACTAATAGCATCAGTAGTTGCTTTCATTGACATCATCGACAGCTCACTTACCTCTAGAACTTGCCTTTCCACACATTGGCGGGAGCACGTGCCGCAGATGTTCGTTTTGTAAGCAATGGCCATATCAAATAGCTCGCCCATATCTGCCTCCCCTACTTCCGGGTCTGAATCTGGCTCCACCAATGGTCTGTCTTTGTCTGTGGAAAGCGCCTGTGTCTCATCCATCTCGCGACTGAGATTGGGAAGTACGTCACGCATTTCTACTTCCAGCTCAGCTAGCCTCGATTTGAGGATCTTCAAGCGTGCTTTCGGAATCGTTCGGACCATGAAAGACTCCAGCATGAACGGGGATGAGGTATTCTGTCGCAGTCGCAGAAGTCGCAAGAGTGCCAATCCAGGGACAGGATTCTTTGCTTTTTTGGCCTCTTCTGCCCAGTCCTTGAAGAACTCTTCGATCACTCTTCATGGGAAAAATGAGCATCGAGGACTGAAGTCATAAAACACAGAAAGGTTCGGTGAAACTTACTTGGTGAAAGCCTTCTCGCCGCTGCTCAATGGAATCTTGATCACAATTCGCTCAATCTCAATTTCAGGGATAATGGGCTTGCCGAAGCGGCTATCTCTTGAAGTTCTAGGTGAAAGTCAGCAAGGCCTTGTTGAATTGGAAACAATGTTTTTTTTCTTCATATATAAATACCTTCGAATCATTAGAGGCCCGATTTTCTCGTTCAAGGAGATTAAATCGCCCTTTGATTGGTCTAGGTTAGCTTTGTTACTGTAGTCATGAGAGGTGACAAACTTCTTCAGTGTTGCAATATCTTGCTTTGAACTTCACACGAGTCTTGGCGTGTTCGTCGCCTACAAAATTCAACTGAGAATAAATATCTAAGACTGATTAGCGTTGCCTGCCATATACCCTCGATAATTTCAAGTGTCAAACATACCCCAGATAGAGTTGATATAGGGTGTGCCCGATACACACCAACTCTTTACCCGCTGCAGTGCATGGCAGGCTTTAGATCCTAGATAGTATTAGCGAAAACGAGTTTTCTCTGTCTCGGTCCTTCTCAGCTCAATGCCCGAGCACTTACGTAGCGTCCTCATATTGCGAATCTGGTGAGATTCGTCCAATACGACTCTCCAGAACTTCAAGGCATAGAGGACTGGCAGTTGGACTCCCGCTCGCGTCAGCTCTTTCTGCCAATCGTCATCAGTTGTGAGTTCGTGCTCGCTCAAGAGTACCATTAAGACACGGTACGCAGCAACGACCTCGGAGTATGTGGTGATGCTATAATGTTGTAAGTATTGAATGAAAATAGAAGTGCCATTATCCTCGCTTACATGAAGTCGCTTCTATCATAGATGTTCAAGTCGAATCCATCGTTTTCGTGCTTTCTGGCATATGGCGTAATGGAAACCTTTTTACCAGGTTTGATGAAGCGTTTGCACTCATGAAGAAGCTGTTTGCTTGATCTCGGTGGGCCGATGATCAATGTACAATGCGACAATGGGCATATGTCCTCGTCGTCATCATGGTCAATTTCGTCTTCGTCTGCATCATCATTGTTTCCATCGTTGCTGTCGTCTTGTCTGTTTGAATTGACGTAAGAAATTCCCTTCGTTCCTGAGCTCGCGCCCAATTGCTGCATGGGGGCAGGTGTTGTGACGATCAAGGCAATTATTTGTGCCGTCTTGCCGAATCCCATCTGATCTGCCAATAAGCCCCCCATGCCGCTCTTCTCCAGCTCCTTCATGCGCGCAACGCCTATCATTTGGTCGTTGTATAAGCCAAAATTCAATGTGCGGTGGTGCCACTTGTCTTGGTAGCCAACGAATTCTCTTTTCCCGAAGCTTTTAAGGCCGGCGTTGATGTCCGCGATGTCCCGTGAAACTTGGTTTTTCGGGCAACTCGGATCAGCCGCCTCTCGGAAGGCAACAAACTGCTTTTCTTTAGTGGCTCCTTTGATCTTGAATGGATCTATTTCTGTGATGTTTTTTTCGTCGCCAGCACCACAAGATTGCGGGGGGTTGGCGGCGTTCGATTTGTTCAAGACCCTTCTATTATCTCTCTTGTGAGGAAGCTGCTGCATACCGGCATCGGCGCGGACCTTGTTATTCTTGGAATTGCTCCGATTGCTGTAAGGTGGTTCTGGGAATACCTCTTCCACTCGAGCCTCTTTGGTGAGATTGTCACTGTAGTGAACTGGCGCGCCGTGTTGGTCCTGAGTTTGATTTGGTGCATTGTTCAAAGCTTCTTCGGCTATATTTGCATCGCATTCTTGTTTAATGACAATATCCGATACCTTGGCAGTTCGATCCTTATTATGGATATTTTCGCGGCGTTCCGTAATGTTTGACGCCTCTCCTGTCTTTTCTGCGGGCTTCTCGCTGCTGGTGCTTTCCAGTTGTCGCACATCAGCCTGTCGGTGATCGTTTGCGGCGTCGACATCCATCATCTCTATCTCAGGATGTTCTTTCGTTTCTTCCACTAGAGCCTCCGGAATACAATTGTCACTATTGCTGTTTTGCACGCTGTTTTGCTCATTGATCTGATTGAGGTTATCGTTGGTGCCTGCTTCCACCGTGTCGTCGACTTCTTGTTTGATGGTAACCTGTCGGGCCTCGGAATCAGAAATGCCTTTATTGGAAGACTTAGGCTTGTTGACCTGTCTCTCATCACTGCCAGCGTCTGGCTGGGACATGGTCGTATTGTAATGGCCCTTGGTGTTTTCCATGTCTTGCTGGCTTTCGGCGCGCTTTATGCCGTTCGTGATTTCTGTTGGAGGCTGTAGATCAACCTGTTGGTCATCACCAACGGGGTCCGTCTCCATGACGTCTGCTCCAACAACTTGGTCCACAATCTCCTCCACTCGTGCCTTCTTGAATTGCCTGCCATTGGTGTCCATATTGGATGCATCGGCGGCTGTTCTCTTGGAAGGAGGCATCATTTGACTTTGGAACTCTTCCTTGATAGGCTTCGGTGTGTCTGTGGCGCCATCGCAAGAAGTGGCCATTTCTGTAGTTGCGGATTGACCCGGGAGCTGGGTTCCATCTTCTGGTCTCTGACTGCCTGTTGAATCAGTCGTCATGACCTCTCCGTTTGGATCTTCCTCCATGTTGGAAAGTGGCCGTAGGCCAGGCGAATGAAAGGAACTTTGCAGCCTAACGAATGTTGAGCTGACAAGGAGAGTGATGAAGAAGAAGTAAAGATTGGGGATTGGATTGTGGGGTTGTGGAATGGGAAAAGGAAGTAGAAAAGGAAGGTGCTTGGATAATTCTGGTTTTTGTAGAATTGAGCCTGGAAAGTATGAGTTCTTGTCAATACGAAATGACTTGAGCTATCTGCAGAATTCTTCGTGCGAGGTAGAACAAAAAGTTGACGTCAATGTTCATGGGGAATTTAGAAGCATCCGGCTGTTCTTGACTTGTCTATAGTGGCCGATGGTGGAAGAATGTGAAAAAAAAAGGGAAAATGTGTAAGACGGAAGGAGTCGGTAGATGGACCAATGTGCTGTATTGTTGTAGCTCAGTTGTGGAGCGAGGCAGTTGACAACTGATTGTTCTAGATATTTGAATCAACCTCTAGGCACGCATTGTAAAATGTGGAAAGAAGGCGAAAAGCGTGAGAGAACAAAAAGTCAATGAAGACTTGAACAGCTGAGAGTAGAGTGGATTGAAGAGGAAAGAGACAGTTGGAGTGACCCAGCAGATGGAGGGATGATGGAATTGGAACGTGGTTTGGGAAAGAGTGAAGAATATTGAATGTAGATGTAAAGGGTTTTGTGATCAATATCTTCAGCCACAAGGTGAGGTAGTCCCAAGAGCAGGGGACGATCGCTGTCGGTTGGGTGTGAAAAAAATACCCGTGCAGCTTTATACGATTTGGCAGTAACTGATAGATTGAGCCGAAAGGATGGAATCGATCCAGTGCGTGTTGGTAAGTACACTGCTGTTGACCAACTCGTCAAATGAAATGAAGTGCTCTTTTGCACAAGAGAGAAACTCCTGACAGCTGCAGTATTGGCAGCCTTTGAAGTGTGTGGCTGGCTACTATAGTTATTTTGTTCGATACTCCTCGGAATTCTGTTGGCATATCGATGTTCTTTCTTAGCGTGTTGGGTCTTCTAGTCCTCCAATGTGGCAGGCACGGGGACTGCAAAGGGCGCTTTCCCTCTTTCAATCCAATTTCGAGCTGCCGAACAAATAATCTGCTTTCCCTTGTGGAAACGCAGTTGGATTATTCCGGTCCACTGATTTTAGCTTGGGCAAACACATCTATCGATAATTGCTGTTGAATCCAGCTTCGACGGAGGCACATTCAGACATTTATTATCGTTGCATCGGGGACGCATACGACGAGACTGTCGAAAGTGGATGCCTTTGCTATAATGGGGTCGTCATTTCCATCTTTTCAGTCATTCTACCAGCACGAGGTGTCCCAGGATGCAGATTGCCCCCAGCACCAGAAGTGTCACACCGGCGATGGCTTCACAGGACAAGAGATCTCTCTTGCGCTGGACCCTGTCTCAAAGTCATGGAGTCCTAATAAATCCTACCACAAGCAAGCCATTTCTCTTCTCAAAACAGGACCAGGCTACTGGGAGATCACGGGAAGAATCGTCAACTTTATACGACCAGGCAAACGAAGCAATCCGCAGCTGTCTACACAACATCAATGTCTCATATTATTGAGTGACGAAACTGGTGTATTATCTGTAAGTCCCCCCCGGGCGGCCACCACAAGAGGGCTTCATCAGAAATCTTCACGACAACTCACGCATGACAGGTGAGAATGGTATACCCCAAGCCCTTCGATTTTGATTTCATCTTCGGCCAACGAATCACAATCTATACGACGTCCATCACAAGCTCTTATGATTCGGAGCCCGGAGATATTCCTCATGTCAACTTCTGCACCACCATCTCTCCCGGTCGAAATAGTGCCACGCACATAATCTTCCATCAGGACACGACTTTCTCTGATCATACTTGCCGGACTCCTCCCCCATTGCATTTCCAACCTGGACTGATGTGTTTGAGATCATTCATCTCCAGTGGTTTCGATGTCAGTGACGTTCAAATTCTTGTCTGTGTTCGTTCTGTAGGTCCACAAAAGAACATTCAACGAAGAAAGCGAGAAGCTACTGTTGATTTGGTCGAGGTTGGCATCTTTGACGATACAGCTACAGCCGTCTTGATACTATGGGGCGATCATGCTGCTTCCGCCAAGTCGTTCATACCGAATCAGACACTACTATTGATTTCACAACCTACTTGCAACTCTATCACCCCAAGCAGTACAAAAGGCCAGCCAGCCGCTGAATTGAGTATTGGATATAACTCCATGGTCTTTATTGACCCAAAGTGTCCCCAAAGCAAGTGGCTGAGCACGAGAATCACGGAGATATCTCGACGAGATAGTATCGTAACAATCATTCCCGAAAGCATCTGGGACGCTGTGGATATCGGCAGTAGCAGTGCCACCAGGGGATTCCTCACAATCGCAGAGGCTGATGAACAAGTCCGGCAAGACCCTGGAAGAGATTTTATGGGTACGATGCGCTTGGTTATTATGGAGGTCAACATTATAGCACTATGTCGCAAAGCGATGTTTTGTTGTGCCGAGTGGTAAGTTCTACAATCTTGCTCATGTAGAGCAACGTTGAGCAGAGCTAATGTGATTGCAAAACCAGCTGCGGCTTCCCCATCTATTCCAACAAGTGTACCTCAACGTGTAAAACTTGTGGTCAGCAGCAAGAACTAACTGTTAACCCACGAGTTCTTGGATCACTGATTGATGAGAGTGGCGCTCTCACAGCTGCTGGGCTTGCCTGGTCCAACGATGCATGGACGAGATTGTTCTTCGGCAACACTCGAGATAATCAACTAGAATCGGATGACAATTTATCGATAATCCTCCAGGAGTCATGGGAGGATATAACCGTACTCGACACTAATTCTTTGAAGGATATCGAGGACCAGTTATATTGCTCATGTATAATTGTGAAATTTGGCTGGTCATCACAGCTAGGCAGGCTTTGCATTCTGGGAGTTCAATGGTAAATCGGGAGCTATGGACAAAAGATGGACACTTTACAATATCCTGTCATTTGCAAGTGGTTGACACGAGTCAGGAAACAACATAGAGACTTGTGCTTGAGAGGCGAAATGGCTCGGAGAACAAAAATGCACCTAACAGTCGTTTCAAGGAATGCACACACATCAAATCTGACGAAGTTTTTGAATCGTTCTATAGTCTTATGTACTTTGATCCGAATCCTAACAGATGTACAGCCAGTCGTTACGAATAGTTTTCGAGTGATTTGGGTCCTGATGGGTCGTCGGATGGCTTAGGCAAGCTTCGAGGTTGCTGGCTTTCTGTCCCCCACTTCCTTGGCAGCACGGTCTCTCAGTTCCTTTCTCAAGATCTTGCCAGACTACATGGCTATTGTTAGCAATTGTTCCAATCCATATTTGACGGTCAGAAGAGAGTGATTAGCACTCACCGGATTCTTGGGGATTTCTGGCACGTAGACGACTCCGCCCTTGAGCCACTTGTACCTGACAACCTTGTTCTGCATCCAGGCGGCAATTTCCTTTTCCGAGACCTTGGCTTCGGGATTGGGCACAATGTAGGCCCGGGGAACCTCTTCACCATTAATGGTGACACCGACGACGGCAGCGTCGACGACAGACTTGTGGTCGAGCAGGACGCCCTCCAGCTCGGCCGGTGCCACCTGGTTGCCCTTGACCTTGATCAGCTCCTTGAGGCGATCAATAACGTGCCAGAGGCCACCGGGGCCGTATTTCTCGACAAAGGCGATATCGCCCGTCTTGAGCCACCGCGTGCCGTCGGCATCGACGTGGATCGTGCCGGCCGTGGCTTCAGGTTTGTTCCAGTAACCCTTCATCAGCGTGGGGCCCGAGACCCAGATCTCGCCAGACTGGTTGGGGGCGGTAATCTCGCCGGAGCCGTCAAGAGCCATGATCTTGCCCTTGCAGTTGGGCATCATTTCACCGACAGCGATGCTTCGGAACGAGGTGTTGGGGTCCCAGCCGATACAGGTGCAGGTCACCTCCGTCATGCCCCAGCCTTGATGAACCAGGACATCTCCAGACGGCCACAGCTTCTCTACCTCGGCGCTGACTTCCATGCTGAGTGGTGCAGCACCACTGCCGAGACCTTCGATGGAGCTGAGATCGTATTTGCGGGCCAACGGGTGCTTGGCCAAGGCGACAACAATGGGCGGGACGCATGTCAGCGCCGAGATCCGGAACCGTTGCACATACTCGAGCATCTTGACGAAATCGAACGAGGGCATAATGTAGACGGGTGTCCCCATGCGCGGGAAAATCGTGATGAAGTAGGTCTGACCAAAGGCGTGGTACATGGGCAGGAAGCAGAGCTGGCGGGCTCGGCGAGCCCAGTCTTCATAGTCAGATTTGAGCTTCTGGATGTACATGACACCAGCACCATTGGCAATATAAGAGTAGTGGCTGATTTCGACACCCTTGGGGACACCCGTCGTGCCAGAGCTGTAGTTGAGACAGCAAGTGGCAGTCTTGGGATCCGAGGGTTCACTGGACAGAGAGACGTGGTTAGCAAAGCTATGAAAAGAAACAAAGACTTTCCAGTCCCACAATCTCACACGCACCACCACGTCGCATGGTATGTCTATGGAGCACTGGGACAAGCACTCAAAAGCATTAATTTTGACATTTGCCGCGTACTTACTACCAATCCCACTTCTCAGCTTTCTCTATCGGAGCGAGCAAAGAAGTCCAGTGCTTGGCCCCCAAAGGTGCCTTTCCTGGGGTCGGGTCGAGGGCTGTAGCATCGAAGCTGTAAACTTTGGACTTTGGCAGACCAGCTTCGGCGGCGGCCTCGACGGCAATTTCCATGCTGGTGTCAGCGGCAATCAGAAAAGCAGCGCCGCTGTCCTTGAGCTGGTACGCCAGCTCCCTTGCGACAAAACTCGGGTTGGCGCCGGTAAAGACACCACCGGCCATCAATACGCCCATGAACACCACGGGGGTAAAGAGCTTGTTTCCCGAAAAGAGAAGGACCCTGTCGCCGGGTCGCAGTCCTGCCTCGACAAGGCCAATTGCGAGTCTCTTGGACCATAGTCGGTATTGCGACCGTGTGAGAAAATGCGTATCGGGTCTCTCGGGGTCAATGTACTGAGGAGTCTCTGGCAATGGATCAAAGGACGACCCAAAGGTCCATTGCTGCAAGGAACCGCCTGGAATATCCGCGGTCCAGCGACTGAGGATCGGCATGGTGGTTGAGTGTGTCTATGGCAATCAGCCGGAAGTGTTGCGATTTGCTTGCTGGCAGAAGTGGCTAATGAATGATGGATATCTTTTTGGTTATGGTAAATTGTTAAAAAAGATTGTTAATCCTGATGATTGTTGTGGATTGTGGTTTCGTATTCTGCACGATAGTCGACTGTGGACCTTGCTCGAGACTAGCCAGTGTATACCAACAATTGCATTCTTCAACAATGACAGAGTGGGAAACAGGAGAGAAATCTCGTCTACATTGCAGAATTGGCAAGGAACAGCTGCAAGCAAAGCCATGGACGCTCGGATCTGGGAGTCCTGCCTAGGACTTGCTGCAAAGAGCTCTTTGCGGACCCTCTTCAGCTATCTCTCCTGAGCCGGTTCCCCTCATGACCCCCAAACAATCCACACAAAGTCGCATGGCTGAGAATTGCATTGATTGGTCCTATAGGCGACGGGGTTCGACAATTCGAGAGAAAAAGAAGGCGTTACGAATCCCCCGCACTTGCGGATCCAACTTTGACGATAGTGCAATGCGGAGAAAAAGCTGGGGTTTGGAGAACATGCCGAGGCTGGAATGCCCCAATTGGTATAGCGAATAGTCGCCAACCCTGGGCTTTTTTGCCTGGAACCCCCGGAAGCAAATCAACAAGTAGCCAGTTAGATCTAACCCTATATGAAGGGGGACAATTCTACCGAATTTCCCGTCCGTTTTTTTGCGAGCCATTACAACTCCACCATTGACTAGGAAGTCGTCGGCCATCGGAGCCGCCTTCGCCGCGGCTTCAAGGTGCTTGCTTGCTTGTTGGGATAGGTCACAGTCGAGAGAGAGCACAACTGCACAAAGGTCGTCTACTCGGGCTAAGCCTTTGCACCCTCCATCGCGGGCTCCCCTATGCCAATGAAAAGCGAGAACAAAATCGTCGTCGTCTGCATCTCTGTGGCTCTTTGGCAAGGGTGACGCAAGTGGCATATATCCGGGCTTATGCGATCCACTGCCGATTGATACGAGAGTCAGCAGCTGGGGTTCTCACCGCTGCGATCAACCTGCATCAAAATGCTGGAAAAGAAACCAGACATTCAGCGCCAGATGTGCGAGACTGCGCTTCCAATTGCGAGACTGGAATATTTACTCGCGTTTGAATTGCAGAGCACCGCCATCGCTTCTTGTCGCTGAAATGCAAGCACAAGTTTCGCTTAGCATCGTGTACTTTTTTTTTTTTTTTTTGCCCTTTGCCAGCCGTGTGTCCAGACGGCTGGGATTGAGGGGCCACGACTTTCGGAAGTGTACCCCAATTGGCTTCAGGATATATGTTTGCGCTTGCAAGCTGACAAGATGGCATTAGGATCTGGTATAACGTGAACCACGCTTATAGGGTCTTACATGCTCCTGCATTGTACTAATATGTACACATACACAACAGCCAAGTACACCACGCTAGAGTGTCGCTTCGCCAGTCAAGATCGCTGGTGTCGCCATGAAGTCGTCAAAGGGGAAAAAATTCAAAATATGCGTGCTGCGTATATTTAATGCGTATGACCGCCTGCCGGATGAATCAGTTGCAAAGCCGACACATGACACGTCGGACGGTTGCGCATGATTACTCTTGACGTTGTGCCCTTGACTCGGCCAGAGGGAAGATCCAACGACTGAAGCGCTTTGTCCGGCTTTGCCCGTATGAATAGAAACCCTTCCATAAATTTGAAGTCATCATATCGCATCGTTCAAGATGGCTTCAGAAGCATATCAATCAAAGACGATGTCCGGCTGTACCACTCTGGGCTACAACTCGAATGCAATTCGTCAAATTATGATGCGGCAGTTGCACCTGTAGTTTGAAATATCCTGACGGCATCAACTCGGCAGGCAAACGATTGGAGTAGAAAGAAGTCAAAGGTAAGGACGACAAGACTCGCCGATCGACTACCAAGACAACCAAGACAAACAAGCCTTGTCATTTACTCTCGGCGCTGCTGTCATTCGGCTTGGCTATGAGGGAACAGACGGAATAATGTTGCCTCCATCAGTAGTATCAAAAGGGAGAAAGTCCCGAATTCTGTGTTCAGATGCAGAGCTAATTGGACCAGACAGGTCTCCATGTTTCACTAGTCCGGAACAAACACGGCCTTTCAACAGCATGACGCTGATTATGATATGTTACCTGGATACTCGAGCCGAAATGACTCTTCTAGAATGGTCTTGACTGAGTTTGGACCTTGGTGGCTCGTTGAGGCCACTTAGAAGGAGCTTGGTGAGCACTGTTTCATCGCATCCAGTGTAGTCAGGAGGCTGGGGGAAAAAAACTGCATTTTCTTCTTGCAATTGCAACTGTACCGGCGGTCCGGACATGATTCCAGTCAAAGGTGCGGTTTGCTCAAATGCAATAATCGTCGGCGTTGAGGCTCGGTGCGCTCAATGAGGGTCCGAGCCACTGTGATCCGATCGTGTTTCCCAGACACTTTGCGTTTGAGCTCCTAAGAAAACAGCCCCAGTTTGTTGGGAACTCTCAAAATCAACCGAGTATAGTCTAGCCTGGATGGCAGCAGCCAATCAGACTAGGTTCCAAAACGACTATTTCCCCATTGGGACAGAACTTGATTCATGGCGCCAAAACATGACTGTGGTGCCAAAACTCGGGAGAAACAGCATAGCCCCCAGCAGCGAACAAGCACAAATGCCTGAGTGCAATCATACAGTTTCGAGAAATGATGTGCGGATCCTCGCTTTTTCTCTACGATCTCCCGCAGCCGCACCGAAACTTTGACCTATGGGGGATCTTCTTGTCCCGTTGCCTCCGCCCCCATTCCATCCATGGGGGTTCATGGGTGTACCCGCCAATTAGACTCGGGCCTATTGGACCTATTGGTTCGGCCCTCCTTGAGCCAATCGCAACTATTCCTCGACTTTTACTCAACTTTATTCTGACTGCCGGATACCCAGCGCGCGGATACTGAAGCAGGACCCCTGGTTTCTCGGATCAACAACGACCCTAGTCAGAGGTCGGATCACTGCTTCGACTGATCTCTGCGGTGGCTCATCTGTGCTCTTTCAGACATTTGTTGGTATAGCTTCAAACCAAGAACACTACTGCAAGGCTAGACGCGATGCGAAAGGATGCCGAGCATGTCATCGGCTTGTGCCAAGTCTTCCAAGATCTTTCCAAGACCTGTCAGCCAAGGCCGACCCAGATTGTCTATATAAGATGAGTTGATCATTCCGGATCAGAGTTGGAATTCTTTTTCATCATCATCAAGCATCAATCACTCTAATCAACCCCCTTCAACCATCTCCTTCACTTCTACAGAGCCTGGTGCTCCTTGTTAATCAATCTTTCCTCTTACAGTCTCTACTTTACTACTACTTTTTCAAGTACTACTATTTTATTTTCGAGTATAACCTCTAGACCACCCTTTTAATCCATCAAAATGAAGTACGCTACCTCCATCCTCATTGCCGCTTTCGCTGCTACCAACGTCCTTGCCCACGGTGTCATCACTGAGGTGCAGGGTGCCAACGGTGTCACCCTTCCCGGTCTCTCTGTTGCCGACGGCACCCCTCGTGACTGTCCCACTCCCGGCTGTGGTTCCGAGGCCGACACTTCCATCATCCGCAACAAGGAGCTCGGCACCTCCAAGGCCAGCGCCCTCGGCCGCACCAACGGTGGTGGTCCCGTCGACGCTGCCAAGATGGTCGCCATCTTCATGGACGGTGCTGGCGGCAACAGCTCCTCGACCAAGGCTGCCCGTGCTCTCCACGCCGAGAACAAGGCCCGCTACGCCAAGCTCGCCGTTCGTGCTTCCAACGGCGGGTCCAAGACCCCCAAGGGTACCAGCGAGACTGGTGTCAAGGCTGCCACTGGTGCCGCCTCGGACGGAATGCCCACCACTGCCGACGACGGCACCCTGACCATGACCTTTCACCAGGTCAACCAGGACGGTGCCGGTCCCCTCAAGGCGGCCGTCGACGCCACCTCTGGCGGCACCGACCCTTCGGCCTTCAAGGAGGCCGAGGTCACCCAGAACGTCCCCGGTATTGGCATTGGCGGTCTCTCGGGCGCCACCACGACCGACTTCCCCGTGGCCATCCAGATGCCCGCCGGCATGACCTGCCAGGGCTCCGTCGGCGGTGCCGAGAACGTCTGCATTGCCCGCCTCCAAAACTCGGCCCTGGCTGGTCCCTTTGGTGGCTCCGTCGCCTTTACCCAGAGCTCCGCTGCCAAGAAGCGCGCCATTGAGTACAACCTGGCCAAGAAGCGTTTTGCCCGCGGCCTCGAGTCTAGCCAGTAAATCATTGGCGGCCACTGCAATGGAAAAGGATTTGACCCCGATCTGATGTGGAGGGAAGGGTGATGGGGAATTTGTATATAAGCTCGGAAGCAGAGCTGACCCACCCCTGGTCTACTTGAGAGGAGAAGTGGCGGGGGGAACTGGTCGAGAAGAAGGTTGTATATACACATATAAAAAGCTGTCTCCGGGTTGAGACAGTGAAATATAGAAAGAGTGACTGATGGAAGGGTTGGTTTTTGGATTTCAGTATCTTTGATCTTGACCATCCTCTTCAGCACTGGACGGTTCCGCATGCGGGCCAAAATTGTATATAGATACCAGCTCAGTTTGGTTGGTGAATGATGAGTCTTACGTTCCTTACTTAGTAAATATTTACAATTCCTATCTTGTTCAACTAGGATGTTCAATCGTGAATAAATAAATGTTCTAAATAAATGCCATGTTGTTTTTCATAATCTCGTTGCATCTTAATAACTTGCATATAGGTAGGTAGTATGATGGTGGCTCAACGAATGAACTATCTCCAAGACTTTTGACATGTCTTGGCATTGCGCCAACGCAACAGATCTCCATATTGCTCAAGGGTAAGGGGGAAAAAAAAATCTTCAGGTCCAGTTTTAAGGCTGGATATCCCTTTTTGGACAATTCTCGAAATTTGAATTTCTGGTTCAATGAATCATCGATTGCATTCACGGAGCTGGCATGGCATCCGTTGCGATATTGTATCCATTCAATTCTGTAAGTCTTTTGTCAATCGTGTCCGCATTGCAATGAGTGAATTCGAAGTGAGGACATGCGAATGCATATGTGCCTACTCCGGGACCGAAGAACGAGCTTTGCTTTTGGCTCACGCTCGTACCGGAAGCAGTGAAGCCCATCAAGTATTGATTTGGGAATTGTGTAGGAGTGCAAGGAATGTTGGTGAATGGATAAGGGTCCATCTTTTGTCAAACGATCATTGCTGTTTATAGTCAGTGGTACGTGCTTCCCCTATTATTGGCACGGTATTCCGTACACACATGTTGGCAGCAGGTTTGCCTAATAACCTAGGTCAAGTTAGGTAATTAGCATACTTAGTAATATCAACAACGTGGCTGTCGATCAGAAGAGCAAAACAGTTATCTAGCCCAAGTAGCGTGCGCGATCAGATCACTTGAGCCTTTTGATGGAAACGGTCAGTGATAGTCTTTTTCAATCCTCATGTTCCCTATCTGGAATTTGCGTCTTCTTAAATTAGCATCAGCTAAAGAGGCTGAAGGGTTGAGAACTACACTACACTTACTTTAGCGGCTACCCGATAGGATTCGCTGCACCTAACGGCCGCTAGAACTGCAGGAATCGCATTGGTGGGCACGTGCGGATTTCCAAGCTGGGTCAACCGGGTTGGACATTAGTACCGTAGCTGCGGTTCAGTGTATCCAAGTTAGGCATGTTGGCAGGGGGTCAATGACAATGCGCCGCGCCCCCCCAGTCACAGCCTCAATTGATACCGCTAATAGTACTGATGAATTGTGTTGTGCCTGTATGGAACTGTTCATGATGACGGAGGCGGACCGGGGAATGCAGACAGACGACGCCACATTAGATCCGTACAGATATCTCTTCCTTTTGCTTCCCCAGTGATTTAGCATACACTGACTGGAGATCCACAAGAGCTGCCGTGGAACACATGCACAAAGGGGAAATCCATCCCGTACATGAGGCAGGTAGTACGAAAAAAAAAGTGCGGGTTGGGCGGGAGCGCCTGCCGGTTACACACCAACCTGATACAACAAGTCTCAACTTAAACAAAACGGGAACAAGGTAGAAGCAAACAACGGGCAGGGGAAAAGAAACGGGAATATCATGACATGATGAAGCTGCAATTCATGCTACAATCCGCCTCGACAAGAAAGAATCAAATTAATTCCATTACCAACAACATTTCAACAGACTCTTGACCAGGTTTGTGATCCCACAAAATTCTCACCTCCAGTCAGCTGTGGGTTCCTGCGCCAGCAACACGCTAAGATCGTCGAAGCTCGTCGGTTCTGTTTTGCGAGAGCCACAAGCTTACCCAAGGTAGTGTGTTAAACATTCCGTCTTCTTCCCAGTCTCGTCAGTCTCGTCACACACACAGCCCAACAAGCCAACGAGCCAAACAAGCCCTTCCCTGCTACCAGCTAGTCCCTACAGGCGTTCAATCCCCTTGCCTGATTCACACCAGGGCTTAGATGGCTTGCTAACCATAATCGCAACTCTCCAGGACCAATCAGACTCAAATCCATCTCTCTGCTCCCCTGCCGGCGATACTTTATCACACCATGCACCTTTAATACTGTGCCATGGCCACCACGCTACTATTCGATCTTCCCTCACTTTTTTTTTTGACTTGGTGATCTATCTGTTCATCCGACCAGCACTTTCGGGAAGACAGCCCACAAGCTATGGCTGGGTACCAGCATGATGAGGCAAACGGTGCCCCGCCAAATCTTCTCGGAACAGTGTTCCCGGGTCGATATGTTTATCAGAGAATGGACGCTGCCGAGAGCCAAGCAGATGTCGACATGGCAGAACTAAACTCTTTGGACCACAACACCACCAAGGGCGGCATGGTGGTAAATTCGTCTGTTCCCATGGATCCAATCTCGCCAGCAACGGTACCCAACTCTCGTTCAGGAACGAGCCATGGCGCTGAAGATGTGTCTCCCATAACACCTGGGCAATCAGAAGTTGCCCAGAGTCCTGGCGGCACCGACTCAAATAACTCCAGCGCGCCCAATGCACCGGCAGCCGCCCCGGCAGTTCGGAGACCCTCGAGGAAATCCAGATTTACGGAATTGCTTAGAAGGTCTCTTTCGTCATCAGTTTCGTCAAATGACGGCCGCACAAGGTCCTTGTCAGGATTTGAGCCCGCCAGAGAAATGACCCAGCAGGATACGTCCTACAACCCTACCCGATCGCAAAGTTCTGCCCATCAATTAGATCCCATTAGGGAAAATGAACCCCCAGGAAACAGAGATGATGTGGATAACTTCTCTTTGAAATACAGTATGCATAATTCTCTCGCTAAATCCAACCAAATGTGTGCTGCTAACCTCTTTGGAAAATAGGCCAGGCCCCGTTGGATTGTCACTCAAGGCGAGACGTGCACGTTCGGCGACGTAGTTGGCTATACATTATGCTCATGATATTCTCTCTATATTCGACGGTGCTGAGTGGAATCTGGTTCGTCGTGGCCATTATTCAGCCGAGATATGGCAAAGGCATCTCTTCAAGCAACGGCGCCGGCGTTGTCGCCCCGTCTACAGCATCATTGGTAACAGCACTGCTGGCCAAGACTACAGAATTGACCTTTGTGACCGTTTTTGTTGCCTTTGTTGGTCAAGTTCTGACACGGAGAGCCTTTATCAAGGGATCCCAGGGTGTCACTCTCGCTGAAATGACCATGCGCAACTGGATCATCCAACCCGGCTCGCTGTTTACACACTGGGATAGTATACCATACACCGGAGGAACTTTTCTAGGTGTTCTCACATTGGTTGCCACCCTTGGCGGCATATTCTACACAACTGCGTCGGACGCCATGGTCACGCCCAAGCTAATATTCGGCGATTGGGAGCACCGGGCAATAAGTGGGCGCGTTAAGGCTTCCTATGCAAACCCGTACTATGTCTTGGATTCATGCACTACACCCATCAATAAGACTATCGATGAGTGGAACGCTGGGCCATCATGTCTTGCCGTCTATTACTCAGGTCAGTCGTACCGGAATTTGCTGGAGTTTATGGCAACTTGGCAAAATCTTGTCAACTCAAGCCACACGGCGTCGACAACCGATATTTATGCAAGACCTGGAGGGACTGCACTCCTATACGACAACACCACCCTCTACCCAGCCTGGGTCGATGGCGAATATAGCGACCCGGCTAAACAATTCGCTACCGCCAAGAGAGTCATCAACAATGTATCAATGTCTATGCCTCATCCAGGAATATACCAGGCTGCGACCGACCCCACAAATGGCATCCTTCAGCCCAGCGACTTGTCAGGTGTGGGCGAGTATCAAATTAGAGCCAGTGTGGCCTCTCCGAGTGTGAACGTTCTATGCGCAAACCTCAACAGAACAGAGCTGGAGCCACTCATCTATGCAACGTGGCCAGACGCAAGAACTGTCGGCACCGAAATACCATTCCAACGTACCGGCGTTGCCGACTGGATGGACGACGTCCCTGTCGCCAGCGAAGACGAATGGCTGAACTCGACAGTTGTAGATGATATCTTTCTCTGGGGTGAGAAGTACGGGCGCCGTCCACCCGTCTTCCCAATGGTAAGCTACTCCTTCTGCTCATGCTTTGACTAGCCTTTCTTGAGCCTTGCTGACTCTGTACAGTATCCCATTGACTATAACATGATCACAAATACGTCGGTCATCAGCTCTGACTCTATATATATCCTCGCCAAATCCGGTCTAGTTGAAGACTACACAGTATGCCAGCTACGTTCATGGTTATCGCCCAAGTGCTCGACGCAATTCAATATCTCGGGCATCGCTGGTGCGCAGATGCGCGCGCACTGCGAAGATACGCATGATGAGAATGCCTATTCTCATTCTCAACCAGCTATGCCCGAGACTGGCAATATGGACTGGAAGAACATGGTGGACCAATGGCGTCTGAGCATGGATCTAAATGGCGGCTCAACTAACAGCAACGCCTCCAACGCGCGCATCTTGACAAACTTCATCCTCAACTCGACTCGCCTCGAGCCACTCCTTCCGTCCATGGGGGAGGCCCTTGCCGTTTTGGCTTCGTCAACTCTTGTCATTGGCGGGCAGGACGCATCGTTTCGACAGTACTGGGATGCGTCCTACGGAGCACAAGAATTACCAAATGGCGTATACGAGGAGTTTAATGCCACCATCAAGATGCAGCAGTACGCATCGGCACATACCGAGGACTGGCAAGCCATCTTCTACCCAGTTCTAGGCCTTGTCTTCGTGGTCAATGTCGTATGTTTGCTCTATCTTCTCTTCGTCTATGGCATGGTCACCGACTATACGGAGCCGCGCAATATGTTTGCCCTTGCCGTCAATTCGCCACCATCGCGTCAGCTCGATGGTAGCTGCGGCGGTGGGCCGGAAGCTCGTGAGCTCGTTGTCCCCTGGCGCGTCGGTTATGCCGAGAGTGCAAACCACTACTTCTTTGAAGAGGCGAGTGACCGGCCCTTGAAGGGCAAGTGGAAGAATTCGGCCGCCGCGAGCCGCACTTCAGGTTTGAACCTTTTGGCCGAGCAGACCAATGAAGGAGGAAGGTATCGAAGTAGCTATCAAAAGCTGAGTGCCAGCCGGATGTTTCTATGATATGGTAGCATGAGATCGGTGGATGCAGCTGTAACGATAGAAGAAAAGCGCGTGGGCTTTTTCGCATTTACGCCTGGTTGGCAAACAGCATAGCAATGGCGTTTTTTTTTTGTGTTGTATTCATTTAGCAAGTTAATAATATGGCATTCGGTTGCCACGGAGGCGGACCTCAAGAGATATACACAGGAATAACTGGAATGCTGCATATATGTACAAGATCAAGTACATTGAAGAACAATCGGCCGACAACACCTATCTGGAAGTTGATCAATTTAATCGCCTTTGTCCCAGATTATTTTCCACCTTTGCTTTCACGTGGACTGAATCGTCAAGACTCTGCATCCTCGATTGACACATGAGTTTCCCATCTTCTACAGGTCACTGGTATTGACTAGGGGCTCATGTGTTGTCAATCGTGCGCGCATCTGAGCTGATTAGGTAGATGAATTTCTGTGAGCAATTTGCCAATAGTACAGCTAGCTGCAAGCAAAAGTTGTGGATATCTCGAAAACATACACTGGGTTGGGCCATGTCCCCCCTTGGGACACTCTCCATGCTTCCGATGTTATATATACCATGATGATGCTCTCCCAATGCCAAAAAGGTCAGCCCTCTCACCACCGGCCATTTTGACGCCCCGCGATTTCCAATCAGAAGCCTCATTATCATGTCGATTGAAACCGTATTGACCCAGGAAAAAAAATAACCACTTGAATGTAACCAAAAACAACGACGTAAAAGACAATAAAAATCTGGGGGTATAGGTGTAGAGCGCCCTCTCACTAACGCTCTCCCTAGCCAGAGCAATAATTCCAAACCGCAGACGCCATTAGCAGTGAAAAGCACATGAAACCGAAACTGTGGAAATGTGAAAAAGTAGAGAAAACAACCATAATAGAGAACAGGTCCAAATCAAAAGTGGTCGTTGTGTCGATGCGCAAATTAGCGCCTTCTTCGTTGAGATATTTCTCGTGAACGTCTTAGGAGAAAAGACGAGTGTTGCAGGATCGTCTTGAACCATTCCAGTTGATGGATGGAGTCATACAGGGCCCTTTTCCAGCCTTGTGCCGTGTCAGGACAATGAGCAAATGTCGTCTCTACTCAATTTCCATCCTTGCGGCGATATCTTCGCTCACGCCACGTACAGGACTTTGGCGCATTTCGTCATCCTCGTCCTCATCTTCGCTTTCGCTTTGCAAATACTCGTCCTCGCTGTTTTCTTTCGACTCTGCTGCAGTGAGCGGGTCAAAGTCGATATCCTCATCGGGATCCCAGATTTCCATTTCCGTGTCATCTTCGTCATTGTCACCATCGCTCTCAATAACTCTGTCGGCGATGCTGTCACCCAACCAGTAGTTGGCGCGCTTGTTGGCACCGTTTGATGACACTAGAGATGGGCTAAGAACGGAGCTGCTGCCTCGCCTCATGCCGTTGGGCTTCAGGGCGGGCGACGAGTGCATAATGGACGGCACGCCTCTTACATACATGTATGCCACGCGCTTCAGGCCCTTGTTGAAGAAGAAATAGTGCATTCTCCAAATGGCGGCTTCTTCCCCATCGAATGGATCCGTGGCGGGTTGATAGGAGAAACAGACACAGTCCTTTAGCTTCATCTCCTTATCTATCATGGCCCACATTTGAGGGCCCCATGGGGGGCTGCTGATCGCCGTGGCGCCAGCAGCAGCCGGGGAACTGCCATAATTCCGAAACGATGAGCTCATAGCGGGCGTCAACAACGACGGCGGGCGCACATTGTTGAGCGTGTTATCAAAAGCCGCTATCGCGCGCCTGAGGTTGCGCTCACGCCGGAAATCGGACGGTCTCAGTACATGCGAGAAGTCGTAGTCAGGGTGGCTCGCGTTTAGTGTTGCGATAAGGTAGGCAAAGGTCCTGCGACTTTGTATGTCTGACAGGGGACCAAATGGACTCGAGCGCGACAGGTTCAATGAGGCCGCCATTTGTTCGCGTTGTGGTGGTGACAGCGACGCACCAAACTTGAGTAGTGCCGCATGTTTCGACTCGAGTGACTGATCAATCGACTTGTATAATTTCCTGTCCGAACCAGCGGCTTTCGTCGTGTACAAATCGCATCCTCCATTAACGCGCAAGTCGGGCGTGGTGAAGTTCAACGCCGACGTCACGGTATCGAAGTCCCGTATAGGAAGAAACTACATCGCTTGTTAGCGCAACCAGAAAACAATATGGCTTGTTGTATTGGCGACATGCCTTCATGTTGAGCAGTTGTGTGTGTCGGTGAAAGGAATTGCTGACGCGAATAGAAGGCCACGGTGATGACGTCGGATGTCGTTGCGCGTTTGCGCTCGGTAAGAGCCTTTGTAGTGCAAGACGGTCGCAAGCTATGGAATAGTTTATACAAGTCCGCTCCGTCAGCTGCGATGGCAGAGGAATCGCGTATAAATATTTGGTGGTGCTCGTGTAGTGGCCTTATCTGTTGGGAAACGTTCCGAGGGCTTGCTGCGGTTGCTCGGCTGAGACGACAACCAAGCCCAATCTCTCCTTGATACTTTCGAAAGATCAGACGTACCAGACGATGATACTCGAGTAAAGAGAGAAAGAAGAAGACGGTTATGAAAAGGGGTTATGTTGGTATTTGGGACGACAGTTGCGCATATGGCAGAGAGACTGGAGTTGACAACGAACAAAGGAGACTCGGGACGAATGGGAGGACCAGTTGGTGATCAGCAAGCGGGTCGTCGGTGATGTTGTCTGACGAGCTGGCAACTGGGTTCAGGCGATTCGGACACTAGCAAGCAGGAGCTATCTGAGACAGCCGAAAAGCGCGACGCTTTCTACAATACTACTTCCGGGAAGCCAAGCCTGGCCTGTGGTTTTTTTGGGAGACGATAGATGCGGCGACGTGCTAGATAACTGGAAGTTAGTTGGCCCATCATATTGTACGCCAAGATAGAACGACATTGGCGACCAAGTGACCCACGACGTCGTCATTGACGATGTGAGGCGGCGTCGAGGTCGTACGAGGACGACTGTGGTCGAAGTGTCCGAACTCTGCCGTCAGCGCATTCAGCTTGTTAGTTCCCGATCCCAAGGTTTGGCGGGGTTGCATTCGCATTGCCCATCAAAGCCCATGCGCTGCGCTCTCTCCTTAACCTAGGCCGTTTTCGTACGTGTGGGAATCCCTCCACCTCGATCGCGCACCAAGGAACAAGCCGAGCCATGGCAGTGCAGCGAATGAGACGACGTCTAGATGCCACGAGCGGACATCCCACGGTTTCCTTGAAAGTTGTATGCCTTCTTGCGCAAACAAGGCGCCAGACTGCGGTTTCATTAACTGGTGCGACTTTTGATCTGGATCAGCGACTCAATTCGACCATGTGCTCTGTTCTGCGCGTATCTGGCGAACGCGGCTTTCGGCAAACATCATTGCCATCGTAGACTAGTTGGACGACCCTCATGGTCGCTGAGTAAACTACCCCGCTATGATATGCCCCTATCCAAGACGAGTTCATCGCCTAGAGCTTTCAATGCAAGAGCCAAAGTGTTGTCCAGTCTCGACGATGCAACGCCTCATGCCTTTCCTCATCGAAATCCACCCGCGGATTCGCCCAACATCACCCTCCCCTTGCTCGTCACAAGTATCAAACATGGGTGCTGTGCGATCAGAGGAGACCGTTGGTTTTCAGTGCCTCCTTGATCTCTTTGTCTTTGGACTGCTGTCGGATGGGAAAACAAACATCTATTAGCAAACACCATGACCAGGAATATAGTCGTATCTCGGAGACCTGTACGCCCGTCGTAAGGACAACGCCAAATGCCCCCCTAATGAGTTTGATGCCTTATGTACAATGAATTCGTTACATGATTTTCGTGACCTCGTCTTCGACCTGGAACACGGAAGAAAATAAATGTTAGCGAGTATAGACCCGGGCAATTGCCTGTAAAAAAGAAAAGAAGAAGAAAAGGAGAAGGAGGAACCGGGGAATTCCTGCGCTCGTCAGCTTACCTCCATGTCCTCAAGCGAGTCTTGCTGCCCTATGCACCGCAGCACAGCCTTCTTGCTGCTCTCCTGTAGTTCTCCTGCCAGCAAGAGCTCGTCCAGAATGTAGTAGGCTTTGGTAAAGGAGAAGATAATGTCCAGCTCGCAAACGTTGCCATAGTACTTATCCATCTGCTCGACGTAACGGTGGATGATCTCGAGGGTGATGAGCTCGTTGTCGTCGGAATCGCAGCCGGCGATGAAAAAGAGTGAGGCGTAGCGGCGGTAGACAATCTTGGTGTCCTTGTATTCCAGAAAGTTGCACATTCTCGTTCGCCGGGCGAGGACAAGTTGGGAGACGTCCTTGACAATCTTGGCCTTGTCCTTGGGCGACAAGGTTGAGAACCACTTTGCTAGACGGACCTTGCCCTGTCTAGAGAGCAGAATGAGATAGCTGTCATGATCTTAGCATCAGGCTGACTGATCCGCCGTGGATGGAGATGACAAGATCATACTTGATGGCCATGATGTTGATGTTGCCCACGCACCCACCACGAGGAAGACGTAAGTTCTTGGAGTTTTCAAGTTTTAAAGTTTTTTTCCCTCCTCTCAGGGGCGGAGGTGCTGCGTCAAGAGATCGATTGGTGGACCCAGGAGCTTGAAAATGAGGTATGCGCATCGAATAGTTGCACAGTTGCTCTCTGTCAATTTTGAAGACAGCTCGGTTGGCCACGAGGCAGAAGAGGGATGTTTAGGTAAGGCTCCGGGGGTTTGACAATGGGGAATTTAGTGGACAAGACACCCCGGAGCGGCGCGCTAAACTTCCGCCGAGGCAGTTCAGTCCAACCTCATTACCTAACAGTACGTATAATGTAGCGTGAACCTTGGATGTACCTGCCTACATTTCATTGAATCAATCGTATATCAAAGGAAGCACCTATGAATGCGCAAAAATTCAACATATGGAATATCACATCCCACAACCTTCACAATTGTGTCGCACGCGAGTATTATGAAAAGCATCGATACAAAGTGCTAAGGTACTGAATATACCTGGGTAGCGGCAGGCTACAGCTTGCCAGGTATAAGCCCATATCATGATGGCTACCACTGTCGTTCTCCAGTGCAACTGTCTGATGTCACTCGAGGTGGACGTTTTGCATGTTTGGCTGGTGACCCGTGGAAGAGTGTGTCGATGCAAATACTCCAGCGAATCGCGGGATTACGACATATGCATCCGCGCAAACCACTTCTTTGACAGCTTCGTTGGAGATGGAGCACCAAACCCCCCAAAGAACGACACCGTTCCAGCGCCTCTCCGGTCAATATGAGTGGTAGGCCCGCCACGCCCACGCCCACGCCCAGCAATGAACATTGACAAGGAATCGCCCCCACATGCCATTGATGCTTAAACAATGTTTCTTGTCCAATACGCGGGATGGGATATCCAATTCCGGTTGGACTTGCAGACAAGACTCGCATCGGACAGCTGCTCTGCGGGTGATGCATTGCATCAATCACACTCCATCCCACGATCTCGGAAAAGTAGTGACAAACTACGGCACTACGATGATGAGCGGCGTCATCAAGTTGCTTACTGACTTGTCAACGTGATGCTGCTTTGTAACCTCTGCAAATCCCGGCTGACTCTTTTCGGTGACGGCAGAGTATAGCACGACTACTCTTTAATCCATGTTGATATAGTAGCAGTTCAGCTCCCGCGATGTTCCTACCGGGATATGCTCAGTTGTGGGATTATCAAGTCAAGCGGACCAGCAGCATCGTCAGTATCGCAACTCGGCTAGTACCCGGGCGTCTAGTCCAGCCAGACCTGGACCAGTTCAAACTCCACGCATTTTGCTTACAAACACCGAATGTAATCCGACCGGGCCATATCAGACTAGGAACTTTTGGAAGCCTTCACTTTTCCCCTCCTCGGAAGACGACTTCATTTTCTTGCTTTTTTGGTCATGATATAGCTGCTTGGTCTTGACTCGGATAGCCGTCGTCTTCGTGTCAAGCCTCCGTATACACAAAGAACACACCCGCTTCGTATCAATATCACTACGTACCTTTCTCCGACAGCGCCGTTTCTATCGTTTAACCCCACTTGACGTCTGGACATTTTTCGAGGGTACCCCTCCATCCAATGATCGCGCTTTGGCCATAGAGATTATATCATTTTTCGTCGGCTCTTCCCTAAAGTCTTCTCCCCGGCGCTCAATTTGACTTCTTCGAGGCTTGCGATGGGAATCATCTTTTCTTGCTTGGAAAGACTCGGTCTATACAGTCGCAAGAAGTCTCGAACAATGACTAGATTAATCTTGTCTACTGGGTATGCGACGCGCATTTTTGCCTTTTTTGCTTTTTGTCTCTTTACCTTTTTGGGCGCGCGGAATTCACCTTACTAATTGCTTGTACGACGACCCAGGAACATCATCTCGGGTGGCCCCTCCATCATCCGAAAACCGGGAGCCTACAGATCCAACCTCGAATTGACCAACTCGCTTCGAAGCAGTTTTCTGGCAGCCCAACAGGACTATGGCGCGGCCGCCCTGAGCGACGCAAATGGTGCCGCCACCAGCAACGGCACTGCACCTGTGCCGTCACATGTTAATGGCGACAAAACCGCGACCGACGTCTGGACAGAGAAGGTTGGCGATATACTATATGTTCCTCGCATTGACTGGTCACTGGCCGGTTTGCAAGAGGACAGGGAGGCATACGAGATTACCTTGAAACTCTTCTTCTTGCCCACGGCGCCTGTTTCCCAACGCCCCGAATATATCGAAGCGGCTTTGCAATTAGTCAAGAAAGAGCTGGGAGTTAAAAATGTCGACCTACTTATCGTTTCGTTCCCTGGCATCGCCTTTGAGGGCGACTGTGAATGGGAAGCAGACAAGTTGAATGCGACAATGGGCAGCGAGGAAGACGAGGCCACAACATGGGCAACCCTAGAAAAACTCCACGAAAGAGGCGAGGTGCAAAGGCTCGGTCTCGCCGAGTTTGGCACTGAGAAATTGTCACACTTTATCCAAAAGACAAAGGTTCGACCGGCAGTGAACCAGATCAACACTAGGAATTGTTGCAACGTCCCGCCGCCCTTGATAGAGCTGGCCAAGAAGGAAAACATAGAGCTTTTGACGCATACCGATTGCACCGACGTACTGCCAGGCGGGACGCTGCGAGAGCTTCTCGGCCAAGGCCTGCAAGGCGCGGGTATTCTGGCAGACGAAAGCTCAAGCGAGGGTCTCAAGGGTGACCTTATGCCGCAATGGGTGGTGAAATACACTGCATTTGTAAAGGACCGTGGTGTCATTGAGAACAAGGGCTATTTTGCCGGCGCACAACTGCTTGGGGAATAAGCGCAGACTTGGAGAGGCACTCGAACTCGGCTACCTGCTCTTGGTCATAATTACGGATTCTTTTTTTTTGCATTGCGATACACCGTACTCATTCTCTCATTGGGATAGACTAGCATGATTTTGCGAAATATACATTTAACAACGTCTACCATGTGCTAACCTGGTGGTTAAGAACAAGATTCATCTTGTTTCTCGGTGCTGGTCCCTTGATCATAATAGTCGAGCGAACCAGATGGCAATAGTAATTTCTTGTATTATGACTGTAGGATACTATCCCAACATGCTTCTCTTACGGCCTCTCATCCTCACGTCCTCCAATTTCTTTAATACCACGGGTGCGCCTTTAAAAGTACCTCTGTATCCATCCAGCACTGCTGAGAACAGGCCCTCCGCCTTGGGATGTGTGCTCCCGAATGCACGCTCTAGGACATACAGGTCTACAGCGCGGTCCTCGTCTGCCGTGCCTTGACTCGCTAGGCCAAAGTCGATAATGACAATCTCCCCATCCAGAACCTCTGCCCCTGCTACTTCCGAAGCGTTCTCATCAGTCTCTTCCACAGCAGTAGTAGCATATCCATTGCTCGGGCCCTTGCCTCTCTCCCACGGCCGCAGCATCATGTTACTCGTCGTCAGGTCGCCGTGCACGATCCCGCTCTTGTGCAGCCGGCCCACGGCCTCGCCCATTCTGCGCATAAGCCCTACGAGCTCCTCGACGTGGACGCCCTCGTCGGCAGCAACCTCTGCAGCGCCGTCCTCACCGCGTTGCTCGCGCGCCTCGCGCCGCCGCCGCAGCCACTCGTTGACGCGGACGCGCACGGGGGCGCCGGGCACCCACTCCATGGCCAGGACGCCATTGGCCTCGTCGACGGCGTAGAGGGCGGGCACGGCGACGCCCTCGCGGCGGCACTTTTGCAGGATGCGTGCCTCGGCGAGGATGCGGTGCCGGGTCAGGCGGGCGTCGAGGACCGGGTGGCGGTAGGGCTTGGAGGGCCGGTGCTTGAGGGCGCAGGGTATCGAGGGGAGCAGGTGTGAGGTCTTGTACAGGCGGCCCTCGGCGCCTTGGGTAATGAGGATGGGCTCCGTCGCGGCCGGGAAAGTGAGCGCCTTCGGCAGGGGGAAGTCGTGGATGCTGGGCTCTGGGGGCGACGGGTCCGGCACTGGGGCTGGAATGGGTTCGGCCATGGTCTCTTGGTGGTTCGTTCGCAGGTTTCAGACTAGATTGTCTTTGGGGTGTTTTGGAAATTTGAGAGAAAATCGGAACTACGTGTCCTTTAGCTTTTGTTTATTCCTGGTGTTGGCTCTATAAAATTTCCCAGGTTAGGTGAGGCTCTGCTGCAATGTGATATTACGACGACGGACTGCGATGAGTCGCAAACCAAAAAATCGACCCCTCATCGATAAGCTCGAATTGATTGATTGCCCCGCCATCTTTTCACTCGAGTATACCTTGGCCCAAGTACCTAACGGCACCAACTAGTCGGTAGACTACCCAGCAATTAATCGATTTTCATTAATTAGTACATTCCAAAGGAAATTTAGTAGATGGTACATTATAGAATGGCCCCTGCTTCAAAAGCTCCAGCCTCCCAACTTATACCGCAGAACCGTACGTGCACGACATCAGCCCACTCGACTTTTCAGTAGTGAGAGACAGGGAGATGAAACCATCGGCAAGATCATCTCTTTCTTTTATTTCAACTGCTTTGGGTTGGTGTCTGTCTTTGTCATCTTGAAATTCCCAAAGCCTTTTTCGTCCGTCTCTCTACCCGTGCCCTACCCCGGTTTCTCCCTCCTGGTTCCCGCATTGCAAGCGTCTCCGAAACGAAGGTCGTGGAATCCTTCCCTCCAAGATACCTGACCCAGCCCGCAGAAACTCACCGCTCATGACTAACTACTATTAGAAAGCTTGCGCCGCTGCATGCAGGCTTCTTTTTGGGTTTGCTTTCCCTTTCCCAGCTGTGCAAAAGTGTTGGTTCCAGTCAGGCCAGTAAGAGACCATGTGACACCCGCATAACCCGCTGCTTGCATGTTCATGCTTTGTCATGCCACGGCAACGCAGGGCCAGACTGAGGGTGCAGAAGTGGTAGCCATTGCAGAGTTTTTCTTGCTTTTCTCTCCTCGTAAAAGGAGATTGGCTGCAAAGAGGTCCAAAAGATCCAGAAGTGATCCAGAAGATCCAGAAGAAGCCCCTGAGTTATGGATATTCTCAGCAGTATGATTCCCACTTGACAGCGGGTGGGTTTTGCTGGGACTCACTAAACTGTCCAGCCAGTGTCAGCCGAAGACCTCCACCAGGGTGCATCTCTAGCCACGTATAGAAGACTTGGGTATTCCGCGGCTAGGCCTACCAACGCACCGATGATGAGCCTATTGTGGTTGCGATTGTCGGATACGGCCGCTCTGGACCACGAGATGGGCCGGGAAGTCTGGCCGTGGTACGCTGTAAAATAGGAGCGAAATAGGAAAGGCAAAGAAAAGAATCACCTTTTTTTTTTTTTTTTAATTTAATTGATCAAGCAGGGGTGTGTTCGGGCACGCACACGCATACGCTCACACGACGCACACCAACTTGTTAGTTACATGCAGGTTTGCCCGTCCATCAATCCAAACCAGCCTTCTTTTACTCCGGGTTCCCGTTCTTTTCAACTACAAAGAGACTTGGAGGGGGGAACGTCATCCACCTTGTTGCTTTCCCACCCTTTCCACTTACCTTACCTGCACTCTCCGTAATACTATTGATCGTCGTCTCTCCGTATCGCATGGCCACACTCCTTACGCGGATCTCCTCAGCGGCTTCCACGCCTTTTCGTGCCAGAAAAAAACTGCTCTTCGACCGTCGACCTTTTCTTCTTTATTAGGCGATGAATATACTCGTAGTAGTGGCATCCAGAAGCGCGCAAAAGACCCACGGATTTATGCTGGACAGTGCACAAAATTCACAAAATGGCGGCAACTAATCCAGACCCGCCAACGCCCCTCTTCTGGACCCTAATCCTTATAATCACCGCCCTGTGTCTCACTCTGGTGGTGGCCGCGCAGATCGCTGCGAGATACTCGAGCGCCTACATGGCCGCGCCGCGCGAGATTGTGACGTTTATCGACACGATTGACGACTCCATACATGAGAATGAGAGTTACGACCGCGACGTGGCGCGCGTGCAGCGCCTCGAGGACAAGCTGCGCCTCGGCCGCCTGCTCCGCGAGATCCAAAAGAGCGGCGACGACCTGCGCGAGGCCCTCAACGGCCTGCTCGTCGACACGGACGAGCACACGACCGAGCTGCGCACCAGCGCCCGCATCCTCTGGGCCGGCCACCGCAAGGAGCTCGAGGAGCGGATCCGCCGCCTCGACCTCTTGCGCATGCGCTTCTTGACCGTCTACATGGGCATCATTGCCACGTCCCTGAGCCACCGCGACAAGCAGGCCAAGGAGTCGGAGAGAATGTCCATTGCCGCGAGGAATATACCCCCGCCGCCGCCACTTCCCCGCAGCTTGTCGGAGAATCTAAAGACTATCGAAACCATGAAGAAGAAGCCCTCGTTGCGCCGTCTGAGAGGCCCGTCTATAGGGCACAGCGAAAAGGTGGCACCGCCGCAGCGCATGGGCTGGATGGGCGTGGTTGCCGAGTTGCAAAGATCGCCGATTCTGCAAAGGCGACATGCCTCGATAGAGAGTGCAATGCGATCACCGCTTCTGACGCCTCTGGGCAGTCCGGTTCCGACCTTTGGGAACAATGATTCTGCCCCGCCACCTTTTAGCCTCGATGAGTTGACAGAGAAGGGTGGCTGAGGATTTTAACGATTTATGATGGACTACGTGTTGAATGACGTACGAACGACTGGGGGCATCAAAATTTTTTGGGTCATATTTGAGCGTTGAATACCCTTTTAATGTATTAAAATATCAGTTTCACTTTTTTTTTTTCACTCTTATTCCTCTTTAAACCTTGATTTTCGTTTCTGGGTGAACTTGCAGGTCAGAGTATGGCCTAGTCAAGTGGACTGTTACATGTGGCATTGTTTGATTTATTTCAAAGATTCGGTCTGGCAAGAGGTATGTAGTTAAGAAATCATATAGGGGACAGGCAGTGTGAGGCATGTAGCATGAGATCTTCAGCATACGGCTTGCATATGCATTTCAATTTCATTTACATTGATATCCCTGTGTCTGAGAACAAGCATTTTGACATAATCATAATCATTTTGAGTTTATTCTTGGCGGCAGAAGGAAAATATCCTTGCCTTGCTCGCCATGCTTTGAGATAATATGTAATAATCATCACCAACTAGTGCAGTGGATCATTTGGCCCAGTCGCATTTCTCTCTCCCACTGAAATGTACGTATCAGCACAGAACCATATACCATGATAAAGAAATATAATGCCACGACATTGTCTTCACACAACAGTCGACCAAGGCCATATTCTGAGCACGGAAAGGGGGGAGGACAGAGATACTCACCATCAAGCGCAACAAGAAATCGACTGACACAGTTGTAGCAGCTCACAGTCGCCACAATCTCGACCACCTCCTTGTCGCTGAAATACTTGCGGGCCTCGGCAAACGTCTCGTCGGCGACGCTCACCTTGCGCGTCATCTCGTCCGTCAGGCGGAGCACCGCCCACTCCTGGTCGCTCAGCCCGACCTCGGCTCTCTGGGCCGCGGTGACGGTTGCCAGGTCCTCGGCCTTGACCAGCTCCATGGCGGCCGGCGAGACGCCGCCCTTGACGGCGAGGGGCGCGTGGTGTCCCCACTCGTACCAGGCGCGGTTGCACACGGCGACGCGGGAGATGGCCAGCTCCCGCACCGCGTCCGACAGCGTCGTCTTGGTCCGCACCGCCCCCAGGAACGAGTTCCAGCCGTCTGCCACCACCGGCGAGTGCAGCAGCGCCAGGTCCAGTGGCTGCAGTGGCCGCGGGGCTCGGCGCGCCCGGATCCGGTCCACGATCTCCAGCTCTGCCGGGTCCGTGGTGGTGGGCGGGTCGGGTGTGTAGGGGACACGCATCTTGGCTGTTGGTGTGGTGGTGAAGTTGCACGAGAGCTGGGGTCGCTGGTGTCTCGGAGAGAAGTGGTTCTTTTGGCCTTGTCCGCGGCTGGCTTTACGGATCAAATGGGATGCCAAGATAGTGCGCGATGAAGTGAATGAAATGTAATGACGAGGCATGAGCCGAAATCGCTACTGTCAGTATGAAAAGTTAATATCTCACGACATCCCCTATCACCCCGCGATCTTGTAAGTAACCTCGGGCGGGCAATCGTGGGGCCTACAGGTCCCGAAATTCGGAGCTGGCGGAATATAGCTTAAGCGGAATCGCGGAGTGCGGAGGGACTATTCAGTTAGTATATTTTGACTTCAACTGGTACATAGTATGTCGCTGCATGCTAAATGTAGCTCCACTGTTGAGTAGGACCCCATGTCTTGTGAAAGGATGCCGTCACCCAATCTCTTGCCAGGCAATTGGCATATCATATTTCGAGTTATTAGATCAAGCGTCATTGAAACAATCTAACATGGTGATATCGAGCTAACGTGTGAGCAACGATCTACCTTATGGATCAACGTTGTAATCTCTTTACACGCAGCCTCCTGAGGTTTTTAATGCACAATGCAACTTCATACGTGTAAAACTTACACAGAGACATATCTACCGCTTTTCGTCTGTTCTGCGATGCATCAAGACCCCTACGCATAGGTGCTTATTCAAGCTTCATCTTCTTCCGGCGCCTTCTTTCGGATATCCACCCATCCCATTCCCCAAGACGCGGCGAAACAAACTCCACCGACCGCCAGCAACATGTAAAAGACAGCATTGACGCTCTTCGAGTACGCGAGCAGCAGGCCTCCAAGCTCTGGACTCCCAGAAGGCAACAGGGCCCGCACTGTTTCGGCACTCCCACCTGCCGCCAGCGCCGCCTCAGGGCTCACCGATGGTGCCAGGATTGAAACTTGCCGTGCCAAAGTTTGCGTGAAGATGGCGTTGCCCACAATGTTGGAGATGGCCGCCATTAGGCTCTGCACGAATACCAGAAATGCCATGACGACGGCATTCTGGGCTGGCGTGACTGCGTTCTGCATGGAGATTACAGCCTACAATGAATTGGTTCTTAGTCAAAAGCATCGGCTTGCCACAACTGGTTTCGAGCGAAATCATGAATAAAATACGCGATGAACCTACCGTTTGCAAAGCCATCCCGCGCAGACCAAAGAGTATTTGATATCCGATCCACTCTGCTGTAATAGTATCCGGAGTCCAGGTTGATATCAGACCACAGGCAACGGCAGTCACAGCAGCTCCAAGGACGCCGAATGGAAGGTAGTACCCAAGTTTTGTCACTAATTAGAATACGAGTCAGCTCAGAAGATTTTGCCCCATCATCAAATGTCGGGCATAAGCGATGCCGCAAACCAATTATTCAGTGGCTAGCCAGACATGCAGGGAGAGTCGACTTACCAAGAGCACCAGATATGACCAGGGACAACAGCTGTGCCAGGATGGAGGGCAGCGTGTAAACACCGCTTAGCGAAGGACCGACGCCTTTCACAGCCTGAAAGTAGATGGGGATGTAGTTGGCCCCGACGGAATTGGTAATGAATAGGAAGCAGTTGTGGATGGTGCTTGTCCATACGATCCGTTTCTTTACCAGATGAAAGGGTATGAGAGCATTCTCGCCCACGCGCCATTCCCAGAAGGAGAACAAAATTGCCGTCACGCCGGAACCGACGAACAGACCAATGACAATGGGCGAGGTCCAACCGTACTCATCTGATCCCCACTGCAGCGCAAGGAGAAACATGACAGTGGCCGGTGCAAATAGCGCACAGCCTGTCAGATCAAGATTCGGAATGATGCTGCGGAACAGGGCAAGCGAAAATGGCGGCTTGAGCGTCTCATCTGGGATATGTGTGAAGCACAGAAAAAGAATAGAGACTGCACCAATGGGGAGGTTGATGTAAAAGCCTGGAATTTATCAGAAAGAAAGTGAAATCAACAAATAACCCACACGGAACTGCTAGAGGTGAAATTTGTTACTCACACCACCGCCAGTTTGCGTATTGCGTCAAGACACCACCGATGAGGGGACCAACGACTATGCCAATTTGGCCAACTAGATTCATCTTTAGCTTATTGTTTCTTTCTAAGCTCTATGATCAACACCTACTTGCAAATACTATACCAGTGTACACTATTGACAGTAACTCAAGATTAGTACTGAAGTCATGAAACAACGGTACTGAAAATGGGTGCTCAGCCATGGCTGTTCACGACTTACACGGTCGCTTCTGCAAAGGCACAGCTCCTGCAATAAGGGTCAAAGCCCCATTTTCCAGGCCTGAAGTTCCCAGCCCAGCGATAGTACGACCAAGAATGAAGAGCGTCGATGAGGTCGCAACACCGCAAAGCAAGGAACCAACCTCAAAAATGGCGACGAAGACGAGGAATGTCCGCTTGGCGCTGAGATAGGTATAGAGCTTTCCAGTAAGAGGTTGCAAAGCAGCGCTGGTGAAGGCATCATATCAGTGCCGATTCAGGATGCCACAGGGAAGTTTTTGCATTTTTTGACCATATCGTAGTCTGGGCCAGAGCGGTTTGAATGCTTACCATGAAAGTTGATAAGCACCTCCATACCATCCAACACTGTCAAAATCTCCATGTCAGCAGGATTCTCGCAAATGTGTTGTTTGAAACATACTCTTGTAGTCTGTGGAAATCACTCGTAATATATGGGAGAGCCTACAATAAGAGATCAAAGGGTTATGTGTCAGCCATTTGACTAGGAGGTATGGTTGATATTCATGTAAACGGGCGACAATAAAAGGAACAGAAGCAGGTGTGGAATTTCTTGATTATTGATGCTTACCGTAGAAATGATGCTAAAATCCAATAAAACAATGAAAAACACCGAGACGATGCCAAAAAGTGCGGCAAAGAGCTTGTACCCACTGATGTACTCCTCATCTTCTCTACCGAAGTCGCCCAGTGCGGCAGGATCTCCGACGATTCCTGATGGAGCCGGAGCGGTGTCTGATGCAGGTAATCCCAACGCAGTCTTCTCGGGATCTGGGCCCCTCTTCCCCGGTGTGACCATCATTATCTCCGGTGCAGCTCCTTCTATTGGGCGTTGCTGCGTTTTCTCACTGGATGGCGGCGGAGGCGGTGATTCCCGTCCATCTCCGAGCTTTAATGATAACTTCGGGGCCATTGCCATGAATTTGGAGTACAGTGTACCGTCATTGTTTACTGTTACGATTTAGGTGTAAATTGTTCGACCCAGATAAAGCGGGAGAAGAGGGAAAGATCGCAGCAAGGTTGTGGAGGTCCTCTCAGAAGGTTGCTGGGTCAGATTAGCACAACTCCGAACGCCGATATGCCAAGCAAGTACCGATACGGAGTGCTGCACCTTCCCACGGGACTCACACATTCTGACCACTACCTATCATAACCTTCGAGCTCTCGAATGTGTCAGGGACTTGCCAAGCTTTCATAGTTGGGGTTATTTTGTTTTTCGGTCAAAATCATACAAGCGTGATTGGTATATTGATAGGTGGATTTAAGCTTATTCTCTGGCCCCGCACCCCCTCAAGCAATACTATGGGAGGATGCTTACAGGTACTTTGATAACCGCTCACTAACCATGAATAAGATTTTAGAGTTTACACACTTGGATAAATCAAATCTGAGCAGCGTTTCCATGTCCCTTTCTGCAGAGTGTACCCTTTTTCACGATTGCGAACAAGGTGAGGAGCCTTTGTTACAGCAGAGGACACTAATAGTAATAAGTCACGTAATAATAATCACAAACTTTGATTGTATGCTACTTCGCAGCAAGATACCACCTCAGGCATATTTTACCTTGTCAACTGGTGGTGTCACCTCGTCTTCCTCCACGCCAAAGCTTAGATGCCCATATGACTGTTCTTGCTCGTACTCGGCATAGAACTCTGGCGGCATAGTCACGACGCCCCACCGCACTTTACTGCGGGCAATCTGCTCGTACACGTCCTCCTTGGTCATGGGGCTCTCGCGGCCGCTGAGCAGACTTGCCCGCGAGGTATGTCTGCTCAAGTCGCGCATCTCGAAGTGATCGCTCTCTGGGCGGCCATGAGGGGTCAAGAGGCTCTGGTCGTCCCCCTGTACATATTGTAAAGAGTCACGCCTCGCCTTTTGCGCATCATTCAAGGGAGAGTACGGCGGCGGCGGTGCCTCAAGCCTCGAGGGGAGCCATTTCCATGACCTTCGGTTTGACTTGATCGACTCATTGGAGTACAAGGCCCCTCTTGTTGCAACGTTGGACACTGAGGATACATGACAAGCAGCGCTAATGGCCATTGAGTTGCTGCCCACGATCAAGGAGCCCGAGGGTAGCTTTTTGAAGGATAAGGCGATTGGGATGGTGACGAGCGTGACTGAGACGGCCAACATTACAATCAGAGACCAGGTCGAGTAGCCTACTGAAACAATGGTGCCATCGGGGAGGCTGGAATCATATCCACGTTGGTAAGTAAAAAGGTCATTGTCAAAGTAACCTAAAGCACATGAGACATTGAGTGACTGCAAAGAAGCACGTTGGCGGAAAGTACTCACCCCCGGCAGAGACAAATACATAGATGGTGTTTGACAGTAGCCAATGTAGCAGGATACTGCAGGCAATGAGTGGTATGGAATACTTGTATGGAAGTTGTAGTCTGTATGTTGAAAATTGCTCGCCCCTAAGTTCATGGTTATTTCTTCTTCTTTGGGAATTGCTCCAAATAGCGCTTACTTGGGATCGGTGACACGTAGCGGATAATACCCCTGACTGTAGGTTGCCCACTCCTTCGCCATTTGTAGCCTTGTGAATAAGTTGTTGTAAGCGAGGTAGCAAAATGAGAGCAAGAGTTGCGGGCTGTTAGCAACTAAGACAGCCGATGCAAAGCTCCAAGATTCTGAGTCGAGAAACGGGTTTGTATCGCTTTCCAAGACCTGACCAGTTCTGCAAGCATGTTAGACAAGCATCATTTCTCGGGCGAGGCAATATACTCACAGGTGGTGGTCCAAAAAGGTCATGGCCATGTTTAGAAAATAAGAAATCACCCCAACGCCCAAAGCAAATAATGCATAACTAGTAAACCAGACCGAGACTGGTACAACTTTGTAGCGACGAGACACGCGCGCCGCCCAAGCTCTTGGCCCAGCCAGTTGGGTGGCCTGGTATTGATTCGAGTGCCCCCGGATATCTCGCTGTCCAATCGTGCATATTCCCACGGTTGTACGATCTGGACGCTCAATGAAAGAGACGACAGCATCTCCCATGGTCACGAGTGGCGCCTGATCGCGGCGGGCAAGTACAACAGTAACAATGATAGCCATCATCGTCTTGACGAGCACACATATCGTAACTGCGAGTAGTAGGACATTTGATATGCTAACGTAACAAAAGTGGTCGATGGGCTCAGCTAAGCAATAGTTGACAGTCAAATCGGAAGCTCCAGGGGTAATGTCGTTTGTATACTCATTCGGACTGGCCTGGTGAAGGTAAGTACCGTCGGGGCCTTTGGTGTTGTTCACCAACCACATTACTCTCGAGTCGTTAAAGAAAGAAAGCACCCAAGGACTGTTATTTGTCTTCTTGGAGGTTGGAGAATCCATGTATCCATCATGACCCCAGGAAGAAGTGCATGTGTCGCGACAGACCACGCCGTCCTCTTTCACGTACTCAGCCATCATCTAAAATCTTGTCAGCGGATGATAGCGAAACATTCCGTGTCCTCTGACATGGTGAGTGTCCCCAATTCTCGCTCCATCTAACCAAACGTACCGCGCATGGTCCTGCCCACCAGAGAGAATTTGTTTCATTTGATGGAACTATAGGGTCCCAGAACTCGCTCTGATTTGCCATTAAATTCCATACTTCGTCCCGGATCCATCCGTCTTTTTGATCCACAACAGCAATCACATTGCGGTGTCCTTTAATGCCCCCACACTGCCCAAACCATTAATTAGCGTAAGGTGACCTTCGCGAGGGAAGTCATCGATTGTGTGGATAATACATCCTCGGAGATCGGAGCAAGAGTCTCCAATGAAAGATACTGGAAGTGAGAAGATCTTGCACTTTTCTCTTCCTCTTTTTCTCTTTGGAAAATCAAAGACAGAGAGACTTACTGAAAAATAATCATTGTAACACTCTTGAGCGGTTAGATTATCCCAGATTAGTGCCTCGGAGGCCATAGCAGATACATTGCGGTGATAAACTGATGAATTGTTGCTGGGAAGTATCACCCCGAGCCCATAACCACCCCCCCCGTAAAAGCCTGACGATGTCGTCATCCATCCGGGAGGGTTCAGGGACGCCCCCGGCACGTAGAAGGGAACACCAGTGAAGAAGCCTTCGCTCGCAATGGCCAATTGATACTCCGAGTCGCGCTGATCTGTCTGAAAGATCAGGGAGTTAAACAAGAGGTGCAGAGGTATGGAAGAAAGTAGCAGCATTATCCAGCAACATGTCTTGAACCTGCTCACTTGGAACGCATTCCTCACTGACGGAACCCCTATGCCCATCCATCCACCTTTTGAATGGACCTGATCAACTTCACTTCTGGAAGGCGAATTGAGCACCTGCACTATTCAAGGTTCCAAGAATCAGCAAGTCTTCTTCTCACAGCAGGAGGCGGGTTCCTACTAAAGAAATTGGAAGAGGCAAATATGGCCGTAGAGACCGCGTTCAAGAGCAAATGGAGCGCGACGTTGAGTTTCGACGCGCTGCCACCGTCGCAGGTCCCCTCGAAAAATAAGAGGGCTTTGGTGAGCCCATGCGACTGCCTCCACGACACAATCAAGGAGATCAACAGCGTAAGCGTAATGGCGCTCAACACGGCACTGTTGATGTGCGCCGCGCGTTTCCATCCGCTGACCCGGTTCCCTCGATCATTGCCAAATCGTGCAAAGTCCATGTCTTCCACCACCCAGCTCTGTCATGTGTCATCGATCGAGAAAGTCCAAACTCGCTGTGCAGTATCTGCTTCAGAGCTCCCACGACGGTTGGAAGGTCAAGCAGGACGATCTTCCCCGGGATGGTTGTTCAGCGGGGATTAAACGATAGATACCAAGTCCCAAGGTGACCTTCTCAATCTCGAAGTATTCTTTTCGCGATAGCATTGGCCATCTAGGCAGAGCACAAGTCAAGGAACAAATATTGAAGCAGCCGAAAAAGCTTGTCCCTTGACAAAAGATTCATGTCTATGCTGGCGAGATTGGAAGGCAACTGCTGTGCCGCACACATGACATCAAGTTCAGAAGCCGTTATGCTTTCGCATCCCTGTCGCGATCTACGGACTCGAGGCGCCGTGGCTCGGATGGTGCATCACGACTGGAGAATCCTTGCTGCACCTTACAGAGTACCTAGTCTTATCTGCATATAGTTGTGGCTGGTTGGTGGCTGCAACCCCATGCTCTCTCTATTTTTAGTGCAAACAAGGCAGTTTTTATGTCTTTCAGCCTTTAAAACCCAAGAACCCTGGCATTGATGTTATCTTTTTCTCCATAATTGTCAGTCGTGTAACACCACCAACAATGTTACAGCACATTGAGTGCTGAATGTATGAAGACTTTACTTTGACTAAAGTCATGGGCCCAACTCACATCTTGACAGATAAAGCATGGAATCCGGACCCGCATTGTCGTGGGTGTCTATCGACCTTCTTCAATCGGGGATGCAGCTCTCCTAAATCCATCTGGGTATGGAACATCATATCATCGGCATCATATCATGTGCTTCAACAATTGTGGCATGATATTCAGTAAATATATCCCCGAAAAGTCAGAAACAGCTGCTGAGAAAACCCCCATTCCCAACGTACCTCTACCCTAACAAAATAATAACAACAACAATGCTGTTGTTTCTGCATTCAGACCACATTGTCTGTAACCGAAGCAAATGGAAACTCATTGAATCCAAAAGTTTTCGCGCAAATTAATTGCCGCTTGGCGATTCGGCGACTCCAAGCTACCACAGTCATGAAAGTCTCTGTTGAGTTGCCACTTACCCCTGGTCAACGTATCCGAAACACGTTCGGCTTGTGTTGGCTGTGGATTTCTGGGGGACAGGATGTCGTCCAAAGTTAGGACAATGGTTTATGACTCTGGGAATATTCACGACAGTCTTGGGCATAAGAACCAACTCGTGCGATCATTCATTAGATTCCACGTGTTATATAATTATAAGCATCATTCAAATCACTTTAATCGATTCTTACACAATAGAGTTGGAGTAAATCGGACAAATATGCTAGCATAACATCATAATATTAATTAAATGATAAAAGCAATGATTTCACACGCAAAGACGAAAAAAATGTTGGAAGATAGAACAATTCCTATGCCTGTCTACCTCCTGAAAGCAGCTATCTAGAGGTTGGGTTCGTCTCGAGACGAGATCAGAACCATGTGCAGAGATTCCCTAGCTGCAGCATGTCGGCCATTTACGTACAATTTCCTAGTCCATGGATGGACAAACTCATCAATCCAGCAACAACATACCATTGGAGTCAATTAAATGAATCTCCAATGCAAGAAACAGAACACAGGCGTGTCTCGACAATCCACTTGCCATGGATCATATCTTAGCCTCGTATTCCTTTTCCTTAGCCAAGCGCACTGCAGTACTCAAAGTAGAATTGAGAGTTTTCTACCAGTCACCGGCGGTAGGGCCTTCAACATAGCCGTGACCCATCTGGTTGGCACCGAAATCGCCCGTATTCTGGTCTCCGGCGGCAAAGTCGTTCATGGCCTCAGAGGCTCCACCAAAGCTGTCTCCAGCATCGCCATCAGCGTCCTCAGTGGGAACAGGCTGCTTGCAGCGGACCTTGGTGTGACCCATCTCACCACAGTTGGAGCACTTGACTCGGGAATCTATCATGGGTGTAAATATTCGATAATACGCAAATTTGACATGGAATGATTGTACTCACAGTCACGGGGCTTAGGACACTCGCGTCCAGTGTGACCTTCAGCATCGCAGTTGCGGCAGATGATCTTCTTCTCCTCGGTGCAGTCTCTGGCACGGTGACCCTCCTGACCACAATTGTGGCAAGCACCACCACCACCGCCTCCCTGGGGGCAGTCACGAGAGAAGTGGCCCTCTGTAAGATGTATTAATAACCATTTCCGTTCTTCTCATGTCGTTTGACTTACTCTCACCACACTTGCGGCAATCGACGTTGGCCGGGTTGGGAGGCTCGGGGCCTTGTTACTTGTCAGCAAGCGACTTTCACTGAGAAATATGTGCATGGATTTGACTTACAATCAGAGGCCTTGTGGCCGGGCTGCTGGCAATTCTTGCAAGCAAACTTGTCAACTCGGGGTTGAGGGCCTGCTTTGTTAGAACAACTCGCACATGTGAATCCTTTTGAGCGCAGCACACTTACAATCGCGGACTCGATGACCCTCCTCACCACAGTGAAAGCACTTGACCACAGCCTGCTCTTTCTCAACCTTGTCCTCGGGGCAGTTCTTGGAGATGTGACCGTACTCGGAGCAGTTGGAGCACTTCATCTTGCGGCTGTCAACCGGCTCGCCAGCATCACTGAGGCGCTCCAAGTTCTCGGCTGCATCCTTGGGGAAGAACTGACGCTCTCTCTCACGCAGGGGCTTGTTGTCGAACCGGAAAGTAATGGTATACTTCTTTCCAAGGTTTCCCTGAAGATCCATATTGGTCAAGGCGCCAATGAGCTGGGGCTTCTCAATAGCAATGATGTAGATGCCGGCATCCTGATCGCGAAAGCCCTTCTCGACATCCAGGTAAGTGAGATCGGGACTGGCTTTGACGTATTCCTGAAATCCCTCCTTCACATCGTCCATGTCGCGGATCTTGGCTGCCTCGACCATCTTGTCCCAGGCGACGACACCTTCAACGTCACGAACGTTGGAGCGATCAATGACGCGAGCATTCTGGCACTCGGCGACCATGTGACCTGTTTACATTCAAAAGTTAGCCAATTGATAGCAACTCCGAGACGGTTGGTTCTACTAACCTTCCTGGCCACAGTTGTTGCACATCTGGGGAGGTCGGTCGGGACAGTCAACAGCACGATGTCCCTCCTTGCCACAGGTGCGGCACTCGCCAGTGAACTCACGCTCGACGCGAGGATTGGGGCAATCAGCCTTGTTGTGGCTATTCGCTTGTGAGCATGATGAATCAGATACCCCAAAAAATGAGAAACAACTCACCCCTCCTCACCACAATTGTAGCAGGCACCACGGGGACGATCTGCGCCCTCATGATCACCAGCGCCGAAACCATCATTGCCACCGTCGAAGTCGGCAGCATTGTATCCAGCACCGGTGTCATCACCACCAACCCACTGGTCACCGCCACCATGGGTGTCGGTCTGGCCCCAAGACATGGTTGCGTTGCTTTGAAATCTTGGTTAAATTAGTTTGCGAGGTTCAGTCAACAATTTTGACGTGACCGATTATCATCGGTGGGGAAGGATGAATGACAATGGGATTGTGTAATGGTGGGGGTAAAGTCACATGAAACAAGGACCCGACAGAAACTGAAGTGGCAGAGAAAACTCGTAGAAAACCCGTGTAGGAAGGTACGTTGTGTGTTTGAAGACAAATGGATTTGCCACCATGAGTTTTGCGCTCGGCGTTTTGGAAGTGAAGGCAAGAAAAGTGTAGAGGAGTGTCAAAGATGAGACAAGGCTCCAGGTGATGGCAGTGATGGTAAGAAAAGTGCATGGATGGATTGGAAGGAGATGATATCAATGACAAGTGAGGCGTTTTGGCAGTCGCTCAAGCTGATATCAGCGATGCCTGTGGGTGAAGCTGCGCTTTGCGTCCACAAGCGACGAGGGGGGATAATCTGCTTGTCGGGAGAGGCGCAAAAGAAGAAGAAGAAAGTTACAACGCGATGAGGGCGCATGAGTTGTGCGGTGAAATGACGGGAGAGTGGTAGGGGAAAAGGAAGGCACCATGGCAGCAGGGCGCAACCACTTACCTGAGTTTTGCGATCTTTGATGATTATTGGCTTCCGTAAAGTCGCCTTTCGGTCTCAACAATCAACCTGAACAGTTGATGGAAGTGAAAGGAATGACTTGTCAAGAGAAGAGATGAGGAAAGAAATCTGCAGGGCACAGAAACTGAAAGCTGTGCTGCCTCGTAGGTTGGAGTTTAGGGGTGGGTTGTGTTGAAGGGGGAGAAAAAAAAGCCGAAACAAATAGACAGCCTGGGGACAAATTAAATGGGGCAACCACAGAGGATCGGTGCCTGATTAGAATCAGCCTGGCTTGAGTTGATGCCTCGAAGTTCGATCTCTTGAGTAAAGGGTCGAAAGGGCAACAGAGGTTGATTGGCCGTCAGCTGGTGGACGCAGATCCAAGTACCTATGTACGCAGACAGCCGACGAGCAGATCTAGTTGTTGATTGGGCAGTTGCGTTTGCGGTTTCCTCTGGATTTCACCGGTGCCTGGCCTGTGTTTGAGAAATAAGGGAAGTTGCCAGTTACCTGGGTAGGTAGCAAGGCAACTAAGTAGGTAGGTAGTCTATAACTTGCACATCCTTACAGATGGAGTCAAGTTTCAAAGTAGAGCGTTGACCCTGAATTGGGGGTTTGATTGTGTGAAGCAACGGACTTCTCGCACTTGCCTTTGCGTAGTAGATAATGGCCTCAAAGATAATTTGCCTTGTCTGTCTTTCACTGTGATAGTATTGATGCGGACGCTGATCACTTGTTCACGGTGATTTTGATACGGTCGCCGACTATATCATGCATATGGCAACTCCATCTGTCCAAAGGAACACCAAGGGATCTCGACTGCTTCTATTATGCTTTTCCCTGGCAGAGTCTCTCAGCCATCTAAACACGTCTCCTGCATATTTGTTTTTTTTTTCTGGAACTATTTACTATTTGGAGAAAATATTGCTTTCTCCAAGACATGACACACATGAGAAACAGCATCACCATTACCCAACGAAACATATTATATTGCATAGTTCTCAGAACAGATTACTAACATGAAGCATCAAAGCGGAAATCACATTCTTCTGTGTTGTCTGTCAATGCGATTGTCAATACATCAAGTCAAAATAGACCCAAGGCGGACTAGAATCATGCTCCGCTGGGGATTTATCACTCTTAAACCTGGCGGAAGCATCATATTTCTACATGGCTACCTGTCCATAGTTCAAACTATCATGAACTATTTGTGTAGTTCGTGTAGCGAGTAACATCCGAATCGTCCACTCGCAATTTTAGCATTTTTACGTGCCCCCTATTCCTGGCCATTTCGTACCACGGTTTATTACTGCTTTGTCCACGAGCCACCAGCGACTCTTTTACTAAATTCTTGGCTGAATAAGACTATGTACGAAGCAAATGGCTCACTAAGTGGAGATCAATTCTCCAGCTCTGATGTTGTCGATTCGTGTATCACATGACATACATCATCGATGTTTGTAAGCGCATGTATGCTAATTGCGCAACTCGATCTTCCAACGACAAGACCGACCGAAATCATGTGTATTATGCTGCAGGGCTTCAGCAATCAAGAGGATTGCATGCTGATGATTTGCCGAGTCTTATACAGATTATTGCACGTAGAATTATATAAGGGCTTGTTTGGGCTTAACATGTACTATGAGAGCGTATACATACATATCCTGGAGGACACTACGGCCAGGATCAGAGAGCTATAGGAAATGTCAGACTAAACACTGTTCGCTGGAACGAAGTAACATCCGTTCCGAAGAATAAGTTCCTTGCTGTTTGGATCTCCGAGTGTGTAAAGGGGAGCCCCAAGAACGGACTGGAATTTGGTCCCGCGGAGTGGCATCAGCTCCACGCCTAGAATGGGCTTTGGCTTCTTCGCTTGGCACCCCTGACCGTGGACCCAGCTATAGTTTGGACATGGAGCGGCAATTCGGGTTGCGACCCTAGAGAACGAGCTGCCACATCGCATGATGACTGGAAGCGAGCCGCCGTCAGTCGATATTGTTCTCGAAAGTTGATGTGCACATGCATTTAGGTGTGGGCGATGCAAACAAGCAACGTTTGCCGTTGGTGACTTGACCCTAGTCTTGGCTTGGATTTTTAGCTTGCCCGAAAAGAGCGATTCGGAGTTCCTGGCCCCGGCATGATTGGCTGCCTAGAGGAGAATCGAATTACTTGCCGAATCGCGTAGTCTACATTTTAGTCGAGACAGCTGGAGAACACATTAGACACTCTTGATGACAGCGCTCACATGTATGTTTCCAGAAAAGCGCTGCAACTTGCATCATGGCTGTGAACTTACCAGAGTCATGCCATGATCATTCACCAGGAAGAACATAATAAGCTCGTCGGAAACAATTGTTCTGAGAAAGGATGGTACGTGGGTCAGGGCGGCTGCACAGGGGTTTGATTAGCTGAGTTTTGTATTGATGATCTAGTATAACATTTGCTAGCGCGCGCGCAGCATGTAGAGCGTGCCCAATACCAAGATGTCACTGCAGACTCTGAAAGCTTGGCCCTGCGTCTGTCACCCTTTTCAACAGGCACAAACGAAACCGAGTGGTAGTCGGTTACAGTAGTAGCCCAGGGCAGATCAATCTATGGCGTTCCCGCCATCCTTGCTACAACGGGGTGCGGAGAATCCCTCCCTAGGTTCCTCCTCACTGATACTTAGTCCACCACTCCAGGGGCAACGCTCTCCACTCCCCTTCCATATGGGAGGGGCGGGATGCCTATTGATGGAATTAAAAGTTACACGGCCCTGGGCACTTACATCAATCAGCTTCTTCCGTGAATTGGAGTAAATGACTAAGTCGACGCGAACCATCCATAATATATCGCTAGGTCGCCATCGAATATGCGGCTCAAGTCTATAGCCGACCGCAACCTTGCCATGACAGAGTATAAGTAGCAGCACCCGGGACGTGAGAACTTGGACCAGTGGTTGCCTGCAATTTGACTCTGCCAGTTTCTAGGTATCTCGCATTCTAGCTCTTAACAAGATGAAGTTCTTTGCAGGCCTTTTGTCTCTAGCCGTGGCTGCTACAGCCCAGCAGCCATTGTATGCACAGTGTGGAGGTCTCACCTGGACTGGCGCAACAACCTGCGTTTCTGGAGCCGTGTGCCAAGTACAAAACGATTACTACTCACAATGCGTTCCTGGTGAGTCCTTTGAATATTCCCAAAGACAATGCCACTTAGACTTGATTTCTTACTCTAAAAGCAGGCACCGCTGCCACGTCGGCCACCTCTACTACAGCTGCAACGAGCACGACAGTGCGTACTTCTACAACGACCAGGGCCACCACCACAAGCACGAGCGCCGCCACCACTACTACGGCGGCGACCAGCACCAGAACATCGACGGGGGCAGCCACGGCCACGGGGTTCCCGACGACAGATGGCACGCTGTTCAACCTCGACGGCGTCACCAAGTACTATCCCGGCACTAATAGCTACTGGATCTCCTTCCTCACGAGCAATGACGACGTGGACTCCACTCTGGACGACCTGGTCGACAGCGGACTCAAGATTCTGCGTATCTGGGGCTTCAACGATGTCAACACGATTCCGGCTTCAGGCACAGTCTACTTCCAGTACCTGTCATCCAGCGGATCTACCATCAACACCGGAGCCGATGGTCTGGAGCGCCTCGACTACATTGTCTCGGCAGCCGAGGCTCGAGGCATCAAGTTGGTGATCCCCTTTGTGAACCAGTGGGACGACTATGGTGGTATTCAGGCCTACATCAACGCGTTCGGCGGTAGCAAGACATCCTGGTACACCGATGCGGCCTCTCAGGCCCAATATCAGGCCTACATCAAGGCCGTCGTCTCGCGCTTCGTGGACTCGCCCGCCATCCTGGCCTGGGAACTCGGCAACGAGCCTCGCTGCAATGGCTGTGACACGAGCGTCATCTACAACTGGGCAAAGACAACCTCCGAGTACATCAAGAGCCTCGACTCCAACCACTTGGTCACGACTGGTATTGAAGGCTTCGGTCTCCCAGGCGATGGATCATACCCTTACACGTACGGTGAAGGCACCGACTTTGTTGCCCTCTTGAACATCACGTCTTTGGATTTTGCTACGTTCCACCTGTACCCCAACTCTTGGGGCGAGGACTACGACTGGGGCAACGACTGGATCTCGACTCACGGCGCTGCCTGCGTAGCCGCCGGAAAGCCATGTTTATTCGAAGAGTGTAAGTCGTTGGAAGCGCAAAGCCCCCATTCGCAATTATAGCTAACTTTTCGTAGACGGTGCGCCGACCAACCACTGCTCCATCGAAGCACCATGGCAGGCAACCGCGCTGTCAACCGATGGTATCGCTGCGGATCTCTTCTGGCAGTTGGGTGTCACACTCAGCTGGGGACAAACTTCCGACGACGGCAACACCATCTTCACAAACACCTCGGACTGGACATGTCTCGTCACTGACCATGTTGCTGATATCGATGCCTTGTAAGCGTTGATCTGGGTAGCAGCAAAGGGCATGCTTGTCGACAAGAGCTCGCCGATGAGCCAAGTCAGATGGCGCAAGCTTTCAGTTCATATGTACATATTTTGAAAACTGTCAATACATTGTATCACCGATCGCATCTCACCCGATTAACCCTTGCACTGCTTCACTATGAACATCATGTGTTGAAGAAATATTCTGTACATTACTTTGAAAGTTAGCCGTTGCGATTTTGCAGCTCGAGCTGCTCTCCAATCAGGTTTGCGCTGCTCCCGTTGACAACGACGACATCGGTCCCAGCACAACTTGTATACGTCCTTTGTAGGTTGTTGATCATAGTACCACTCATAAGACTATCTCTATTTCTCCCATACCGCTCGATCGCTGGTTATCACACCAGGCTATAGTATGATGCTAGGTGCTGCGAGCTTGTTCCGCATCATAACCGTTCTCCTCTTGGGCTCCAGTTCCAAAATGGGTTTGTTTGGCGCAAATAGATGCTGCGCAGGACTTCCGACAGAGGGTGACGCGGATTGATGGCCACGCCAGTTGTTCCAAGTTTTTATTCGGATTCCAATCAACGGCAGCACGCCATCTGCAATATTCCGGTCTAGAAGAGGAGGAAGTTTGCACTGGATGACATGCCTCTAGGTCTCACTTGGAGTCCTATGTTGCAGGGTCAACCGCTTCGGTGGCCCCAAAATCGGTATACATGGATTATCCCATTGCACAGGCGTCTTCTAGCGCACGGGCAGGACCGCAGGCGCAGGTGCAGAAGGCGATGCACCGTCAAGCGTATTGCCAGGTGGATTGGGCACGTTGTGGCCATGTTGCGCTTCGCCGTAGGCTGGGAGTACCTGGGAGGGAGGCGTTGCACTTGGCTCGTGGACTGTTGGCGAAGCGACATAGTCGTGCAACTCTACATCATCATTCGGATTTTTCTGCGGCGGCGAGTATGCGGGCGGGGCCTCCCCGAGCTCGTTTAGACCTTCTTCCCGACTGCCTATACCAATACCGACTCTTCTGCCGTTTCTCGGTCCGTCTCCAGCCCACTGCCAGCGCGTATTTGTCGAACGTCGTACCCGATTAGGTCCCAGGGCTTCCAGATCTCGCTGCAATGCAACCATACCATGAGAGTTTCTCTGTTTGTTCCGCCTCCTATAGCGAAACACGGTGATGATTATTGCGGCGACGACGAGTATACAAATTGGTACGAGTATCCAGGCAAAAGGACTAGTGCCAACGTCGAAAGCACTACCGGACCCATCACCGCCATCATTGTCCAGATTGGCGTTGTTTCCAGACCCAGCAAAGGACATCTTTAGGAGCGTCGAAACCAAGGTCTCCTTCCCAAGGTAAGATAGGTGGAGGTTTGGGAGAACTCGCTGTACCCCGTCGAGTCAACCTATGACTTTCAGGGAGCGAAAGAATTGAACGGCACCCAGGTAGGTGATATACGGGCTACAGCATGGTTAGAGAACAAAGTCAATAAACTTTACTCCCCGGTGGTGGGTGGTTGGGGGACTGGAGCTTTTTGCGACTATTTGCTGTGCTGCCGCCGAAAGAAGTTGGAGCTTGCGTAATGCACCGCTGAGGGACCAACCGCAACCGCTTTCAAGCCTGCCAGCACGAGGTCTCTGATGGGGGAAGAAGGCACACTGAACAGGGTATAATATGCACCACAACGAGGCCAAAGGTGATAACAAGGGATGCAAACCAAAATGAATTGAAAAGTGGTGTGAAAATGGCATTTTCTATCTTACCAAACTATGTGCTCATAAAAGCGATGACGTTTGCATGCCAAGTGGGAGGGAGTAAGTAGTATTCGGTACGACGAAATGTGGACCACGAAGCAGTAATAATACCACACTACTGCCCAGAAAGTTGATACCAGGAAACGTTATTGCCGATTGTCTTGAAGACTTCTGGATAGCCGAAATGCCCCTCAACCTTGAAGGAACCAAGTCCGATTTGGGCACAATGAAGGTATCAGATAGATATTCTACAACTTTGAGAAAATACAAGTAAAGATTGCTAAGTTGGCAGGGAGGCAGGTGGAAGTAGGCATGTATTCGTAATTGAAGGTGGAATGCCGGTCGACCCGGCAGCAAGCACTCGGCTCAGCGCATGCCATGATGCGCAAGCTCCAGGCCATCCGCAGCAGGCTTGTCTTGCTTGCTAGGTACATTAATTAGGTAGCTAAGGTTGTTTCTTCGGTTGTGGCGCGACCTTCAACCCCGAACGTTCCTAAAAGGTACTGAAGACGTTGAAACCCACGTCGCCATGCATACCTAGTACGCTCTGTACTATGTAGTAGTATGTGTTGAACGTGGATTTCAACTGTGCACAAGTAATGTACTTCGTACCTGTCCCACCCCCACAAGGCGTGCCAAGCATCGGTAATCCCTTTATCGCATATGTTTAGGCCGATCTCTTCTCGTCGCACCTGTTTGGCCGTAATCAGCATTCCGCCCAGTACCCATCGTCTCGACCAGGAAAACAACATCTCCAACACCGTAGCCTCACTGTTGATTACTGCCAACGTAACCCACGAAACAGAGTACAAATCGACGCTTTGCTGTAGCTCAAACAGGTGCCCCAAGATGCCTAAAGCGCGCAGAGGTAAGCTCTGTTCCGCATGATTCGGTGAAGAAATGGCTGAGCCACAAAAGGTGTACTCGTCGAGTGCGATCCGTCTATCAAATCTATCATCATGAATATCGACAGCGAAAATAACGAGTACATTCTCCACGACCTTGATGATACGCACCTTCTTATCAACGAGAACAAGGTCTCAGACCTGAAGCGCAGACTCGACGACGTAGGGACACTTGTCGCGCAACCTCTGTTTTCCAACGATGCTAATTACCCGGTGTAGCGTCTCAAGGAGACAGTACAGGAGATTGAACGAGATTCTGATTCTGATCGGGATGTGAAGGAAGGGGAAAGGAGACGCTAAGCTGTGCTTGAACCGCCCCGGACTGCTTTATTTGAGTCACTTCACATGCACTTCTTGGCTTTTGATTCATCTCATCTGCATCTGATATTTCTTCCGGCGAACAGCTTCAAATTCAAGGACTATGAGATCATTTTTCCTGCGGCTCCGAAACGCATAGCGAATACTTTGCTGTTCATAGCTCGTCATTTTGCTACGAAGCCGTCATAAGCTCGGTCAGATCTTTCAACTACAACTTCTCGAACCGCGGCTTGGTCTTCTTCAGTCCGGATAGCAAAGCGTCCTGGACATCCTTTGCTTGAAGCATGGCAGAGTTCCAGACGGCTGTGTACTTGAGACCTGCTCTGGAATTAGTAGACGAATCATCTCAAGGCCCGTGAAAGGGAAAAACTCACTGTCTGCAATGGTATTGTCCCTGGCGTGGTTGACCAATTCCTTGGTTCCTTGTACGGCAACAGGGCTCTTGGTGGCAATGAGGCCAGCCAAGTTGAAGGCCGCCTCGACCGTCTTGGCCTTGTTCTCGTGTACCTGGCTCACGAAGCCAAATGCGAGGGCCTCCTCAGCGCCAAAGATTCTTGCGGACAATGCAAGCTCCTTGACCCAAGAGAGACTGCCAACAATCTTTGGCAATCTGCTAAGGGTGCCAATATCAGCAGCCAGGCCAATATCGACTTCCTTGACGGCCAGCTTGACATCCTTGGAGCAGATTCTGATATCGCAACACGATGACATGTCGATGGCCAGGCCAAGCGAGATGCCGTGGAGCACAGCAATTGTTGCTGTATGCTAGTCAGTAGCGGTCGAATTTCAGTGATCAGAAATGAATGACATACGCTTTTCGCACTTTTCAATCTTGCTGATACATTCTTGGAACTCGAGTATGTGCCTTCGTGAAGAGTTGGCCACTCTTGCGCCATCCACCGGTGGCGGCTTGTTGATCCAGCTTTCACTCGCCGCCTGCACGTCCAGCCCGGCAGTAAAGGCTCGTTCGCCAGCGCCCGTCAAGACGATGGCTCGCACGTCAGGATCGTAGGATAACTTGTCGAATATTTGCCCTATTTCCACCCACATGGCCTCGTAGAAAGCATTGAGTTTTTCAGGCCGGTTGATTTCAACATGAGCCACAAACTCGCTTGGAGACGAGACATTGAAGTGCTTGAAGTGGGAGTAACCTTGTAACGCATACATGATGGATGATGGATAAATGGAGACGCCTGCTAATGAGGAAAAGACATGAACTAGAAGAAAGCTGCAGATACTAGCAAAAGTGTCTGTGACTTTTGGTTTTGTAAAGAATCGAATGCCAATAACTCCTCCCCCAGAATGCGGTAAGCTGTGCTATGCCTCGGCATCTTTGGCTGGTGGTGCTGCAATATCTGGGGTTCTCCGCCGACCGTCCTAAGCCGCACCACCGACTTTGGCCACTGTGCAATCTGGGCCGGGGTCCATTCTATGAGGACGCAACAATCTTATCGATTGTGACGCTAACCCCACACCGGCTAGAGCATCGGTAGAAAATATCCAATTTGACCGACGACCATAAAAAAAAAAGTTGGAAAGTTTCCATAGGAAATTTTGACCATAGCAGAATTGAGGCTCAAACTGCACGCAAATTCGTTTCAGCCGGCACCAAGAAACGCCTGCTTGTCGCAAACCACCCACAATGGCAGCAGAAGTAGCACCGCTACCGCAGCTGAAGCTGCCACAGGGCCCTTCGCCCGTGACCGCAGAACATCGATACTGGAAGACGTTCAAGAACCAGCTCCGCATACCCTCGCCCACGCAGTATCCCATCACCCACATCACCTTCCCCGCGGTGAGCGCCAACAGCTTGAGTTCGGTCAGCAACGACCTCTTTGCCGTCACCACCGGTACTCGAGTACAGCTCTATTCGATACGGACGCGCAAGCTGGTCAAGACGATCACGCGATTCTCGGACATTGCAAGGAGTGGTGATGTGCGACGGGATGGCAAGATCATGGTGGCGGGCGACGATACGGGCAAGATTCAGGTCTTTGACATTCACTCGCGCGCGATCCTCAAGACTTGGGCTGGCCACAAGCAGCCAACATGGAAGACCCAGTTCTCTGCTGCCGACCTCACGACGCTCATGTCCGCCAGCGACGACAAGACCGTGAGATTGTGGGATCTGCCGAGCAACAACAGCACCTCGACCTTTGTCGGCCACTCGGACTATGTTCGAAGTGGTGCCTTTATGCCGGGCACCATGTCCAATATGCTCGTTTCTGGCAGTTACGATCAGACTGTGAAGCTCTGGGACCCTAGAGTCCAGGGCAAGGCCGTCATGACCTTTAAGCACGCCCACCCCGTCGAGGATGTCCTGCCGCTGCCTTCGGGCACAACCGTCCTCGCTGCCGCCGAGTCGCAGATTTCCGTTCTCGACCTAGTAGCCGCCAAGCCATTGCATCTCATCACCAACCACCAAAAGACCGTCACCTCCCTCTCCCTCGCATCAGGTGGTAAGCGCGTAGTGTCTGGTGGACTGGACGGTCACGTCAAGGTCTTTGAAACCACAGGATGGAACGTGGTAGCAGGCATCAAGTACCCGTCGCCTGTTTTGTCAGTCAAGGTCATCACCTCGGGAGCAAACGGCGATGACAGACACTTGGCCGTGGGTATGCAGTCGGGTGTTCTCTCGTTGCGAACCCGCCTCACGGGCCCCGAAGCAGCGCGCGAGAAGGAGAGAGAAAAGGAGATGGCCGCCTTGCTGGCAGGCAAGATTGATTCACACGACAAGTCCAAGCGGAAGCGCAAGGGTCGCATCGCGGAAGCCAACCGCCTGGACCTCGTCGGCGAAGGCGCCGATGTCGTGATTGCGGGCAACTCGGCCGCTCGCAACAAGTCCGTCAAGGAGAAGCCGTGGCAAAAGGATCTGCGACGCGGTCACTTTGTTCAGGCCCTCGACCGGGTGCTCGATACTTCGTCCCCGAATTATACGCCGCTGACGGTACTGACTCTCCTGGTGGCCCTCCGACACCGTTCCGCATTGCGCGAGGCCCTGGAGGGCAGGGACGAGGAGACGGTACAGCCCATTCTCAATTGGATACAGAAGCACATTGTCGACCCCAGATACGTCGGCATCTGTGTCGATGTTTCCATGCACCTTCTCGACCTCTACTCCGAGTACGTGGGTGGCAGCAAGGAGTTGGAGGACAACTTCCGCCTGCTCCACAAGAGGGTACGAAGAGAGATTGAAACGGCACAGATGGCAACACAGACTGGAGGAATGCTAGGTGGTCTGTTGATCGGAATGGCATAAAAGCCCAAGCTTGGCAGGACTGTCTGGAGGGGGAAAAAAATAATCGGAGGATGCTTGAATTTTACCTGCATAGCGAGGCGTTCTAGGATGGACAAAACAAAAAACAATGGCTCGGTGTGTCTACATGAGAAGAGTGTAGTAGTGCATTATTGTGGCTAGATACCTATCAGAGAGAATCCTGAGAATAAAGTAAAATACATCACATCATGTCCCATGACCTAATGCTCATCGTGCTTCGGCTCATCTGTAATTCGACCAGAAGTTCCACGCTCAAGGGCGTTGGCTGACTCCCCATCACGATGCAGGCCGTCGACTCCTGGTACCTCGTAACGTCGTGCCATGATACATGTAGGTGGTAGCTGTCAGGTACATCAATCAACGGATAAATTAATGATTCGAATGGAATAATGATTAAGCCAAATGATTGATAAATAACTTCAGGCACTATTGGGCAGGAACATAAGTGAAACTAAATGGTCCTTTTCACAACCAGACAACCAAAGCTGCCTAGCAGCTCTTGAAACTACAGCGCCTGTCGTATAATGGTTATTATTCTCGCCTTCCAAGCGAGAGATCCGGGTTCAATTCCCGGCGGGCGCATTTTTTTCTTCTTTTTTGTTCCATATTTCTGGTTGCTCTTCTTGGGTGTCCAGAGTTTGGTCTTTATTGGACTTTGAAACCTGCATGTTTTATTCTCATATTATTTTCTCTTGGACACAAGTCAAAAGTGTTTATTTTGCCCGCTGGTTTGGCTAACCAATACATTATTTGCTACATCCAGGGGGTTGAAGGTCCGTTTAGTTTGCAACTTCTTGGACGGGAGGCACGTTCTCTTTGTTCAAATCCACATCCCCATACTCGCGCAGCAGTACACCAACCTGTCTCATCAGAGTCCGCACCTTGTTGACCAGCTTGTCCTGTGCAGGTGTCATGGGCGTCTGCAACTGGTTCATCATCTCGGCCGCCTCGCTCACTTCCTCAAAGACTCTTTTGAAGACGACGCGTTGACGGTTCTTGATCCGTCCCGAAGTCAGCATTCGCTCCGACTCTCGATCTAGCACCTTGACAATGTGAGACAGCTTTGATTCGAGCGACGTGCCTACGCTCTGCTGGATATATCTTGGCTGTTGAGGTTCGCCAGTCCGAGTGTGTACATTCTGGCCATTTCGGGGTGCTGCCTGCGCCTTGTTCGTAATCGAGCCTAGCGGTGGACGGTAAGTCTCTCCGGTATTCTGAATTTGTCGCAGTGCAGGAATTGAAGTCGCTGGAGGATCCTTGGCGACGATATTCTCGCCGAAACCGGTTTTCTCAATACTACCGTCTCTGTGAGGGGCGCCCGCGCCGCCAGACGTTTTCGATTTATTTGATGAAATGGAGTTCTGGTCACCGGGACTCGGTTTGTTTCGAAGCTTCTGTCCTTTTGCCATTTCCTTGTCGAGAAGATAGTATCGCTGTTGGAAGAAAAAATTGTTTCCAGACATTGGATCGTGGTCTGGAGCGTAGGAATTGTGTCGGTAGAGTAAAGGTCAGAGGATTTGCCCGAATCAAGCACTCTGTCTTGGACTTCCTCCGCGCTTGATTTCTAATTCCTCGCAAGAGGCGGCGAGGCAGGAGCGGGTGGACTTGAAAGTGCGCCGCTGGACGACAGTTGCCCTGGCAGCTTCTTGTTTGTTGTTGCGTGCCCAGGTTCAAGGCGGTTGGTTGCCTTAGGGAAGTATCAAGGGACGCCGAGACTGTCAACTTCGGCTTCGTGCCACATCCTGTTCAAGGCTTTAGTGTTGTTCTAGTGACAGAAGAGACCTCTACGGCAAAGACCCCCCGAAATGTGTCTCTAACCCGTCTCTGGCCATTTTGACGCCGCAATGGCATATACAAAGTCTGTCCATGGTGGGGTCATCATTATTCGAACCGAAATGGACTCGTCTGCTGGATTTTTTGTCTATGCGTATGATGGTCTTCACCTGCAAGTCATGGATGTTTGAGAAAAAATGCCTAGATGTGAGCAAACAGCAGTTGGGTATCATTGTGCAAAGACTTGTATTACTCTACGGAGCTCGACAACTCTTGGACCTTCTTGATCTTCATCAACTGGTCCAAGGGAATATTTGCCATTGCAAAGAGCATGATCATCCATGTGCAAATGTCAACGCACCATCAACCTGTCCATGTTTTCCTTGGCCCAAAACGTCCATTTCCTAGCGGATATCCTGGGACGACAATGTTTTCCTGCATTGTTTTTGGAAAGCTCACTCGTGCTTTGGATTCCAAGTCAAAGACGCTCATTTCTATTGATACATTAGCAATCTTGTCATGGGCTATGGAAGATCCAACAAACAGAATCCTTCTTCAAAGCTCACAACTGCTTTACATGTTCGTCAGGTGTTTGTATTCCAGTATCCCGCCGTGGGGAAACCATACAAGGAAGAACAGTAAAATCAGGACATCTTGAGCGGCGACTTGTTGATAGGAGTCTTGGTCGGAGTCTTGAAATCAGCCTCAGTGCCACGCTCGGCCTGCATGCGCAGCCGCTCTTCCTTTTCGAGATCCTCGGTGTAGATTCTGAGCAGGTTTCGGCCCCGACGGTGGAGCAGTGTGACCTTTTTCTTCTCGGGCTCGGGTGACATGCCCAAGGGGGGACGCGGCGTGTGCGGATAGGTCCAGGCGGTGCCGCGGAGAAAGGCCTCGGACTCTCGCTTCAGCTGTCGACGGTAGCGGAGGTGGCTGACGACAAAGATGGTGATGACGACAATGGGGAGGCACGCAAGGAACACGTAGAGGGCGATCCAGTTGGAGCCGGCCTTCCAGTAGTCTCCCTCAATCTCCTTCATGTTGTTTGATGGCTCTGCGGTTGTTTGCGGGTGCTTGGCTGAAGTGTCTTATATGTGTGCGCGTCGCCGCGTATCGTGCTTCTTTGGTGTTTTGTTGTTGGGCAATCCGTACTGTCGAAAGGTGTTTGAGCGGCGACGCGACTTTTTATTGTCAACCCAGCAACGGACCTGTACTGTGCAGTTATTCACTCCCAAGCTTGTGCACAAGTATTCGGTCCCAATTATCATTCTTTCAGGCCACAGCTTATCGTAACGAATTTCTTCTTTAACGTCAAGGTAGGTCATCATGTATTGCCTATTGTAAGTCCAAGCACCAGCCGAACCCAGCAACCTCCTGTAAAAGGCAAAAGTGTTAGAAAGAAAACAGAATATCTGGGGATATCCCCAGCCCATGAATCGTAGCCATTATTATATATCTAAAGTTGTATCAATCTCTTCAATCTCTATTTGACCGAAACTCAATTCTTTGCCACGCCACTCAGCGCACCCTCTCGAAATGTCGAAACCGCATCCTTTGCTGATCCTTCTATATCAAATTCCCAAATCTGGTGAAAAATCCGTGTAATCTCACGGCTAAACCTTTCGGTACTACTCCCAACGTAGGGGTCGGTCCACTGAAAAAAGTCACAGGCCACTCTGCTCTGCTTGACAAGCCACTGCGTACGCGCATACCGCACATCATTGTACACCTTCAACATGTCGCGACACATGTCGGCACGAAAGCGTTGATCCGATGCTTCGTTTACAGCCTGGAGGAGCTCGGCCAGGACCAGGGCATCTTCCATGCCGAAGCCGGCGCCGGCACCCAGGTGAGGTCCCGCGGCGTGGGCGGCGTCGCCGGCAATACACACTCTCCCCTTTCCATAAAACGGCGCCGGGTGTTCCATCATGTCAAAGATGGCCCACTTGTCCATTTCTTCGGGCATCAAGTCGACCACGGCCTTGACCGCGGGGTGCCAGTCGGCAAACGCATCGACGGCCTCCTGCTTGCGCCCCCCGCGCGCAATGTGCCTGCCGTCCTCGGTCTTCCAGGGCTTGGGGTCGGATATCACCAGGAGCACGTTGAGCAAGTCCTGCGTCACTGGGTAGGTGATGGCGTGCGCATTGGGCCCATTGTACATGAAGCGCGTCGACGTTCTGTCGTTGCTGAGCGTCTTGAGCGCCTCCTTGGTCGGGACCAGAGCCCGGAAGCAGAACTTGTGTGAGTACGTTGGCTGAGTGGCTGGACTGTCTTTTCCGAGCACAAGTTGGCGAATGCTCGAGTGAATTCCATCGCAGCCAATGACTACCAGTACATGTTAGCACGCCTTATCACGGCGCGGATATCTTCTTTTTACCATGGCTGAGTGGCTATAAAGACCGACCAAAGTCTACTTACCAATATCAGCCATGTCTTGCGTTCCATCTCGAAAACGTATTCTCACACCTCCATCCTCAACCTCTTCAATGGCCTCGGCAGCTTTTCCCAGCTGTACCTTTTCCTCTGGAATCATCTTGACCAGCTCGTCCAAAAAGTCACTCCGCCGACACCCCTGGAAGCCTTGCTCGCCCAGGTAGAGCCGATAAATGACCTCGTCGGTCGCGGACCCGTCGACCCATTGAAAGTAGTCCTCCCCGTTGGCCATGGCGACGCGCTTGTACGCGGCGTGCAGGTGCCGTCCCAGCGCCGCCAGCGCCACCTCGGCGTTGGGTGAGAAGCCCACCCCGGCCCCAATCTCCTTGAAGGCGGCGGTGCGCTCGTACAGGGTGTACGATATGCCGCGCGCCTCGAGGCCCAGGGCCAGAGTCACGCCCGTGATGCCGCCGCCAATCACGGCCACGTGGAGGGGGCTGCTTGGGCTGCCGCTTGCGTTTGTGGAGTAAGGTGGTGCAAGCATTTTGATGTGTGTGTGTGTGTGTGTGTGTGTGTGTGTGTGTGTGTGTAGGTGTTCTACTCGACGACTGGGCAGATATTCATCGACCTCTATTTATTCCAGGTGACCCTGTCTGATCTCAAAGGGTATATGACAGTTTCTCAACGCTTGATCTATATTTACACGTTCTATTGATACGAGATCTAGCAGATACAAATATAGAAACTACAAACGACCACAGGTTCAGCCCCCGAAGTTGCATGTCGTCGGTGTTGTGTGGGGTATCCCGGGATCGGAACACCGGCACTTCGGCGTCATGATAATATAGCTGGATTCCATACATGGTTGGCATCATCACTTTTATCAAGGGAATACATGTTGTTTACTTGATCGATTCAATCGATTCATTACACAAAATTCGCCGCTTACGTATACTTGAATCGACGATTGCCTGTTCCGGGTTCAGAATAGTTTTTGTATTATGACCGTGGGTAGTAACACGTCCGGGGGAAAGGTGCTCCTCACAGGTACTGAGTCACGGGATCCAATCTTGACTTATAAAATACATCTCACTGATCGATATAGGTGGAAGCGGTTTCATAGCATCGCACATTCTCGATTGTCTTTTAGCGGAAGGGTAAAGGACTCCTCATATATTCCCGAAGCAGTTACTCATCGGATCTAGGTATTGACTATTATGCAGCTTCGAGGTAGTTGCAACAGCACGATCCAAACAAAAAGGACATCAGATCATTGGAGGAGTCGAAGCGCAGTATGCAAAGAATGTCGAGTATGCCGTGGTTGAGGATATAGCCCAGCCAGGTGCTTTTGACAATGTAAGCATTCTTCTCCTCAATTTATTCTTTTCCCTGTGATGCAATGTGGAAACACATGACTCTTTGCTTTTATCATGAGATCCAAGTCCATGAGATTAATATTCGCCATGTAGGTCCTTCAATCTACCCCTTTCGACTTCATCATCCACGCCGCATCGCCCTACCACTTAAACGTGGTCGATCCAGTCAAGGACTTTCTCGACCCAGCCATCAAGGGCACAACGGGTCTTTTGCAATCCATTGCCTCCCACGCCCCAACGGTGCGCCGCGTGGTCATTACCTCCTCGTCGGCCGCCATGCTCAACCCGGGCCACCACGCTGCAGTCTACGACGAGACCTTTTGGGCCCCCGCGTCTTGGGAGATGGCCATGGATCCGGCCCACACGTATCGCTGCAGCAAAGTGTTTGCAGAGCGTGCAGCATGGGAATTCATCGCCAAGGAGAAGCCGCGCTTTGATCTGGCCGTCATCAACAGCACTTATAATTTCGGTCCCGTCCAGCGCCGCCTGCCGTCCCTCGACGCCATGAATACATCGAATCACCGCATCCGCGACATGGTGCTCGGTCGGATGAAGGACAAGATTGAGCCTACGGCGCCGGTTTACACGTGGGTCGATGTACGAGATGTTGGTGAAGCCCACGTCCGCGCAATGACGCTGCCCGAGGCCGGGGGTAATAGGTTCTACATTGTGGGCGGCCATTTTAGCAACAAGAGGATTGCAGATATCATTAGGAAGAACTTTCCGCAGCTCAATGACAAGCTACCACCCGTGGACGTGGCCGACGATCTGCCGGATGACGTTTACCGGTTCAATAACACAAAGTCGAGACAAGTGTTGAGACTCGAGTACACAGGATTGGAGAAGAGTGTTATTGATACGGTGCGCTCAATCTTGGAGCACATGGACCATGATATCTAAGGATTAGCTATTCAACACTGCTCCATCGTCGCTCCGCAATTGGTTATAGTATTAAATACAGGCTTGTCAGCAGGCTCGGACCCGTGAGGAGACCGATCCAGAACATCATGTTACCAAGCGTCTCTCTGTTTCTCAGCAATTTTGTTCGGCTCAATTGCACCAGAGGCAATTGGGTCATCTGCAAGAATAACAGGTATCCCCTAAGCTTCTTGAAGATGCACCACATGACCAGCTCGTGTACGCAGGCTGACAAGAAAAACGTGATCAAGGTTGCCGTGTGCTTATTGACACGCATCGACGATATTGATGAGTGATAGACGTGTCGAAGAAGAAAGTTGTGCACCGGCCGATTCCAGTCGCGGGCGTATTGATCCCAGGAGACTGTGATATTGTTAGTCATCTCCAAAGCTCCTATATTGGAGAGTATGCCGGCTTACCGCTATTCCACCATGCATCGTAGAAACTCCGGTCCGCGAAATGAGTTAATTCGGCCAGAGTGTTAAGAACAGCCTCCCAAATGAGATACCAGACAAGCTAAGGACTTCTATTAGCGTTACTGGTCCACGAGGCTAATAGTATACGGGGTAAATAGGGCATTGTGCTTACTAGGTATTCCATCATGAAGGGGAAGACGAGATCGCTTAGCATCCAGGGGAATTCTTGGAATCTCTCGCCTAGTGTCCATCCTTCGTCCTTCATATTGACGGCCCTGATGACGACGGGGTAAATGTATGCCTGGGAGACCATGATCATGACGAATATGAGCCCAAAGACGGCTGATACCTTTTCTGCAACATATGCCCAGTTGATGGTTTCGGATCTCGGATATTCAAGCTCGTATACCAGTGTGGGTAGGCAGATAAACTCATACTGGTTATAGACGGTGAGATTGTTTGGATAGCAGTGGGCAGGATCCGTGGCTCTACCCTTGATCTCGTCGGTCAGGGCGTCGAGCTCCCACTTGATCATGCGCTCAAACAACTGGATCTGGTCCATATTCAGCGGTATCCCAGATTCTATCGCCTGTGAGATGTTCTCCATATCATCTGCGGTATCCGACCTGGTAATTGACAGGCGACGCTCTCTATACTCGTGCTTCGAGGGGCGGCGAGACAAATGAGACGTTGAGAGAGCAAAGGACGCTGTGTTTGTTTGCGGCGCCGGCAAGTCTACCGGTGATATATTCTCAAGCTGTTTCAATCTTTCTCCGAGCTGCTTCCGCTTTTCGTAGGCTGTCGAGAGGTGTCCATTGTAGAAAGCGTAGGAGTGCTGTTTCATGAGCATTACGAGACCATGCATGACGAAAAACACGGTATGTGTCCAGGGCCAATCCCGGATCAGCGTCAGTCCAACCACGGCGCCGATGAAAGTTGATTGCCAGACCTTTTGAAACTTGTCAGCAGAAGAGCGCAGAAGCATGTTGGCCATAATCATGACACACATTTTGAATTATCCATCCGGTCCGGTTCCAATCTATCCAGTCTTTCAGTACCAGCTTCTGTAAGAACAAGCCGAAGCCAGTCAGAAGACACATCAGGCCATCAGAGATGAGGAGCACCAGAACTATCAATCATTGTTAGCTTTCATCTTGAGAATTGTATCAAATTTTGCGCTCACCATCTCTCCTGAACATGTATTTCATGATTTCATTTGTTCCAAGGACATTGCCCGTCTTTCTCCAGTTTTCTGCGCCCATTTTAATGATTAGAAAGGCAACAGCAATCCAAAAGAGTACGTAGAAGCCTTGAAAGGGACTGTTGGCAGCATTTCGGTTCTGTCTATCAAATGCCGAAAATTGCCTAGTGAAGACCATGCTTCTAAGCTTTTCCTTGCGCGATGGTCTCGTCTTTTCTTTCTCCTGGGTGTCTCGAGTCAGTAGAGGTATCCAAAAGCAGAGTCGGGACGAACGCACCCTCTCCAAGCCTCTCCGAAGAACATCCCTTAGTTCGGTATCGTCGGACGCAATAACGTAGCTCTTTTTGCTTTGCATGCCATTCCTCAGCTGTGGCCTGCCTGGTGTTCCGCGGGAGCCAGGATTGTCATTGGGGTAGTCACTCGCAGCACCGCTTGTGGTGTTGCCAGAGGTATCTTCCGCTACATGGTTGGAACCATCTTTCCTACTTCTGCGGCGAAGCATGTCATTGACCCGCTTTCCTTCGGCTTCATCATAGTCTTCTTCACTTGGACTCTCTGAAGGGGTCCTGAGGCCCAGATTGTTGTTTGGGGACTCAATGACACCATCCAGTGCTGGTCGCAAGCTAACTGCCTCTGAAGAGCGATCGCTTGTCTCCATGCTGAAAATGGAATCAAGCAGATCCTTGGATCCCCAAATTTATGATTGAATATGGAACGTCGGGTCCCTCCTACTTGCTTCCTCCGAATCGGGAAAGTATGAGCAGAAGAGAAAAGAAACGAATTATTATAAACAAAAGAAACTGCAGTGATTGCAGTTTCCAGGCGCGAGCCGAATGCTTTTTTGTAATGTATTTGTGTAACGAAGCAAAATTGATTGAAAATTGATGTGATTTCTCAGGATTCAGGAAATGTCTGGAAGTAAAGTCTAGGCATAACCGACCGGAAATAGGCTGTTGATGGGTGGAGGATCCGAGAGAAAAGTAATTCCTAAAAATACTCGTCGACTACAGGCAGTCCCCGATGCCCTCGTTTAAAATCCGCGTGTGTGTTCTCTCTTATTGAATCTGGGCCCGCAGAAGCCGAAGCTGAGGTCAGCAGCAGGAACGTTGTAGGAAGCCAGAGGAAGCTCGAGTCAACAGCCCACCCCCAACCAAAAGCTGTAAAGCCCCGAAGGGTAATCCGGCTCCCGACAGGCACTTTTTTTTGAAGCTTCCGGTTCCCCCGCCTGGGGGTACGTACATATGGCTGCATACATTCATGCTTAGGTAGGCGCGTACCTCCCTCCCTGTGCTGGAGCTCAGCCAACCTTACAAACTTTACCTGCTTACCTCTTCATACATGGATGTATGCTGCTGCGTCAAAGTGGGGGAAAAGTGTCCAATAATTAATTCATGCTGGGTCAACCTGGCTGCCTACCCACTTCAATGAAACGTACTATTTCTGGTTATGATCAAGTGCTGGTCTGACGTAACCAGTCAGTAGTAAGTAGCCTTCACTTCCATAGGTATGTTTGCACATATTATTGATAGGCATCAACATTGCTCTACTTCGCACAGGCACAGGCATGGAAACATTGCTGCATCGGTAGGTAGGTAAATGGGTATTACCTAACCTAGGAAGGCAAATATGGCAGCATGCTCGGGGTAAACTTTATAAAAAGGCTAAGCGTAGAATTAAACACAATGGCTTGATACCAGCACAACTTGAAAAATCGAAGGTCAACTTTTATTTTCTCTTCTTTTTCTGTCAAAGGCAGCCTTGTTGGTGATGCAAGCTGATCATCACGATATTCGCCAAATTCCTCTATTGCATCTTCTCGGATGTCGCCATCAAAGAACCTAACACGTGAACATTTGTCAGTATTGATTACAATGTACAATGACTGTTTCGAGGACGGCTGATGCTGCTTACCAATAAAAGTCGTCACAAGTCTGCTGCGGACTTGGCAGATATCCTCGGGTACGAGCCAGATGGTGGCACCCATCTTTCTTGCTATGCTGATGGCCAATTTGGCGTTCATGTAGGCATCCTCTTCAGTGTTGCCGGGCGTGACAAGGTCGTAGTCAACGTAGCTGCTCTTCATTCCATTCAGGACATCAAGCAAGAACACACCGCTGGCAATGCTGTTGTCCTTGAAGGAGCGGACAGCCGAGTTTCGGCCGCCCTTCTTGCTCTGGTCATTGGCCCACCGAACCATTTCCGCATCCGACATTTCACGCTTGCCTAAGCGCTGAGCGAGAGCTGACAAGGTCAAGGTGATGTCCTTTCTCATCAATTGCCAAACAAGACCCAGGGTCAGGAGCTTGACACCGTCCGTGATGTCGGCACCCTGGATTCCAACCAGCGAGAAGCCGTTCTGCTTGCCAAGTTCCACGGCATAATTCGTGTTTTCAACAGCCTTAAATCTCATGATCTCACCGCCATGGGCGGGCCGCTTGTTGACATGTCGCCAGTTCACAGAGTTTTTGATAACCTTGTCGTAAGCCTGGAGTAGAATGGTGCCATCACGTAGATCATCAAAGAATGAGACCACTGCTGGCTGTACGTCCAGACTGTTGAGCCATAGAGTAAACACTCTTGCCTCACGCTCACCTTCGGCGTCAAAGTCCTCCACTTCGAGCTTCTCCTCTTCCGTAATGGGGTCGAGGCACGGGTGTGTGTTGAACAAGTTGGCAACAAAAGCAAGGTTGAGCTTGGGGTTTCCAGCAACGAGTGACTTGGGTGTCAAGAACTTGCGGCAGCTCAGCTTGTCAGCATCCTGCAGCACCTCTTCCGCCCTCTGAAGAAGATCCCGTGTTTGCAATGGGGCACGACTGCAGCCATACTCGTGTCCAATCTGGGCAAGCAAAACTGCGTAGTTCTCTCCATCCTTGACATCGGTCGAGAAGTTGTTGACTCTGCGTGGCCAGTTGGCAGCCTTCAAGTGGTAGTTGAACCATCTCAGAAGGATCTGCTCCGGAGGGAGGCGGAGGAATTGTTCGAGTGTCTCGTCCTCTTCAAGAAGTCTGTACAGCTCGGGGTGGAGCTTGATGTCGATCTTGCCCAAAAGACCTCTCCGGATGATCTGCCAGATGAGACCTAGAATCAAGTGCTCTCTGACCTCGATGATATCTCCGCTACCAATGTTCACGACCGAACATCCAATACCCTTGGCCGATTCAATGACAATGTTGTTGTTCTCAGTCATGTGGAAGGCATTCAACTTCTTGATCTTCCTTCCAGGCACGTTCATGACACGCTCATCAATAGTGTCGGGCACACTGTCGTTGATCAGCTTTGCTAGCACGAGACCGTCCTTGCACTCGTCGAACATCTCGAAAGTGTCGGTAGGGAAGGGCAGGCGGTCGCCAATGTCGGCATCACCGGCAAGAACAGCATTGATGTGGCGCGTGAACTCGGTACGCTCATCCTCGTTGATGGTGTGTGTAATGTTAGCATTGGAACCTTGCACGTGGATCTTGCCGATGCTGCCCTTGGAGGCGTGACCTCCACCGGTTCTTTGCGAGACGATGCCAGGTGAGGGGGCAGCAGCGCCAGCGCCGCCGCCCGTGTTCATGCGCTTTTGTGCCGGCGATGAATCTCGGAGCTTGGCAATCAGCTGTGTCATGAATCCATGGTCAGTCAAGGGGTTCGCAGTAATGGGTGGGAAATGGGAGCGGAAAAGTGCAACATACACCGACATAGTCCTCGAGTTCAACTCGTCTGGAAGAGTCAAGCTCGACCTCCTTGAGAGCCTGTCTAACAACATCATAAGGCTGGTGCTCGCTCTGTTGGGTCGCCTTGATGGCAGTAGCCTCTTCTATGTAGCCTTTGTCGTCGACATCGAGCTTCCGGAAGGCATCGCTCAGAGCAAAGATGTCACCTTGCTGGAATTGAGGGTATTTCCTGGAGATGGAAGCGTTAGTGATCTGACCGTGGTGCGCGCGCGGTATCCTGAGTATGGGGTTTGACGCACCTCTGTAGCTTGAGCACATTCATGGCGTCGGAGTAGTGGCTGTGGCCAGTGTGGTCCCCGACGAGAGAGTAATGATTGCAATGAAAGATGGATATATGCGAGGGTGCTTGAGACGTTTGGCCCGTCCGGCGCGGGGTGTCGTACAAATGTTGGTTGTAGTAATAAAAGTTGCAGACAATGACAGCCGCCTTTGCGATCTGGGAGGCAGATGTCGTGGGCTTATCTGCAGTGTGGAACAAATCAGGTAGCAACGATTGCCAGAGAGATTTCTTATGTTGTTCGTCTTGTGCCTTCTAGGCTGATGCTTAAACAAAGTTTCAAGGCTTCTCCTGAACCGACTGGACTTGTATCGAGCGCCGGAGTCGACAGGAAGTTGGTGGGGGCGGGTGCGCGGGGTCTGATGTAATTATTCGGCTTTGCACTAGGTACAAAGTAAGCTAAGCAGAAAAAAGCAGAGAGCTCAAAGCCACGCTGACTTGCGTAAGGCCCATTCAGGCAGCGGCATTCTTTTGGGTGTCGGTTCTCTTGTCTTGTCTCGCGTTAGACATCAACTTCGGGTTCCAACTCGGATTCCAACAGGATTTGCTGCGGCAAATTGGGCACCCAACCTGATTTGACAATGCGATTCACCTCTTATTACTGGATGACCGATCGGCTGGGTCCTTGTCTCAATTCAGACTTGTTCACTTACTGTACTGGACCTTGCTACAACTAATGCCAAGTATTCATTCCCTAGGTGTGCAGCTTGGTCTTTCATCATACGACTACATATTACTCACCGGGTCCTGACTTCTACGAAGCCAGTAAGAAAGCGATTGCTCTTGTACCCGCGAGTGACCTCCTACTTACAAATCTTGATCCTGAACACTCACTCACGAGGGTATACATCAGCAGAGAATGTATCCTCTCCGTTTCATCGACAGCAGCGACGTTTCTGTTGAGGCATATCCATAATCTCATGGACACAAAGCTACTTGTACGAACACAGAACATGGCGATTCTATTCATGCATTCCATTTCCTCTGCTATTTAATGTAGGAGGATCTATAACATTGCTTCTTAGATTGAATATTGTCAATCTATTCCCCACTGCCTGGTGGGCTCCGGGTTCTGAATTCCCCGGATTCTGGGCTCTCTCTGCTCCTCCAATCTGCAGAGCTGCAGCAAATCAAACCGCGCCTTGAGCGGAGCAGCACTACTATTCATAACAACATGCTTGTCTTTCCCAGCGTTTCCGTTGTGAAACATCAATACAATAATCGTATAGGACCCTGCCTTTCCACACAATCTAGTCGTGTTGGGTCTTGTCAAATTCAGAGAAGAAAAAAATATGAAAGGGTTAAAAGGATTCCCCCAGTCTCGACGTCTTGGGGTACCCGCCCTCAGGAACCCGTATCTTGTCGCACGAGAGCAACCAGAAGCTACCTGCAACCGGCTGGGAGTCTTGCACTGCACAAGTCAAGATCACACACTCGGCATGCAATCATATGCGCTCCATTCCATCACCAATCACGCGAGAGCACCTTGAGGCAGACCTCTTATGCTGCGGCGGTGATGGAGTCGGGCTTGATCGTAAAGTTCATCAATGGTGTAGTCGTATCCTCGTTGTAAGAGACATCACCATCGCCCGTGAAGTTCCACCATGTGGTGCTGCAAACGAAAGGTCCATGGTCAGCACTTGATCGTTGCCACCGAGGCGCATATACATTATGGTAATAGCAAAAGGGACCAATCACTTACGAAGTCTCGAGGTCTGTATACTTGAAGCTCAGCTCAATGTGCGCAACAACGTCGGAGCTGGTGTTGGATGGTGTAGACGGCAAGAGCTTGGCAACAACCCGGCGCGCAACATCAGCCTCGTCCAGCAGGTCACACTCCTCGTACGGACCACCCTCCTCGCCGCCGGTGCAGTATGCCAGGAACGCCGGCCGGGCTGGGTTGTTGTCGTCAGCCGGAGCCGAAACGTTGAAGTCGTAGTGGCAGCCTTCGTCGTCGCAACCGGCTTGCCAGTTTGTGACAGACCAATCATAGCCTTCAACAGCCTGCACACGGAACGGTCCGGCCGTAACGGCTGTGGCTAGAGAGGCGAGAAGAACAGCGGCACGCATCTTGAATGTGTTGGTAGTGGATTATGCTCGGACGCGGTGCTTGGACGATGATTAAGGGTATATCTTTCGTCTTGCTTGAGTTTGTTCTCTCGTATGTAGTAAGTGAAATGACAGCACGGGAAACATCCAAAGTGTTTGCACAAGTAGGACGAGGATACTTAATAAGGCAGGCGATCCTATCTGCGGATCAACAGACCATCGTCATTTCAGACCCGCCGAATAACCTTCTTATTAGCATACCCAATGCATTCCAGGAACTCAGGCGAACAGCCATCCCAATCCGTGCTCCTCGCCCTTGAATAGGAAATACGAGGGTTGCGTCGCAAGCGGATAGAACAGCCACATCCCTGTGTCGCGCCCGCGACTTTTTGTCTTTTGGCCGGTGTCGTTCAAGGTTCATTGGACGACTCATTGTCGCCAAGCCAGTTGAGCGCCGATCTATACCTCCCACAGAGTCCACGCGCATGCCAAACTGGAATTAAAGGGGTTCATCCCACAAAAATGCCCGCCGCAGGTACCAGCATTTAGGCCCTTTAGTTCCCTCCTCTCAAACCCACCGCACCAGCACTGGCCGCTTCAGGGCCGTTCAAAGCAGTAGCCCTCTCTCACCGTTCTACCGCGTAATAGCACGGCTACTACTGTCTGCAAATACATCTACTGACGACGTTCGTTTGTTTGAGAAGTTCGGACGAGGCTGGGCCAAGCAGAAATCTCCATATTGAGAGACGACAAAATTTGTTCTCGACTCTTCCACAAAGTCGCCTGGTCCGACAGACAATGGAATAGCCCCCAGGAGGGATCAGCAATTTGAGTTCTCGGACCCGACACTACGCTTACCTACCTACCTTAATGTAAATCCTCCACAAACTGAAGCATCCTATCGGCATTGGCATTCCGCGTCAGTCAGCCAGCATCAAACCATTTGTCTAGTCAGGTACTATAACACTACAAATGGATCTGTTGCCATGAGTAGGTATGGCTTGGTGGCTACTGTTGATACTTTGTATCGATCTGGTCTTGGCAGTCGTAGTGTACCGACGATTGCGAACCTTGCCAAAACAATGTTTGCCCGAATCCCTACGTGCCAACGAATTGGCAACAGCTTGCCATGCTCGAAACAGTACACTGGGGAGCAATCATGGATCAACATGGCTCGCCAGATACGGTCGCTCCAACCTTGACCTGTCACTTTCAACTTTACCAGGGCCTCGTTTTTGGAATGCCAAGAGCAAGACTCAGATGGTACTGTTTCCTTTGCATTGATCCATTGATTGATCCTAAAGCCACTATTACCATGTTCATATGCTCTCGAAAGACAATTGCATTTCTCCAAGGCGGTGCGGGAAATAGTTGTTGTCTACACACCACAGCTGGGCTTTGATTCCGGCTGTTTCAAGACATATTATTCTCTCCTGCTTGCCTCGAGATCAATCTTGTGCCTGACTTTCCTTTGACATAGGACTTACACTGCCCCAGCCGGTACTCGTCATGGGCACTCATGATATCTACCAAGGCAATTTCCTCGAACGCGTCAGCGAGTACTCGATAAGCAAAATTTGACAAGATGAGGAGAATCGTAAAGCTGCCTCCTTCTGCCAATACAGGTTTGAAAACTGGGTACCAAAGCCCATGTGCCCTTCTACGAGATGATGACTTGGTGGGGCAAGACCACTTGCGGCCTATCCTCTTATTCGATCTCTCGTCTGATCACATTGTCTCTTGGAATGGCTCTCGCTCAATTCATTTTCCAACGAACTTGCCGCCTGGATCATCCTGCAGCACTACCATGAACAGCCGAAGATGTTGGATAGTTTGTACATGCCAACCCGAATGCAAAGCCATTGCGAATTCTTGTTGCGACCGAAACCACTAATAAAGTCATTTAAATATTGCGCAAAACTTGTTGGAGGCGCAGTATCTAAAAGACATTCCAATATCTTGAAACGACTATATTCCATCACAGCCTCGATCGCATCAGATTCATGTCCTCGGTTTCCTCGACACTCTACATCGGACATATGGGCAACATGGGCAGAACCTCTCCCGGTGAATGGCTCATAGTTCTCCAAGCAAGGAGTTAGGAAGTAGTATCAGCTCCATACAGACACAAGGAAGATTCCATTATGAGCATGTCACTTGGATCTCTCCCATATCAGTCGCGCATTGCATTTGGTCCATGCACAGTAAGCCTACCGAGTGACAATGACGTTGAAAAACAAGTACGAATTGAATATATCATCAGCCTGATTTGCTATGTACACATAACGCGATTCCGCCCAAGGATAGGATCATTCCCATCCACGTATCTACAATGCCTGAGTAAGTTGATGGTCTTCGAAAGTGCAAGGCGGGGACAGTCAACTTACTTCTATCAATGACCTTCTTTTCAACCCACCAGTCTCCTAACACCGTAAATAGAAAAGCGAGAGTGTTCACAATGGGTACCGTCAAGCTCAGCTCTGCGGGTGTGCATATCCTTGGTTAGCATTACGAACAAACAAACCCTATCAATGGTAATTCAAGGTGTCGATAACGCGGGCATGCAAAGCGAAAACAACATACCGGCCTGTCCGATCAACAAAAAGAACCACACGCTGCCAGTCAGGTTGATGAGGAGCGGTACGGCATATCGGGGATTCTTCAAGAGGTCCAGCACGGCAAAGAAGGCGCCGTACACCTTGCTCTTCAGCCAGCTCGACTTTACGTCGTCGCGGTCTAGCGTCGGATGGGCGGGAGGGTCGTGGTCGCGCGCGGCGCGGCGGATAAAGGGCGTCGTGAAGCCCCAGGCGATGCCGACCAGCAGGAAGCCCAGGACGTAGTTGAAGGCGGGCGGCTGGGATTCATCTGCCGACGGTGCAGACATGCTTGTTCCTTCTTCTCCTTGTGGTCGGTATTCCCCTTTTGTTTAAGAGACAAGTATTTCCAATTCGTAGTACTCCTGGTCTCGAATATGTGGCCTCGGCGGGGGGGGCAGTCGGTCAATTGTGATTGACAAGCAGTCAATGTTGGATCACGGTCGGCTACTCGGAGTCCACGGAGGGAAAGGTAAGTCGGCGCCCGCGTTGCTGGTTGCGGCGGGCTTCAGCCTCAAGGACGCTAAAGTATGCGGCAGACGAGGGGCAGTTCCCGGTTGGTCGGCGTAGTAATTACTCTGTACCCCACAGGGTCGCATTGTCTCACATGTCAGTATATGGTAAACATTTCTGAGCAGGCATCTTCTATCGTTGAACTTCAATTTATATCTTCGTATTCTCTTAGTTTGTTTTTCTCCTCTCTTACCATTTTTCGTTCTAAAGATTCTCAGAGTCCGTATATTATCCACGGAACCTATTGTTGCTCTTTTCTTCAAATCAATTCAGAAGCTCATAGCCTCAGACCATTCGGTTAGCAGATATAGATACATACCCATCCACCATCTCCAACTCAGTCAGAGTTGATACTGAATGGCTTCAAACATTAGTGGTGATTACCAGATAATTCCATCTTGGCAACTCGCAGTAGCAATAGTCTTTCATTAATTTCTAGCTCCACATATGGAAAATGTGGCTGGATATAACCATTGCTTTTCGCCTATACTTTGCCCTAGCGAATACTATGACATGGGAGATGATTCATAGATATGTGATCCCACGGGACTGTGCTTCTTTGTCGGCGCTACGTACGAAATGTGCAATATTTTGTGTATGTACAATCAGAAAAGGATCCAAATCACCGCAAAGACCGCTGACGATGACAGGCTCATACTCGATTCATGAATCAAGGCCAACCTCCTCAACGTGCTACAGGGCCCAGAGCTGGCTTTCCGAACAGCCGTAAGTAGAAAGACCATTTCTGGTTAGTCGGCCCAATCAGGATAAATTAGAGGATCGTGGCATAGTCTATACTATTTCCCCAGCAGGCATCCATCAAGGTAGTAATTCCGGCCTAGTTGCGCGGGAGATTCACAGTTCTGCGTCTAGGTCAAGTAAGCAACGACATGCCATCGGTGTCAAAATACCAACGAGGAACAGCAACTGGCTATTCATACATACGCATTGAATATGTCCGTATTATTATGGCTATTTATATCAGTGCATTCTTGGGTAGTTTAGGGCACATGGAATATGAAAATTCGGAGAATCTTCTGAGGCAGCAGTTGTACATATGCGCGCGCCTCCGATGCCCAAGAAGCCATATTGACAAGCCGACTCCAGTGCATACTACCCGAAATCATGCTGGTCATTTTCAAAGCATAAAGTTTTCGTCTCTGTACGATTTGTCCTCGGCCCTCTTCTCTTGATGCAAAGCCGGCTAGCCTTAGGAGGTTGAAGACTATAATCATGGTCGTCATTGAACCCCACAAAATACTGCCTACCACTTTATTTCAAAATCCCCAAACTGCTTCAACTCCCTATTTGACTATGTGTATCGCTCGTATGAGTCTACCCCGGAAATTTACCTCCGCCTTAGACTCAAGAATAGCCAATCGTGGCTTTTTTCGCTTCTCGTCTTTGGCCGTTCCGGGCTGTTCTAATGCACGGTACGGATCATCACCGCGGCGATCCGTGATGTCCCCTAGTCTTGGGAAAGCAACATGCGCAGGCAAAGAGTCTTTGACGTACCTTGCAGGCCGATGTGGTTCTTTGAGCCCCCATAGGCCAGGTACACAACCAGACCTGCCAGACAAGTTGCGGGTAGATGCCGTCTCCTGTCCACGTCTCTGGCGCCCCATGTGCTTTGTCAAAAGACAGATACTTTTGGTCGAATGGCTCGGTCCTAGCCCATTGTCAGCAGCTTGAAAAGTGATGAGATCATGATGGGTTCATTATCGCCAATTTGTGGTGGTCATCGACGCAGTGTATGATGTCGCGGCTCAGAACACTTTGGTTGACGTGTTGATGAAGTAGGCCAAATATGTCAACTCTCAAGTAATCGAAATGTCTATAAGAAGGCCCTGAAATCCTACATCAAGCATAATCAAATTCAATTCATTCCTCATACTCAAACAACCATCATCCTCATCAATCTTATCTCTAACGACTCTTCAAACTTTTAATCGCCACATCCATCGTCATGCCTACCGAAGCTCAAATCGCTGGAGGTCACAAGGCCAACCTCAAGAACGCCAATTCTTCTGAGGAGTCAAAGCAGCACTCGAGGCAGGTTCTCAACGACGAATTCAATGGTGGCGATGGTGAGTCTCTGTAATGAAGCGGTAGTTTTTGAAACATTCACTAAAGGTGACTCAGTCCCCAAGGCATCGGACGGCGGTAACAAAAACCCCGGCAACGTTGCTGGCGGCCTGAAGGCGTAAGTTATTGACAAAGCCTGGCAATGCTCATGAGTACTGACGGCAGTCTAGTACTACCAAGAACCCCAATGTCTCGGAGGAGGCCAAGCAGTCTGCCAAGCAGCGTCTTGAACAGATGGAGTAAATTAGTTCTTGACCAGAATCATCAGTGGTGTTGGCAGTCCACGGATGGGGAATATGCTACGACTTCGATAAGATAATAACAAATTTAATCATCTCACTAGTATTGGCAATCGGTGAATTGTTTTCTGAACTGTTGAGCGCGGTGCTGCCGTGTATGGAGATGGTATACGAATTCGCCTGGAACATAATGAATCCTTCGCTGTACGTGTTACGACTGATGTGGAATTATGAATTATGAGGAATATCTTTCACAGGGCAATTTTGGGATATCTTGGGCATGATACAGCATCCTTCTACTTCCAAAATGTCTGCCAAGCGAATGTAAAAGGAGGCTCTGGTCATCTCAAGTCATCTCAAGTCATGACTTATCCCTATAACCCCCAATTGATACATGGAGTACAGTAATCGTAATATACTGGATTGGGCGAGTGATTTCATTTATATAGCTTGACTACTCGTTGTCCGAGCCGGTGTTTCTAGTATCGCTCTTGATAATGACTGACATTTTATTACGAATGCACGCAAAGTTCTCGATAAACTGGAGTCAAGCGAGTCCTGAGTGGAAGAGGCATATATTCCACCGAGTCGGCAAGTATAGTTTGGTCCATAAACTTCATATGGAGCTTCTCCAAAACATATTACAGCCTTCTAAAGCGTCTCGATGGTGCAGACTCTTGAAAAGGTAGGGCTGCAAACGTGGTAGTTGTCCATTGTCACACAAGAAACGCTACGAATATTGCACATCTAGCTTGATTTTCGACCATTACAGTTTTGGGGCATAGCAAGCGCCTTCGTTACATCCAATAACGAGACCGTTTTTACACAATCGAGTATGACACTTGAATAGGCGCTGTGGATCATGGCGTGCACATTGATCTGCTGCGCCTTGAACCTATAACACGTTTTGTCACGAATACAACAAAACACATAAGGAAAGCAAAAGCCGTAAGGCAACCACCCATTTACGTGGATAGTCCATTGCGAGCCAGGTACAAGCGAGCAAGCCATCATCCGCAAAGTCCTTCAAATCCGCTGCCATTGCGCGAAGCGGCAGGGGGGGGGGAAACCCCAGAGTCCCGAGCTTCCGAACTTTATTTACATGACACAGAACGCCTTGAACGCCTCTTTCAGCTCGTGGCTTGCTTATTTCCTTTTCCTTCTATGTTCCTTCCCGGGATCGATCGATACCGAACCATTTTGGTCATGATATAAATAGGAGAAACATTCAGGTCACACAAGCACTTTGCCTTTCTCCCCAAGTATTTAGGAATTGTACAACGCCGACAAGTTCCTCGAACCATGCAAAAGTAATTTGGAAACTTGACGACTGGGGCAGAGAAAGCAGAAGAAAATATATCCTCGCTTTGCGTAGCCACGAGTAAGTAGGCGCATACATCAAACGGCGAGTCATGGGCTAAAGGTGGTGCCCAGCTTTGCACGACATCCTAGCTCAAGGGACTGACTCTCTCTCTCTCTCTCTCTCTTTTTTTAATTAAAAAAAAAAATCTAAAAAATTGGGCCCAGAATAGCTCCCGTTTCCGAGGTTTGGTGAGTGCCTGGTTTATCTGGTCTTTTAGCAACCCGTAGGCGCTGATATTTTCTTCACTGCGATGACAAGGTAATCGTTATTATGGTTGACATCAAGCACATGGCGATTTTTTTCATCTCTACCGTAGATAGATACTGGCCCGTGGTAAAAGGCTGCACATAAATCCATCCCGCCAAATAACGTAACATAGAATATAAAGAATATGTCCATCAACGACATAACAGCAAGACTTTACCCAAGTCGTCATAGTCAAGAGACACCCACGACAAGGAGCAGAATCTCATATCTGTCACCCAAATAGCCAAAGACGCCGCGCCTGTTCCAGCTCCGTGCCGAAATAAATAAATAAATGAATGAAGAGAGGTATGGAAGCCCCGTAAAAGATGACGGGTGCATGGTGGGACAGAGCAAACCAACCAAGGTCTAACCCATTCTTGGGCTGGCTCAAATGTAAACAATAAGTCTAGCAAAGTAATGTAGATACGAGAAGCAAAGGTGAAAGCAAGGCGGCTTGTTTACAGGCTTCTTGCTTCACTTGTCGCGGCACAAAGGCGGCGTTTACAGCGGATGGCAGATGAGGGGTTCCTAGTCCCTAAGAGCATGGTCGTCGCTGAAAGGGCTGCTGCCGCGGACTTTTGAAGATGCCGAGCTCGTCCTGCTTGCTGCGCGTTGTGTGGCTTCCGTGATGATCGCGCTCAAGCTGTTTGAGCTCTTGTGCTTTGAGGTTCGATTGTTTTGGGGTGGGTCAGAGAAAGGACTCTGTTCTTCTCGTGGCGCCGTGGTAATGGGGGTTGATGGAGTTGCGCCTCGTGCATTCAAATCCTTGTGAGCATCGGCGTCCTCCATGGTGGAGTCGGAGTCCGTCTCGTTCACAGACACAGAAGGAGATGCCTTCTTTACATCAATGGTCTTGACGCCGTTACTGCCACTGCTACCTAGTTGAACCATTTGTGGCCGCATCGCCGTTGCAGTCGTTGTGTTGGCGTTCTTGAAGAAAGTTGCACCAATGCTAAACGCAGGCGATGCTGGTGGTTGATCATACTTGTCATAATCGACTTGAGGCACGGGCGGAGTCGAGCTTCCACTGCTTGCACCCTTTGACTTGACGCTGACGAGGGACGGCTTGAGAAGGGTTCCCTTTTGTGCTGGCATGGGAGAAACGACAGCATTCTTGCCGTATATCGTCGAGGCGACACTAGACCGCGGGGCGTATGAACGAGCATACGAGGTTCGGTCGCTGTAGCCTGAGATACCCGAGTACGACGAGTCGCGCAAGTTGCCTGGAACAAAAAAGTGCTGCTCCTCATATGGCGAAGGAGTGCCGGCCTCTGATCGTGACATGGGAATCGGAGGCACGGGGGGCACCAGCAGTGTCGGTGATGTTGGCGTCGCCCTGTTTGTGACACCAGGAATATAGGCAATTTGGATGATGTTGGATGCGCGAGTGAGTACCGTCGAGGCCATGGAGTGCACAGAATGTGTCGACTGTCGCGCTTGAGATGCCCTCGATGCATAGTCCATGTCGGAGCCCTCCTTGCTTCTCGGGCCATCCTGTGCCCATGGTTCGTTCTGCCACTGGTCCCTCTTTGCCTTTATGCAAAATCGCCAAACAAGATAGGTAATGATGCCAATGACAGCCAAACCACCAATGACACCTCCTGCAATAGCGCCCACATTTGGTCCGCTGCTGACTGTCGCCTTGCTGCCGCTGCCACTGCCGCTGCTGCTGTCTGAGTCGGATGAATCGTCTGCTGCACAGTAGGCTTTTGGACATTCGCTACATGTTTGAGTAGAAAAAGCGCAGCTCTCGTTATCTGCACATGACGGACACGACAAGCTTGTTGTGTCGCATTGAACGCAGCCGTTTTGCCTTGCGAACAAGGTGGGAAAGCCTTCTAAACTTATATATTAGATGGGGTTGCTCGAGTACCCTCACACAAGCGTGATACTTACCGGCTGCCACTCCGACGTTTGGCGACATGTTGGTGTCAGAAGAAGAAAAATGACTGCCAAGCAATTGCGTCGAGAGTAAAGGTGGATGAGAGGACGTCTTCAAGATGGTCCCTGATGGTTGCGTTGTGGGCGATCGACCAGGTGACGAGATTGGTTATTTGGTGCAGATCGACAGATGTAGATCCTGGCTAAAAGGCTGTGTCCGAGTGCTTAAGCCTTGACCGTCGCCTCCTCGAGGGATTCCAGCGGACCTCAAGGAGAATCCGGAAACGGGCAGAGTGGTATGCGTATATATGACACTATCGTTTGTGTCTTGAGGTGTTTGATTTTTGGTGGTTGCGCGAAATGTAAGAGAGGACGGTGTTTTAAGTTTGTCGTGATAATGGGGACTGAGTGAAAGGGGAGTTGAAGGGTGGTGGTGTAGAATCAAATGAGATAACGAGTGACAGAGAGACTAGCTCAAAGGAAGGGTGCGCAAAGCCAGAAATTCGCTTATGACATTGAAGTTGTCAATACCACGAAGGCGAAGACAAGCGAATGCACTTGCAACGACGAAGAATGAGGTTATTGTCGAGTCGTCGCTGGTGGTTGAACGGATTGAGCGGCTAAGAGAAGTGCAAATCGAAGAAAGAGAGAATCGAAGGCGAGTTGGACAGACAGACCAGGCACCGGACCCATTGAGCCAGTCCAGTCAGTCAGTCTCTGGCTGGGCTGGAGGGCGAGATTAGAGGGACTAGACCAAAAGGCGAGACAGGCCAGACTGGAGAGGAATGGGTCGGGCAAGGGAAAGAAAACGCCAATTTGCGGGTGCCCTCCAGCACTTTAGCGAAACGGCCAGGAGGGGGGACTGAGGATGGGCCAACTCGCCTTGCTATTCGCTCAAGCCCTTGGACGCTAGCTCGCTCATCTGCTCTTAGGAGGGTATCCCTCCGTGACTCGCATTTCCTGCTTCGACTCCCAACCGTGAACATATAGACTCAATCGAGGCTTATGGCCGTGTCTGGCTAATGCCAAGAATTATATCCGGCCGCTGGACTGCATTGTAAGCATTTACCCCAAGGGGTGATTACATCTCTTGGTAAATCAATGGTTTCTTCCGTTGTTCCAAAGCCCTTTTTTTGCGCCCGCCAGCCCGCTTGACTTGCATGTTGGACAAAGAACGTGGGCTTTCAATGATCGACACGGTCGAGAACACTCACTTCCCCTCCGGCCTCTCTATACATAACGTAAGTACCATGTACTGTCTGCGTACACTCTGACCGTTGGGATGCTCCTACTTCTCTTGGCCATGTGCGCTTTTACGGAAAATTGAAATATTGCATGACCTTTAGATCCCAGGATTCCTCTAATGAAATCCCGTTGGACAGAAAGTATCGTGCCGCTTACTGTTGCTGTTCAATCTGTCATTCATGAAACCACGACCCAATCAATAGACAATGTTTAACAGCCAATTCTCTTGGCATTGAAATCCGAACTCACGGGTATAAGCGCAACAACGCCAGAGGCCACACGGGTCTCACGTATCTGAGCGGCGGCTGCCAACTTAATTTAAGACTCTGCTCCGAACCCCGCCTTGCGACTTCTCGGCACTGAAGAATAAAGAGTGCCCGAGATGCGCTACCTACCGTCGAGTCTCTCGTGACAAGAGAGCGTTCCCGAAGTGGCAGCTCCCGGGGGGCCACGGGATTGCGATAGCTCGAGCTGGCAGACGTCACTCTGAATCAAGTCCGCGCAAGCTACAATTGATAGCTTTGCGATGTGTCTGAGATTGCGAAAGAAGCAAGACAAGATGGGCTCTCTTATAAACCCATCTATCCCATCTTCTATGCCTATGCATCTTGGTCTTGTGCTACTGATCTCGATGTCAGGGATTGCGGCACTTCGATTGAGATGGCAGTTCCCATAAAAGGCAAAAACCTGTGCTCTTTTCGGCATGTGTTATTAATTGGGGTATTGCGACACATACCTTGGTTGCTTGGTGCCAGCATATGTTCAAAGCGCAATTAGTTAAAACACATTGTCCTCTTTTGTTTCTCCTCCACTACATGAAGATTTCGTCAACAGAGGAGAGTTTTTGTTATTCTCTTTCAATTTGTAGTAAAAGCCAAACCAAGGACTACTTGACACAGTCTCTGGGCGGCAAAGAGGACTATTGCAATCTTGAATCAATTCGGACGCATTGCTATAACTTGCGTGCTCCTGTGTAAGAGCTGTGACGCCGACCTACAAGGCTGGCATAATTGACATTGTATCTCGTCTGTTTCAAGTCTCCGCTGCACTTGCTTTGTTGGCATGCACCGGCCATTATTTTCGGCGCTGCTGTAAAGTCGCTACGACATAAGTATATGGCAGTCTTTGGATTCCATCGTTTTGGCGACTCTGAACCGTCTTCAGTGGACGAGCCGAGTAAGCAGAGCAACCCAATGATTACCGAAGCTTAAATCGTACAAACATTACAAAGACACACACAACCTGCCATCCTGCTTTGCCTTGGTAGATAAAGTCTCTCGTCGCGAGATCATATTCGACCCAGACAAGCAGGAAAGCTGAACTGGTGATGGATATGTGCGCGGACAGTCCCGCCCCCGCCGCTTAGCGACAGCAGCACAACTGAGTGGATGCCATACGGGAAACTCGAGGATCTATATGAAAAGTTGCGGCCGCTTAGACTTCTCACCTTTCCAGGCTCGAGTGGCATCTCGGCTGAGTTATTAGCCACTTGGTCGTATGTGACTGCGCTCTGTGTGCTGCTGACGTGAGGCCATCTCCTGACCATTGTCCGCACAGCACAGAACGGAGCAAGAGCACGTCCGACGCACGACCTGCGGCGACTGGAGCAACGTTCCCCTTCGGAGGGCGCCAGGTGGCTGCAAAGGACGATACGGCCGGCGGGCGCTGTCGCAAAGGAAAATGAATTTGAGTTGTCAACACAAAGCGGAGAGGCCGCTAGCTTGCACCGCCTCGCCCGTCGTTGGAGCATGGACCCACTGGCCGAAAACCAATGATGCTGCTATTTTTGGTTGCCCCTGGAGGAAAAAACAGCCCCTGATTGCGCTGTGCCCAACCGTCTCTGTGGATGATCTCGGAAGACAGCAACAAGCTCGTATGCCAGCAAAGAAGGCCATAATGAGGGCCGTTGTGCAACCACGAAGTGGTGATCCGTCCCTAATGCGACGAAGAATTGCGAGTGAAGGGCAAGTTGATTTGTTTACATACATCGATTGTGGTGACTACCAGCTTATTAGGGCGTTCGGCAAACTAGATTGATGTTTAAATATGAGTTGACTTGTCTTGTTTCACCTGGCTGCAACTAAACCATTTCCAACCGGACCTTCAGTGGAGTGTTGGAGGCAGCCACTACCTACCTAGGTACCAACCGGTCTCAGTCAGCGCACGCAAGCGCCTACGAGAAATCGCTGCGTGACAGGGGAAGTGCTGCGCTAGGGCTGATGAGCCTCGACAGGTCAGAACACTGTTGTTATTTCTGTGTATTGCTGCCCTGGCCTAAAGGTAAGGAAGTCGGTTCTAGTGTGATGCTGCGGTAATGGGAGAGTAATAGGACCAGATGGTAATGTACCAATGCTGGTTCTTGCTCATGGCGGCGGCTTGCGACTTTTCGGTTTGGGGGGGCCTGCGTTCGCGGATAGACAACACTGATGAGGGAACTTGTCCAGGGCAAAACGAGGGAAAAAGAAAAAGAAAAAGAGGGATACTATACTGTGTGTGTATGGACGCGGGTTGTCGGCAGATCCATATTACATACAGAACTAGCTTGCGATTCATGCGCTGCTCATTGGGGGAGACCTCCGAGTGGAAGAAAACAAAGAAAAAGGAGAGGCGGTGACGTAGGAACCAAGCGCTCCAGTGAGCCAGCCGTACACTGAGCAATAGCTGAGACATTGGAGTCAAGAAACTGGATTGGGGGTTTTCTTCATGCTAGTAATGTAACCATGCTCTGGGTGCCATATTCTGGAAACCTTGGAAGAAGACCAGCAAAACTACGTAGGTTACAGCGTGCTTTGCATTTGCATTACCTACCGTTCGGCTTTTCTCTGGCGTACATAGTAGATAGGTATGTAGTCCCAAAGACAAAATACACTTGCAACAAAAGAGCACGTTTTGAGCATCGCATGGCGAATTACCAAGTGCACAGAAGGGATGGATCCTGGCAACCTTGAAAAGCAACCAGGACATGGTTACCTGCTTCGTGTATTGCTGGCATCATCCGGGGGGCAATGTAAAAGAAGAGGGAGAAGAAAGAAGAAAAAAAAGGGTGGACGCGGCGGCCAACTCGTGTACAATCTGCGTCTTCGCGTGTCTAGGTAGCGGCTAAGCCACAGTCAGTGTGCTGGTGCTTTTTGGCCCAATTAGCATCCCCTATCCCGCAAACTAACAGCATAGACACTGGACTTTTGCTTGAACTGATCTGGGGGGTGGATGCTGATCCTGACAACCCTGAAAAAAATACGAGACTTGAATCTCTAGTATCTCACTTTTCCTTTTGAAGTCCTCTCGTCCCTGTCTCTGCTTCTGCTTCAGCATTTTTGTTGCAAAAACTCCCAAGCAGCTACTCTTCTGCCATACGGAAGATCTGGGTGTGATTCATCACCAAATTCAAAAGACTCTTCGCGGTCTTCTTTCACCCACCTACCACGCGCTTTCTGCAAGCAGGGTGCCCCATTCTTTCTTTCTTTGGGCCTCGTGCTAAAAACTCCTTTGTTCCCCCAAGCGGAGAGCTCAGCTGTCAACCCCTGGATCCTGCTTTTACCCCAAAAGCCTGTCTGGCTACAAACACCTGTGACCACCTTCCTGCCGAACAACAACTTTGAAAAAAGCTTGTTGCAGACGAAACCTCCATTTAAACAGTCGAAAACCATCGTCTTTCGTTTTCGATAAACGGCCTATCGTGCCGTTCCGCAGATATGGCTTACAATGGCGCGGGCGGCGGCCATGAGTATGGCGGTGGGCACCAGCTCCAAGACATGCCTGCTGGCAGCACCGTAAGTATACAAAATCAAAAATCAAGAAATTGCCAAACGGGAATTATGCCATCAATCCAGCCAGCCAGCTAACCTGCGTCCTTTTCTTTCTCCCATATAGTACCATCTCCCTCCTCACGACCAAGACGAGGATGAGACCGAGCGTCACTTGCTCGGTCAGGCACCGTACCAGTATGACCAAGATCGCCTCGGCACGGGCACTCCTCCTGCACGACCTGTCTCTGCATACAGCTTGACCGAGTCGTACGCCCCCGGCGCGTCTACCACACCCGTTCCTCCGCAATACAGCCAGGGCTACTCCGGTGATGGCTCCTATGGCGTCTCTTCGGAACTTGGAGACGGTGGCTTCGGCTATGGCAGACCCGCTTCCACCGTTGACGGTGACGAAGCTTGGGTCCGACGTCAGCAGCCTGGCGGGCCCAGCAGCGGCGGCGGCGGTTTGAAGCGAAACCAGACCCGTAAGGTCAAGCTGGTGCAGGGCTCAGTTTTGAGTATCGATTACCCAGTACCCAGTGCCATCCGAAATGCTGTCCAGGCCAAGTACAAGGATGTTGAGGGCGGAACTGGCGAGTTCACCAACATGCGTTATACCGCAGCTACTTGCGACCCCAACGACTTCACCCTCAAGAACGGTTATGATTTGCGACCAAGAATGTACAACAGACACACGGAATTGCTCATTGCAATTACCTACTACAACGAAGACAAGATGCTTCTGTCCCGTACCCTCCACGGTGTCATGCAAAACATCCGCGACATTGTTAACCTGAAGAAGTCCACCTTCTGGAACAAGGGAGGTCCCGCGTGGCAGAAGATTGTTGTCTGTATGGTCTTTGACGGTATCGACAAGGCCGACAAGGAAGGTCTTGACGTCTTGGCTACCGTTGGTGTGTACCAGGATGGTGTTGTCAAGAAGGACGTCAACGGCAAGGAGACCGTTGCCCACATCTTCGAGTACACCACGCAACTCTCCGTGACGCCCAACCAGCAGCTTATTCGGCCCATGGATGACAGTCCCCAGACGTTGCCACCTGTGCAGATGATCTTCTGTTTGAAGCAGAAGAACACCAAGAAGATCAACTCTCATCGTTGGTTGTTCAATGCCTTTGGCCGAATCCTCAACCCCGAGGTCTGTATTCTGCTCGATGCAGGTACCAAGCCCGGAGCCAAGTCTCTGCTCGCTCTTTGGGAGGGTTTCTACAACGACAAGGATCTCGGTGGTGCTTGTGGTGAAATTCACGCCATGTTGGGCAAGGGCGGCAAGAAGCTGCTGAACCCATTGGTCGCTGTCCAGAACTTTGAGTACAAGATCTCCAACATTCTGGATAAGCCCCTAGAGAGTTCGTTCGGATACGTCTCCGTGTTGCCCGGTGCTTTCTCCGCCTACCGATTCCGTGCCATTATGGGTCGTCCTCTGGAGCAGTACTTCCACGGTGATCATACACTCTCCAAGATACTGGGTAAGAAAGGTATCGAGGGTATGAACATTTTCAAGAAGAACATGTTCTTGGCCGAGGATCGTATCCTCTGTTTCGAGCTGGTCGCCAAGGCTGGCTCCAAATGGCATTTGACGTACATCAAGGCTGCTAAGGGTGAGACTGATGTTCCCGAAGGAGCACCCGAGTTCATCTCGCAGCGACGAAGATGGCTGAACGGTTCCTTCGCCGCCTCTCTGTACTCGCTGATGCACTTCGGTCGTATGTACAAGAGTGGTCACAACATTGTCCGCATGTTCTTCTTCCACGTGCAACTGATCTACAACGTTGCACAGGTCATCTTTACCTGGTTCTCTCTAGCTTCTTACTACCTCACTACAACGGTTATCATGGATCTTGTCGGTACTCCCACCGCTCCTGGCCCTGTCAGCTCTGAACGTCATGGTTGGCCTTTTGGTGATACGGCCACGCCTATCATCAACTTGGTCCTCAAGTATCTCTATGTGGCTTTTGTCATCATGCAGTTCATTCTTGCTCTGGGTAACCGTCCCAAGGGTTCCAAGTGGCAGTACATTCTGTCATTTGCCTACTTTGGTTTCGTCCAGATGTATCTGCTCATTCTGTCCTTCTACCTGGTCATCAATGCGTTCATCACCAATCCAGACATCAATCTTGGTGACGATCTAGCCCAACTATTGACAGGAAAGTCTCAGATTGCTATCATCTTGCTCGCTCTGCTTGCCACGTTTGGTCTGTACTATGTCGCCTCGTTCTTGTACCTGGACCCATGGCACATGTTCCACTCCTTCCCGGCATACCTGGTTCTGATGTCGACCTACATCAACATTCTTATGGTCTACGCTTTCAACAACTGGCACGATGTTTCTTGGGGTACCAAGGGATCTGATAAGGCTGATGCTCTACCGTCTGCGCAAGTCGTCAAAACAGAGAAGGGTGAAGCCGCCATTGAGGAGGTGGACAAGCCGCAAGAGGATATTGATAGTCAGTTCGAGGCTACAGTCAAGCGAGCCCTTGCACCCTTTGTGGAGGTTGAGGAGCGCGATGAGAAGGACTTGGACGACTCGTACAAATCTTTCAGAACTTCTCTGGTCCTGGCCTGGCTCTTCATGAACGCCCTTCTTATTGTCGTCCTCACCAGCGACAGCTTCAACACATTTGGTATCGGAGTAAGTCTAGCAATGCACAACCAAACACCCTCTTCATGAAATTCGCTGAAGCTAACCTGCAACAGGCTACCACTACCGCGAGAACTGCATCCTACTTCCAGTTCCTGCTGATTTCCACAGCCGTCCTCGCATTCGTCCGTTTCGTTGGTTGCTTGTGGTTCCTTGGAAAGACTGGTCTCATGTGCTGCTTCTCGCGACGATAAACTGGCTTCTGCTGGCAAGCCGCAGCGGTCTATAATACCCGCCTTTCAAGCAGCGCTTGGGGCTGATTACGACGAGCATGTGGCGTCTCCGGGAGTACAACAACTAACTGCTGCTGTACTGGATATGAAATGGAAGATAGATCTTTCGGTTGGGATCTAGGATGTACCATGGTCAATTAAAAAGAAAAAAAGAGGGTGCGCTGGCTCCGAGGATCAGGCACTCTTTCATGCAATGAGTGGCATTGTTTCAGGCGTTCTATAATTCCCTTTTTAGAGACCAGATCCGGTATTTCATGTAATTTGTCACGAATACATAATGCATTTTAGTACAAATATAAGCTTTCTCTCTTATCGGTATCGTTGATGCAGCTTTGGCAGACGTAACACACCTCAAAATGTTCACATATGCACACTCAAAGTAAAAATCAATCGATGTTGTTTGAACTTACAATGTCCAAGCAAGATGTAGGACGGGGGGAGCACGTGAGCGAAGCAATCAGGCAACTCAAATACTCATCCGTTATTTTTAATCTTGCTTGATTTTGCAGTGACAATAATCGTGCACGGGCCATGTATCTGCCTGACTCGGAAGGAGCGTTTACCAGGCTGAGACCCAAACGGCTTCTTTGTTTCCCCCAGGACGTGGCGAGGCTTGCCTAGGAACTTTTTATTTTTTTAATCTTCGCGTTGCGTCACTCCGTATACATACTCTGGTTCTTGTACTTTGGACCTTCATGAATTCTGGGACTTCCATCTTTCGTGAACAATAAGCAACAAGGACAACGGAATCTGGTCATCTTTTTTTTTGTCATTGACCACTACCTGACAAGGTACCTATCTACCTTGGCGGTCTACCCCACCAACCAGTGACCGACCACACGCGACCGACCGCCACAACGTTGCGACTTATCGTCCCAATCTCCCCGCGCCGTTATAGTCACTGAAAACATTCCTGTGTCAATCAGCTTTTTCCGCGGCGATACGTCACACAACCGCCAAGATGTTGAAGATCTGGTCTATGGTATGCAGTTGCGGCGATATCTCTCGACAGACCGGCCGTGGCTAACAGCTTGTAGAAAAAGGAGCAGCAAAAGGCTGACAACGCCGATGCGCTGAGCGGCAAGAAGAGGAAGGTCAAGGCTGCTGAGCTGCGAGTTCACAAGGGTAAGACGCACACAATCTGAAGCGACTGAACCGGCACGAGTGGTAGCCATCGCTACAAGAGACTGACATGCTTCGTTTGACTTGCTAGATCTGGCCGAGTTGTCGTTACCCAAGACCATGAAACTCGAGTATGCCGACCCCGACGACATTCTGAACTTCAAGGTCATCATCACACCTGACGTCGGCTACTATGTTGGCGGCCAGTTCTCCTTTGACGTTGCCGTTCCCCAGTCCTACCCTCACGAGCCGCCCAAAGTCCGTTGCGAACCGACCATCTACCACCCCAACATTGACCTGGAAGGCAAGGTGTGCCTGAACATCCTGCGAGAAGAATGGAAGCCTGTCCTCAACCTCAACGCCGTCTTCATTGGCCTCCAGTTCCTCTTCGACCATCCCAACGAGCTGGACCCTCTCAACAAGGATGCCGCCAAAGATTTGTCGGACAGTAAAAGGAATGAGAGCTCGCGCCGCGGCAAGACCAGCTTCGAACAGAATGTAGCGACCTCAATGAGTGGCGGCAAGTTTGGGGGAGTCGAATACACGCGAGTCTTGATCGATTAGCACCTTGACGAACTCGGAGTCATGACAATACATTCGGCCCGCCAACTACGCCGGTACCGCCTATGATGCCGGTCAGACTGTAGGTTCGGCGGTTCAAGGCAGCTCAAGGCCGCAGTCGTCACCTGCGCGATCCACGAAGTCCGATATCGTCGGCCGTCCCACGCCGATTATTGCAAATCACCTACCTAGTCTCTATAATCAGGCTCGGCGACTTGCGCAACTTGAGCCTCTTTGGCATGTTCTCCCAACACCTCCCTCTGGCGGCCAGGGGATTGAGATCAGGAGCAATGGGATTCTTCCTCCTTCCTGACACATAGATTGAAGTTGATGCCGGGGGTCGTCGTCTTTCGAGGCGGCAAATCAATAGTACGTACCTAGAACCTAGAAGTGTTCATACATGCATTTGCTTGTGGCGTTTTTCTTTCCCAGCAGCGCACAGAGAGACAGATAAGACTGTCACGATGGAGATTTCGTCAGGTCTGGCATCGAGTCATCATGTCGCAGGTCAGCGTCTGTCACATTTTGTTCTAATTTCCCTTTTCGCAAGCAAATTTGTAGCATGGCATGGCAATATAGTTGAGTGCTCACCCATAGAGATTGATAAATATTCGTTTGAGACTGCGATCTACAGAGGTGTATCCGCAACATTTCATGCCCAAGTGATGTTTGATGACCTCGGCAACCACCAAATACGAAGCACACGAATAGTAAAACCAGATTATGATTGTTTTGTTGTGATTCGTCTCTTGTAGAGTCCCATGTTCGGCGGGCGCGGCCAGGGTATGGCTGCCGTTCTTGGTGTCTAGTTCTAGTGTAGTGTAGCGCAATATCTACGTACCTATTGGGCTCCATGCACTGGGTGACTGGTCTGACTGGGGACTCGGTAAAGTACGGAGCAATGAGTTGGGGAGGGCCAGCCAAGGAAGGGGGGAGAAGATTGGTCCAACGCGATCTCGCATCCCAAAATCCCACTATTGCTTAGGGAGACAGCGGGCGTGATTGGTCCGACCGACGGGCGCAGGGTGTCGATATACCCCAGTGAGCACAGGCCAATTGGACAAGCTAGGTAAGGTTCATGTCAAGGACTCAGAATCCACACTGGCTTCACCGCAGACAGCCCGAGCGCCGAAGTCGCTGGGCAACTGGGGAGCCACTTGGGAGCACCAGCTGCTCGACGCTCCGATCCCAGAAAAATTTCTGACCGAGCTTCGCTCTACTGAGAAAATAGTACATAATTGTCCCGTCAGTAAATAAGACATCGTCTTCCTCATTACCTGATCCTCACCTCCAGACAGATCTCCACTCCCACAATACACACCCGCAAAGATGGCCTCCAAATCATTCTCCAAGGCGCTCCGCTCGCCCATGGCCCGCCAGTTGGCTGCTCCCGCCGTCCAGCGCCGCACCTTTGTTGCTGCTGCTTCCGGCGCCGTGAGGGCCACTGCCGCCAAGGCTGCTGCCCGTCCCGTCGTTGCCAGACAGCAGGTCCGTGGTGTCAAGACCATTGACTTTGCCGGTGTCAAGGAGGACGTCTACGGTAAGTTTTAACTCGCTTCTTTGCTCGCTTCCGCTTCCGCTTTCGCCATTGAACCCCGTGAAACATTGCTCAAGCTCGAGAGCTCAATTTTGGCTGACGAAAATTCTTTTACCACTACAGAGCGTGCCGACTGGCCCAAGGAGAAGCTTCTGGTGAGTCATTCCAAGTTCAAGTGGCAATTCAATTGAGCACATCTACCATCCCAAAGTGGCTCAATTGGATAGCTTCCTTGATCAACTCGAGAGATATCAACTCAGATGACTGACAATCAATGTAGGAGTTCTTCAAGAACGACACCCTCGCCCTCATCGGCTACGGTTCGCAAGGTCACGGTCAGGGTCTCAACCTCCGTGACAACGGCCTGAACGTCATCATCGGTGTCCGAAAGAACGGTCAGTCGTGGCAGGACGCCCTGCAGGATGGCTGGGTTGAGGGCAAGAACCTGTTCGAGGTCGACGAGGCCATCTCCCGCGGTACCATCATCATGAACCTGCTTTCCGATGCTGCCCAGTCCGAGACCTGGCCCGCCATCAAGCCCCAGCTCACCAAGGAGAAGACCCTCTACTTCTCCCACGGTTTCTCCCCCGTCTTCAAGGACGTTACCAAGGTCGATGTCCCCAAGGACATTGATGTCATCCTCGTCGCCCCCAAGGGTTCCGGCCGTACCGTCCGCTCTCTCTTCCGTGAGGGCCGTGGTATCAACTCCTCCTTTGCCGTCTACCAGGACGTCTCTGGCAAGGCCGAGGAGAAGGCTGTTGCCCTCGGTGTCGCTGTCGGCTCCGGCTACCTCTACAAGACCACCTTTGAGAAGGAGGTCTACTCTGACCTCTACGGTGAGCGTGGCTGCCTGATGGGTGGTATCCACGGTATGTTCCTTGCCCAGTACGAGGTTCTCCGTGAGCGTGGCCACAGCCCCAGCGAGGCCTTCAACGAGACCGTTGAGGAGGCTACTCAGTCCCTCTACCCTCTCATTGGTGCCAACGGCATGGACTGGATGTACGAGGCTTGCTCCACCACCGCCCGCCGTGGTGCCATTGACTGGACCCCCAAGTTCAAGGATGCCCTGAAGCCCGTCTTCAACGACCTCTACAACTCCGTCCACGACGGTACCGAGACCCAGCGATCCCTCGATTACAACGGCCAGAAGGACTACAGACAGAAGTTCGAGGCCGAGATGGAGGAGATCCGCAACCTCGAGATCTGGAGAGCTGGCAAGGCCGTCCGGTACGTATATTTTACACCATCATAGTCATGGTTCTTTCCCCATTGTCCTTGCGAGAGCAATTTTTACTAACATAATTTGCACAGTGCTCTCCGTCCCGAGAACCAGAAGTAAGCGGTTGGTGTTCAATTTGTGATAGGTTGGTATCTGGATGGAGGGGCATGATTGGCTTCTGCTTGTACTTGTACATGGGGATTCCCATGAAAAATCTCATGAGGAATCTTTGGGAAACGGGCCAAAAAGTTATCTATTTCGGCTCGACTTGATTCGGGTGTTACACAATAGAGCGGGTTTCTTTCTGGCGTCTTTCAAAAAACCAGCAGCACGTTATAGCTGAATGAGACAAGGTCGTACACTACCTGTTTTTTTCTTGTTCCTTGGATTGACTGCCCTGTCTCCGCTATCGGATGCAGCTTGTGATTGGCAATTGATGCAGCCTCATTCGATACCCCAGACTTTTCCCCTTCTTCCAATAAAGCGGATTGGTCGCTTGCCGCCGGGCCAGTATCCCGTTATATCTCGCAATCCGACTCCTAGTCAATAGGTGGGTTTAGTTGCATCGGTTTCGGTCGGAGGAATAATTGACATCGGTGGTTTCGGTCGGAGCTATAGTTGCCCTCTTTGAGACTTGTGCAGCCCGTTATGCCGAGAACGTCCATCGCCTTCCATCGAAGCCTATAGAGTCATACAGTTTTGAAGACACGGCTTTTTCTCTCTTGTAGTTAACAAGTTGAAGCGTCTCATAACATTGTCTAAAAAAGACCAGCTATCTTATCTAAACACATGGGCATCTCCAGTTCCCCCGCTCTCTCCACCTTAAACACTCTATACCAGGTTCCCCAAATCTCTACGCCTCGTGATTTTCTTATTCCCTCGTAATATTATTCCCAATTCCATCACCAGAAACCCCCCAAAAAAGACGTTGACGAGGGAGACAGGGAAGAGAAGGCTTAGATACATCAAATTCCTTATTTATCCTCCTCTTACACCAAAAAAAAAAAAAAAAAAGGAAAGAGAGAATGGCCGACCCGAGCACATCTCCACCGCTGACGCGGGCCTCGGTGGTGGCGGCGCACGACCTCATCAAGCCATATGTGCACCACACACCGACGCTGACCAATGCAACATTGACGCGGCTGGCGAGCACGCCGCGGACCGAGGCCGAGCTGGCGGGCTCCGAGTGGGAGGAGAAGAAGAAGAACAAGGATGGGTCGACGACTACGAGCGGTGGCGCAAAGCCCATCATGCGCCTCTGGTTCAAGTGTGAGAATCTCCAGAGGATTGGCGCGTTCAAGGTGCGAGGGGCTTTTCGTAAGTTGGACCTATTTCTTATTTTTTTTTTTCCCCCTACTCCTGTTCTATTGCTCCCCAATTCGTGGTGCATGAGTCTATGAGCTCGGCTGTACTAGTTTATCAGAATGATCATGATGGGAATGTGATCAGAGAGATGGGGAGTGGCAAGTGAGACAGATGGGTGGGTATATACATATGTATCCCCCATTCGCCGAGATAGAAATCTTTCCAGACGAATGGAAAGTCAAAGTCTACAGCCAGGGAGGTTTACGGGCATGACCGAATCACCTGCTCGTTTGTAATCTCGCGAGACAGACGAAAGACGATGCTAATATCCAGAAACTTGCAGATGCTATAGAACGGTTGAAGAGAGAACCCGGATGGGAGGCTGGCGGCGGAGTAAATCGGGGCGTTGTGACGCATAGCTCAGGTAAGATCATCTATATTTCCTTCTGGGGAAAACCCCCCTTCCCACCTTTGACTGTACAGGGGAATATATCGCGCCCTGGAGAGGGTACCCTGGAACCTCACACGTGGGCCTTTGAATACATCAAGACCCAAGAGTTTCTACAACTCCTCCAACCCCCCCCCCCCCCCCCCCTCTCTTCTGATGGAACTATTACTCCTTCAAGATGCAAACCTAATTTTTACCTTTATTCCAAAACACCGACTGATGTATACCGCGTAGGGAACCACGCGCAAGCCCTGGCCCTTGCCGCCCGGACTAATGGCATCCCGGCCTACATTGTGATGCCCTCCATCTCGCCGCCGCCCAAGATTGCCGCCACGCGCGGCTACGGTGCCAACGTCATCTTTAGCGGCTCGACCTCGGTCGAGCGCGAGGCCGTCTGCGCCCAGGTCATCCAGGACACGGGCGCCCGCCTCGTCCCGCCCTATGACCACCCGGACATAGTCCTGGGCCAGGGCACGCTGGGTCTCGAGCTGCAAGAAGACGCGGCCCGGATGATGGCCGAGGCCGAGAAAGAGGCCTCGACAAGGTCACCACCACCGGCCGACGGCTCGGGCTCGGCGAAAACCACGACGCCTGATGGACTGATGCAGCGCGGCGGGGGCAAAAAGGGCCTGGACATCATCCTGGCCCCCTGCGGCGGCGGCGGCATGCTCTCGGGCGTGGCGCTGTCGTGCGAGGGGACGGGGATCCGCGTCTTTGGGTGCGAGCCCTCGCACGAGGGCGCCGACGACGCCAAGCGCGGCTTCGAGAGCCCCGACGGCCGCCGCGTCGAGGTGGTCAAGACGCTGACCGTGGCCGACGGGCTGCGCACCCCCGTCGGCGCCGTGCCCTGGTCCGTGATCCGCGAGCGCGGCCTCGTCGAGGGCTTCTACAGCGTCTCCGAGGTCGAGATCAAGAGGGCCCTCCGCCTCGTCCTGGAGCGCTTCAAAATGGTTGTCGAACCCAGTGCCTGCGTGCCCTTGGCTGTTGCTTTGTATAATGAGGATTTCCGGGCCCGAATCCAGAGAGAGTACGGTGACGGTGGTGCCAATGTGGGCGTTGTGTTTAGTGGAGGAAACCTGGATCTGGAGGTTCTCGCCAAGATTGTCATGGAAGGGAAGACGGAGACGGAGAAGAAGGAGTAAAGAGGAACGAGCTTTAGATTTCCAAGCAAGTATAGATTGGTTGGCTTGAGGGTACACATTGGATTAAAGTGGAGTGACGTCGTAAGGATAGAAGCTGCACAAGATGTTACAACGCATTATAGAAATTGTCATGGTACTCAAGAAGGCCTGAAAATCAAGAAGCTTAGATCCGTGAAAAGAAGCAATTTTTAGAAAGCAAGGACGTTCTCATTTATCAGTAATGCTATCCAGGTCACAAAATATTTATAATACATCTTCAATCATCTGCCGAATGAAGACTTAATGTCTGGTGGTAAACTTTTTGTTTTTTTGTACTCATTCTATTTTTCATTTTTTGCCCTTCTAGAGTCATCTTCAAAAGACGGCGATACTTACAAGGGCAGTCTCTCATGCTTGAATCTCTTCTGCCCCTCACCCTCGCCGTAATTAGCCGTCAGCTGTCCAGCACCACGAATCTTGTACTTGTAGATCATGAGACCCTCGAGACCGACGGGGCCACGCGAGTGAATCTTATTGGTACTGATGCCAACTTCGGTACCAAAGCCATAGCGCATGCCGTCGGCCAGGCGCGTGGGTGCATTCCAGTAGACACCCGCAGCATCAATGGCCGACATGAAGCGCTCTGCCAGCTCCTGCGACGACGTCAGGATAGCGTCCGTGTGCTTGGAGCCGTGTGTGTTGATGTGGATGATGGCATCCTCGATGCCAGAGACTGTCTTGACTGCCAGGTCCAGCGACAGGAACTCGGTGTCGTAGTCGGCGTCTTGCGCGTCGACAATGAACTTGTCGGCCCCCGAGAGCTTGCTCGTGAGCGCGTCCTTGCTCTTGTCGTCGCAATGAAGAGTGACACCCTTGGCAATGAGTGCCTCGGCAGCGACAGGCAATAGTGTAGCTAGGGCAGACTCCTGGACCAGCAGAGTCTCCACGCTGTTGCAGGCGGCAGGGTAGGTAGTCTTGGAGTCGACAAGGACGCCTGCTGCCAGCTTGGCGTCTGCCGACTCTTCCAGGTAGATGGAGCACAGTCCATCGGCGTGACCCAGGACCGGGATCTTGGTAGATGACTTGATGTATCGTACCAACTCGTTGCCGCCCCTGGGAATGACCAGGTCGATATACCTGTCCAAGCCAAGGAGCTGCGGGATCACATCTCTCGTCGTGACCAGCTGCACGGCACCATTGGGCACTTGTGTCTGCTCCAAAGCTTGAGAAATGACCTTGGAGATGGCAATGAATGATTCTGTCGATTCCTTTCCACCTACGGCAAAGTCAGTCTTCTGGACCAAGAAGGAGGCTCAGGTACTGTTGAATTTGAAAAAAAAAAAAACCGCACCTTTGAGAATGGCTGCGTTTCCAGACTTGACTGCTAGCGAGGCAATATTGGCAATGACTTCCGGTCGTGCCTCAAAGATGATTAACAAGACGCCAATGGGGCAAGTAACTCGTTCCAAATCCAAGTTGTCATCCAGTTTTGTCCGCAACGTGACTTTGCCCACTATTTGTCTCTACTGTTAGTGGATGCTTTTGTCAAGGTCAATTACATGACCCAGCTGCCATGTGAGGGAGATGTGATAATCGGGATGTCTTCTCAGACATGTCAATTCACTTACCTGGATCTTCCAAATCCCGAACATCGAGTATGCCCTTGAGCATGTCCTCCCACTTGCCCTTCTTGTTGAGATCTAGGCGGGCGACTAGGCTCTGGCTCAGCTCGCCGTTGGAGGCGGCCTGGCGAGCGAGCTCGAGGTCGCGGGCGTTGGCGGCGAGGATCTCGTCCCGCGCCGCCGTGAGTCCCGAGTGGATCGCCGTCAAGGCGTCGTTCCGTGCAGACGCCGGGAGGGTAGCCAGAATGTGGGATGCACTCTTGGCCGCCTGAGCAGCGTCCACTGGAGATGCGTTGGTCAAGGACATGATGAGATTGCCGGGGTTCCTTTTATTCCTGGGCCTCGTCTCTTTCTCTTGTTCCTGGTCCCTAACTGCCTTGAAAGATATGATAGGGAATGTCTGTCTTATTCAATATCGTTGAGGTTGACAACGTACGTGGGCGTTTCTTCTTCTTCTTTTTTTTTTTTTTGTCCGTCCTCCTGCCGGTAGGTGCTAATAGCGGGTGGCTCCGAAAACCGCAACCGTTCCCCGGATCAGTCAATCAGTGGGCAACAAGCTTTTTCTGGAGTTGCAAAGCGGCCAAACGTCGTCAGCCACCTTCCCAATCGTGTCCAGTCCCGAAACCACTATTATTGACGAGTTTTGAGGAATAAATGGTGTATTACTATGCAATCAAGAATATTACACATTTCTGTTTCTTGCTTTTTTCTTTTTCTCTTTTCTTTGGGCGAGATTGACTCATCGAGGCTTCCCAACTGACTGTATTGTTGGCCCCACTCAACGAAATCGCGGAGTTGGGCTCCCGCGCCTTCTATAATACATCTCCACCACCAACAAATGACGAAATAGGTAGGCTACCGAAGAGATTCTACGATATAATTTCTCTATATTGTATTAGTGATTGACATATCATCCTATTTATGATATAATCATCAATTATGACGCGACGTGGCTTGAAAACATACTGTTATTTTGAAACAGGTCGGCGTGTGCGAGCATAGCATTGTTAGACACCTAACCTTGGGTATATGAGGTATTCTCAAAGGTCGAGACCAAGCCTAGGTTTGTTCTTATAGGCATCTCCAGCTTCATCCCACCATCCCATGACCACAATAGTATTTCGAGACTGCAGCATATCAGCCATACACACATATATAAACAACCACCGCCTCTTATACTAACTCAATATATATCGCCATGCTTAGCTCGCTTTCCGCAACGAATTGTAGTGCTCTCCTAGACCGTATCCATGCCTGTAATATGCCAACCATATCCGCGGCGTCTCTCCCGGCGCGGCGCCGGTACCCGGCTCAATCGTTTCCGTCCGGCCATCTTGCACAACCTTGATCTCGACGCCATATGCGTCGGCCAGCGCCTTGAGCTCCAGCTGCCCACCCCACTCGGCCGTGTCCCTGATCTTGCGCACGTATTGCTCAAAGTCCTCCTCCAGGAAAGGCGCAAAATCATCCCGGTGATCTTCCATGTAGTCTGTTGCCCTGCGCCTGACCGTCTTGTACGGTGGCTGGCCGTCCGCGTTGCTGGCGCCGCTGCTGCCCAGCGCCATTCCCTTTTGCGAAAGCTGGTCTGCCACGGCAGAGAACAGGCAGTGCCCGTCGGGCCGTATCTCCTCTTCTACCAGGCCATTGGCTTCAAACTCCCGCAGCAGGTACTTCTTCTCGACCGCGCGGTGGTCCGTCATGTTGCTCGCCTCCTCTTCAGCCGCAACAGCCGCGGCCTCTTGCTCCGCGCGACGTCGGGCCATACGTTCTTGTTGCCGATTGCGCTTCTTTCCAGGACCACCTCCTTGTGTCTGTGCTCCGTTCGATATCGATATATTCTCCAATTCGTCCGCCAGGCCATCCCGTCCTTCGTCCTGGACAGCAGTAGTGCCATTGGTCTCGGGGTTTGTGGCCGCCTGTTGGGTAGCTTCCTCTTGATCTAGTTCCTCCCGGTCATCGACTTCTTGCCTCTTGTCCCCATTCAGTACAGCCAATTCCTCGCCCTGCTGCTCTCGGAGCACCCTTTCGAGCTCGGCGCACTCGTCATTGACGCCTTTTCGTGTCTTCTTGGTCGCGTTCTTCTTTTTGTTGGTGATTCGCGATTGGAGGTCTCGTTGCTCCTTTCGGTGGCGCGCCTGCATGGCCTCGAGAGTTTCCGACCCCGAGTCCATCTTCGTTGAATGGGCGTGTAGCGCCTAGAACCAAGAAAACTTAAAAGACGATCGAAAGAGGACTTTGTCTTTCTATGGTGGCCCGAGGATTGAAAACTAAATTATATATAGAAAGTGACAAGCTGGATAGTCGAGGGACTTTCTTGTTGATTGAAACCGTGAAATAGTTGCAACTAAAGCTGTTGAATTTGAATGAGGGAATGTTCAGATATTTCTTCGGTTCGGCACGGGGAGCGTTGCTAAATCGGTACCTTACCTAGTAGACAATGGAGGGGCATTTGGCGGGGCTCTTCAGTCAGTGCATGTGGACTGCAACTTGCGCCAATACACTCGCTACTGTATAATAATAATACACAAGTAGTCCAGGCATTATACATTTGGCAACACCAACGTATCCAATGATCCTGCCTACTTGGCTCCAGACATCTCTCGATTCGTCACACTGAGGTGAAAAAAGCTAATATGCATTTAATCTCTTTTTTATATTTTACTATATACATTATAGAGCATCAGTCTATCTTTGGAGCGATGTCGCATATGTGATTGGGTATATGTATCGTGGCCTTGTTGGCATCACGGAAGCCTTTAATAATCCAGGCCGTAATAGCCATGTCTGTCCTTTGGCCTTCTGCCTTGTCCTGCCCCATCTAATCTCCGAGATGAAGGGCGGCCGGGTTCCCCTAGCCAAAGCAGTGATGCTAAAAGTGTCTAGAAGAGGGTGAGAGACAAATGAAAACTAATGGAGTTGTGACGACTCCTTCGGCCGTGGTCGAGCATGCTCAGAGTTCCACTCCTAGCTATAATTTTGGAAAAAACAAATGTTGCTTCAAGAAAAATCCAAGAAACAACTGGGTATCAGGTAATCTCAGCGCCTATTCTCTCTCATGCGAGATCAGAATCCTTTGAAGGGATCGTCCCTAAAGTAATCTTCCTCATCGCCCGCCCTACTTCCTCCATAATAGTCGTCTGTGCCGCGCGCTGAACGGGGTCCATAGTTATCACGTTGTCTGCTTCGGCTCCTCTGGCGGCGAATCTCCTTGCTGCGTCTACGAGCTCGGTATCGGAGCTCTTCATCTTCGGGATACTCATCGACTCTGGGAAAGGCGAGAGGGCTGATGAACGCCTCCATACGGATTGTACCAATGGCTTCAAAGAAATTATTACCCGGTCTTGAAGAAGCGTCGGATGTACGTTGCGAGCGAGACGCCGCCGAGCTCATGGCCCAGGTCGAGTGTCCGTTGGTGGATGGTTGATAGAGGTCTGATGACCCAGTTGTGATGACGCTGTTTCCAGCCGTGCTGTCAGTGTATCGATGATGCGAAGGTTGTGGCGATGAAAAGCCACGGAAAGACAGCGGCGGTGGGATGTGTCCACCAGTGTTGCTTCTCTTGCGACCGTGGAGGCCCGCCTGGTTGGCTCGCTCATGCACTCTTTCCGAGGATCTGTCGTGGAATCGAGGTATCAATGGTGGCTCTGCTACATCCCTCGAAAGATCGCGCTGGTGATTCAAGGCTGCAGACAAGGCATCAGTCTTGAAGTCAATTGCTTCCCCGAGCTGTCTCGGGCTTGTAGCAGAGTCAGATGGTGTTGTTGGGCTCCTGCTCTTTTTAAGCATAATAGAGTCGCGAATGCCGGGCTTCTTGGCTTTGGATGGAGGCGGTCCAATGTTGGGTGCCAGAGTAGGCGCTGGTGCTAATTTTGCTGCTGTTGGGCCCGTGGGAGCAGGTGCCGCTGGGGAGATCATATCCGGAACTGCCTGCTGCGAATGGGCCAAGAAGGCCAAAGCCGTGAGCCACAGGTAGTGTCTTTCTGCCGATACAGCTGTAAACTTGAGCGCCCTTTGAGGCGTTAGGATGAGTATAGACCGGTTGAAAATCTGTCCTGCGCCTCTAGGCGGGGCGTTATCGTCTTTAACATCCAATACTGACTGGATCGTCACTGTAGGCAAATTTTAGCATGGATACTGGAGAAAAAGAACGAAGAGCATGTCAACACAGAAAAAACTCACATTTTCGGCCAGCCTTGCCCATGAGGGCACTGCCAGATGATGGCTGTTTGCTGCTCCAGAGTATAGCACGTTCGTACGGTGCCAGCCATACCCAACGCTTGTGACGGTCATTGCTGTTCTCCTCGGCCTTTGTTTCGGCCATACCAAAGGATTTCCTCCTCCTGACATACTTGAACATCCACTCTCCGACCATGGTTTGAGCAATGGCTTCGACAACGCCTGAAGCCGGTTGAGATGGTTGAGAGCTGGCAACAGACTCAACCGCAATGTTATCATCGGTGTATGCCGTCGTGACTGATGGTTGGTAGCGATGACTTCTGGCTCGTGGCGCTCTGCTCTCACGTCGTGGGGTTGTTATATCGTTTCTTGGCAGCGGTGGTAGCCCAGGACTCTCAGGTGCTTCTGATGGGGTCATCGGTGGTGGTGAACGGCTGTCTTGTCGATATCGGGAGCCACGTGGCAGAGCCGCTGCGGAACGGGCCTTGCGTATGCTGTTGGATCGGTAGGACCTACTACCCCTGGCGCTCCGTCGATGCCGTGGTTCTCCGAACCTCGTGGGGCTGCGTTGCCCGTCGCTGAAATTGTTTACATTGATACCAGGCTGACGCGAACTCGCCCTCGTGGGAATAGGGAAAGGGGGGTCTTTCATATTCTGCAGACTAGGGCTCCGTGAGCGCCCTTGATGAGATGCTATCCCATTCTGAATCATGGCTGACTTGCGCATGACGCCAGTGCGATATGACGAGGGTTTATTGACAGAAGGCTTACGGCCATGTGATTTCCGTTCATCGCCCATGCTGAAGCCATTATAGGCACTGTAGGCACTCATTTGCTTGATAGTGTTTCGTGCTTGCTTTAGAATAGCGGGTGCCTGGTCGATGGTCGAGGTTGTTACGATTGACTCGGTCTGTCGATGCTTGCTTGGCTTTGACTGGGGCGAGGACAAGGCAGTGCGGAACTCGGAATCGCTGCCTGCCAAATCGTCCTCATCGGAGCTGGCTTCCTCGAATCCTGTAAACAGGCTGCTGATCCGGTGTGGCCGTTTGAAAGGCGCTTTTTTGCTCGACAAAGAACCATTGTCGTTGTTACCGGGATACGCATCACGAGTTTCTTCTGGGGATACGGGTCGCGAAGCAACGAGATCCGATGTAAAACTTGGTTGGCTGGTCAGCCGACGAGGATTCCGAGGAGGCAAGTTGCCGGGCAGTGGCGTGAAAGTTTTGAGATCCTCGTTGGGCATGGCCAGGGGAGGGTTCGGTGAGACTGGGCGTGACGAGATGGCCGAGGGGTGAAGATGAGCGGGTAATTTATCAAGACGTGTATCGACTCGAATTTCATCCGTCTGCATGGCAGTCGATGTGGTTGGTACCGGCTCGAGGATAGTCACTTGGCAGCCGAAATCCTTCACATATTGAGGCAAACGATGCGGCCGAGGAGATGATGCCCGAGATGTTGGGGGATGAATGCTGATGCTGGGAACGAGAAGTGGTGAGGCCGAACGAGACTGTTGCGTGGGAGATGGGTAGACATCGGTTTGTGTACCAGAGGTGATCATGGGCGGCCTAGTTGCTTCCAGTGGTTTCACCTCGACTGTCGGCAACGAGACTACTTGTAATGGCATGACTGGAGTTGCAGGAGGGCTAAGCGGTTCACTCAGAGTTTGAGAGCTTGTGGAAACCATTGATCTGAGCACAGGTGGTGGCTCAATTGGCACAGGTTTGGCAGCGTGCACACGTTTCCTGCTTTGATTGGCCTCCCATTCAGCCTTTGGTGCACCATCGATTTCAAGGGGTTTCCCAGTCTTGATAGACTCTGCCATTGCCTTCACTGGCGCCATCTTCGGCGAGGGCGGCGGAGAAAATTGCACACCGGTGTCTGTATACTCTGGCTTCGGAGCCGGAGCAGACGGCGTTTCATCATCCTCACGGATTCCACCCTCGAGCCTGTCGAGCACGGTTTGATTCATGTACAAGCGCCCGCGTGCAACACTACCTGGTCGAGCGTAGCTTTCGCTACTCAAGTTGCGACGGTGCGTCTTCTGTGCCGTCTTGGACAAGATACTCTCTCGGCTAAAGTTGCGCACATGGTGACGACTTTGCTGAGACATGACGCTTTGCCTGCCGTCAGGCTCGGTCTCGTATTCATCGTCATCGTCAAAGTTGAGCTCATCCGCAAGACTATGACCGTTCATCTTATCTGGAACGACTGAGTATCGCACGCTGGTCCCCAAGCTTCTTATGCTGGCAGCATCATTATCTTTGGCCCCATCCTCTGGGTCTGGGTCACTCTGCTGTTGGCGCTGGCTCTGTGATGCCTGATACTGCGCCACTTCGTCAAGGATAGCTTTGAGTCGGGTATCTGCGACATGGAGTTTTCTCTCGTATTTGCGGCGCTCCTCCTCCCATTCATCTTTCTCTTTGACCCACAGCTCATGAGTCCTTTGCGAGTCTTCTTCCTGGCTGCGAGCCTTTTTCTGTGCAACCTCGAGCCGTTTTTTGGTGTCCGTGATGGCGTCGACAGCCTCATCACGTTCCTGGGACAATTCACCTAGCGCAGAAGAGGTGCCTCCCTCAAGCAAGGCGAGCTGGCGCTTTAAGGAACGGCTCTCCTTGGCATTTTTGAGCAAGTTGGACCGAAGAGACTCCTGCTCTTCGCGTGAGCTGTGCAGCGTAGCTTCGAGACCCTCAATAAACTTTAGCTTCTCCTCCTGATCTCTTCGCAAAGAGAGAATCTCAGAGACGAGATTTGCGTGGAGCGTCGGTGTGAATCGACGAGGGTCTAGAATGCTAATCGATTCATCCACAACGACATCTCTAGAGGATCGTTTCGAATGTCTATCATTCCTTTCCGATGGCAACGGCGGCGGGGGGGATGAGCTGATCTCGGGTGTTGCTGATCTTCGCGATCGTCTTGAACTTCTAGATGGTGTCCGGAATGGCGTGTCGGACGGCGTGGGCAGGGTTGCTGCAGCGAGGTCACTGCTCAGCATGTCCTCAGGCTCAGTTTGATATCCCGGCATTGTGTCTGTCGGTTTGGTCCAAACGTTTCTTGATTCTGCTCAGTCAGAACCGGCCACAACGGTGTTGCATGCTATTTGTCACGCAAGCAGCACTATAAACACGCGGGATCGCTGCTTCGAGTCTGAGGAGGAGACTGATAGTCTCTCGACTGACTGAGACGCAATTGACTATATTTTTGCTTGCGATAACAGCGACTAGGGTGTTGTTGCCTTAATATAGGAGTGAGACTCCAATGGCCCCCGTCTATACTTGACTGGCTCCACTATTAGCACTGCACTTCGTCGTAACGCATGAGCATTGTGAATCAGGCACAGCGCAAGGGTCACAGCTCAGCCTATAACAAACATACCTGGCAAATAGAAGGGACAAGCTATTGAGTGTGACAAAAGTAACACAAATGCTGAAAGAGGTCAGCGAGCGCCTCCCAATCATACATACGCTGACCGCCTCCACACTCATCCACTTTGAGGATTGCTTCTATTGGGATTGACGAATGTGAGGTACTTACCTGAGAAACTGTTGTTGCGTAGTCAAGACCTTTGGGCTTGCATTTGATTCGGGTGCATATCAAATCTCAAGAACTGAGTCAGTTCTGGGTGAACATGGTCACTGGGCTGAGTTTCGTGGACGTGTTCATGCGCAGACAGGCATTTGTTCGGCAGTTCGAGGCGCAGAAAATAATGGAGTCCCAACTAACACCCGGAGAGTTTGTTGGTTACGCACAGTATCTACGAGGGTAGAACTTGCGTCACCTCTCTGCAACGTTTGCCGTTGTGAACCAAGCTATGAGGTCAGATCCGAATGGGGTTGTAAAGACACTGTAAAAGAAGTCCTGGCAGATAATGGTCCACTCGAGATTGAACAACACAACCGGGTCTGGTTTCCAATACGAGATAATGGGCGAGTCTTTTGGGTCAAAAACGGCGTAAAGAGGTCGAGAAAAAGAAGAAAGCAGCTTGATCAGACTGGCTGTTCCGATTACGTTGACAGGTCAAGTCTCAGGAAGTTGAGAGCTGCGAGCGGAGATAAACGGATTGTAGGAGCTTGGGAATGATTCCCCAGACTCGAGTTGCCGGAAGTCGCGTCCCACAAGGTATTAGGAAGAAACTTATCGTCGTCGGTCGTGTAAAGAGGAATTGGATTTGGCGAGAGTTTCAACAACGTACTTGTGAAAGTACGTGGCGTAAAGATCAAGCAGACGAGCAAGACACGTCGGTCGGGACGATATGAGAAGTGGTCAAGTCAGAGTCGATTATTGCGTATGTATGAAATGACGGCTCTCGCAAGCTGAAGCACCGGTCATTGGGCAAGAACCAAAAACGAAGAGAGGGAAAAATGGGAACATTGAACGGAGGCGCTAGGTAGATGTTGTATTACACTACCATGGCGTGTAAATGATACCCACTCAAAGTTCTCCACGGCCTAAAATGTGCAGAGAGAGAAAAGAGAATGAGCAAGCCGGGATACACTACTACTACCGTGACACTACGTCCAGTAGTACAGGTGTAGTTGGATCGAAGAGATTTGGTGACAGGAGTACAAGTTACGAACGTACACTGAGGGTGACGATGGGCAAAGTGCCAAGGTGCAACAAGACGGCGACTACTTTTTTTTTGGAGGGGTCTGGGATGGGGACCGGGGATGCGCGAAGATGGACCTGCATTGCAGCATGCAGAGGTGACACTAGTACGCTAAAAACTTGGGGGTTCCACAGCCCACGATGTGCTACCCTCTCCCTGTAATGTAGGTAGTGTACATCTCTCTCGGTCCGTGTCGAATGGAAATGCGTGGGGAGGGGGGTAGGTAAGAATTGGATTGGAATTGGAATGGATGAGATGGATGGGACGGTAATATCCCCGCGCTCTGGCATGTGTCACTGCTATCGAAAGTGTGTATGTGCGAACTACCTACGTAACTGCCACCCAAATATGTAGTGTAATTTGAGGTGTGCCTCGACTCTCGAGTCTTTTCGAATCACTACTACTCTCCCATAAATGATACTCATTACTGGGCACCTTCTGTGACTCGACGACCTTCACTCTTACAACGGTTGTGTCCAGTCCCACGGACCTGTGCGTGTTTTGAATCTTTGTATATTTCCAAAAGCTCGGCCAATCTATCTTCTCAAGTGCCCGAGGTCTTCGCCACTCAACAGCTGCCAGCTGCCCTTCATGGACCGGCGTTATGTGTCGGTGACCAGAAGGATGCAAAAGAAAGCAAGGGAGCAAAGAACATTTGCTTTATTCCGGAAGGCGTCGCCAAGTTGCGAAGGAACGAAACGGCTTCCAAATCTCTGGAATGCACCTGGAAACGACAGGGATCAGGGCAAGACTGAGGGGGACCCTTGAGGAAAATAGGAGAACCGGTGGAAGAAGCTACGCTACATGCATTTGCGTGATTACCTTGAGTTACCTACCTTCTCATTCATATCTCTCTTACTAAAATCTCCAGACGGCGCAGTCTCTCTTTCTCTGCTTTCCCCCTCTAGACAAGATGACGCCAGATGATCAATTGAATTGCCGAAACCAGTATCGAGTAACGGTCTCGTCACAAGTAGCGAGCAGCCCGAATCCATCGCACCGGTGTCCAAGCGATTCCTCCAGTTGCGGCGATCTTCAACTAATCACAAAACCGCCATCGAACAAGAAGCACGTTGGCTGGCTCAGGATTGCCCACTAGCCCTTCAGCTAGGGCCATGCGGGCTGTGTGGACATTAGTCAGGGGTAGCTGTTATGGTGTATGGTAGCGATACCATACGCCACGCTTCGGCCTACAGGGTTCAGTAGGAAGAGCTTGGGAAAGTTTGCCTACTGAAAGGGCAAAAAAAGAGATGACCCAAGTTTGCTCCAACATGAAAAACTAGTCCGGTTTCGTCACCAGCTGATTGTGATATCAAATCGCCCATGTCGATCACTCCAGAGCGAACCCCGAAGAGGTATCACATAACGGAGTACGCGGTCTGAGCACCCATCAACTTGAGCTCTTTCATTTGCCTGTCAGTCACAAATAGAACGCTGTCTGATGGACGGAAAGCATGTCTGTGCCTCGGTCTATCAATAGCTAAAAGAGTGGATATAGACTCTGTACGCTACAAGTGTGTGCAGCCTCTGACAATAATGACTGAGCGAGCAACACGTGCCATGTTAGGCGCATGCTGCACACTATAGCCTTGTCTATACTCAACGACCGCTCCATAAACTTTAAAACCAGCTGCACGAAGCAGTAGTATACGACTTCCTCTCGCAACGCGGCACGTTGGGGCCGACCCGTACTTGCATGGTACGCTTCGCGATGAGGCTGTCCACTAGGATGGTTAGCAATGTTCAAAACGACCGGTCCGCCGCCACGTTTGGTAGAGCAACTTAAAAAGCAACAAACGACATTTACCGTTTTCTTTTTCAACCTACACAGGTACAGTACTATCGTCGAATTGGCCGTCGCTGTTATGATGGCACCCCGATCACGCTGATTACACGAGTATGAAACCCCCAGATTCAACGGGAGAGGGGTACGTTCTTGTTGATATTGATTGACCCTTGCAGCACGTCTCGCCAGCTGCAGTAGCTGCAGTATGTATGTACTCCATTCAATATGCACGTACGACGAAACACAGAAACGCCCGTGGTGCAGCAGAACTCAACCAATCGCCGAGTCCCCTCGGCAATATTACCATGTTCAATAATCTTCACGTTGACCCCTCAGAGGCCGTACTCGCTCGCTGCGCGCAGCATTGGATGAGACTCTTGATGGGCACATCTCCCATGACTTGCAGCTGCGGGCCTGCAAGCACACTCACCAACTCCCATATTGGTTCACGATTCCAAGGACCCTGGTAAACGTGGTCGCTTTAATTTACCACCGCGCATTATCACACCAAGGCACACCACAACGTCTCTCTTGATTCCATTACCGTATGCTCGTCGAGTACCTGAGCAGACCCATTTATTCATTAACAAGGCCGCGAATTCAACCGGAGTAGAGAAACAATACGCGAGTCCCCTTGCTCATCTCCTCCAACTGAATGGAGGAGGCAGGCTTTGCAGGCAGATCGAAATGCTTCTGCGAGTGCGGATCAGGATGATCATAGGCTGATCAAAGAGTATCACCTACCTACTTACCTACATACCTAATGGTAATCTGCACGGGAGCCCAACCTCGACGACCATCTACTATATGCAACATGAATCTGCAGCGGCGCGTCGGCCCTCTCTTGCAGATGCTCAATAACAACCGTCGTGCTACGACATGGAAACTTTCAACACCAGATGCACAGACCGACGGATCTCCCACGTCTTTCTCATTCAGAGAAGCTTTTTCGTCCGGTCGAGATGCCGCCTTAAGCAACCCTCTAGCCAGGGGTCACACGGGGTGCTAACCGCCCAGGAACCACCGCTCCATAATTTCATTAACAAAAAGATCCACCGTTCCATTGTGACGGAATCAAAGCTATGGGCCTCGCCATAGTGCTCAATGTCCATTTAACTTCAGGTAGAAGAGAAGAGGGTACAAGAACACTATTGAGTCTGCTAGAGACATTTTCCGAACAGATCGACGCTGCCAATTTCTAGAACACGTCTATCCGCGGAGCCTCTGGTCAGCGATAATCTAGTGTCCACGCAGTTGACCCTCCTCGGTTCTTATCGCTGTCTGCAAATCTGTGTCTACTTCTCAACCACCTCGCGAGCTTCAGATGAGTAGGCTCATCGGCTTTACCACAATAGCCTGGGTGGTCCATTGTGACCCCAGGACAGGCCAAGGCTGACGGGGCGCCAATATGCTTGCTGTGTTGATGTTACGACTGCTAAAAATTTCGTGACAATTTCGGGTCACAGGTCCAGCGTTGCATTGGGTTCTCTTGGAACACCGGCACAATCCGGTCGAGGCACTAGGTTGCGGCTAGCTGCTTTTCGGCCTACATACACGTACACCATATTCGTATTCCTTGCCTCGCACAGCGGCCGACGCGATCTCGGCTCGAGATCCTATCCATCGCCTGGGCTCACCTCGAGCGAGGATCATTGATTACGAAATTCCAACAAACATCGCGTACCAGGCATTTGGGGTCGTGGACAGGGAACGCTAACGACGCAGCGAGGAGCGAGAGGCCCGTCCTTCTGGTGCTAAATCCCACTTGTTCCGCGCGGCCCGTGATCCTAGAGTCACGCCAAACATGAATAGACTCAACGAATCACCACCTAAGGACCTGGCTAACGTCGTAGGTGCGCTTCAGTGCTAGAAGTCTCCTGCCGATCCGTTCACTTTCATGCTTTCAGTACTGATTTGGGGCGAATGTTTATTGGCGGACCTGCATTATCCAAGCCCAAGGTAAAGAAAACAAGACATGACCAGGAACAGGGCTTGGCAGAATATCTGTTTCAACGCCTATTAGTGTACTTCGTCGTATGATCTGACATGACGGGCTCTCGTTGACGTTCATTCGGCGCGGGATCCAAAACCTCAGCAACAAAAGTAGTTGAAGACTTGCTGGTATCATCACGCACCGGGAGTTATTTTTATTCCCGCGTCTCCCACAATTCATATACTGGAGGCTTGAATACAAATGGCTTGGTAGATCACCCGTCGTTGTTGCATCATTGCAGTCCACTTGTGAGAAAGCGGCATGACTTGCGAGGCGGCAGTTCCGCAACTCAACGACTCGCGTTGTCCCAAAAACCTTTCTTGCCCCATTGTCTGGCTTGCGACGGACTGTGACTCCCGCCTTAGCTGCCAATCTATTCGACTACTAGTCTACACAACGGTTGTTACTGCTACTGTTACTGCTGCTCAATCTGGCTCTACTATGCCGCCTTGCGATACAGTTCCGAGGTCAGGTCTAGAAAAATCGAGGCTATCTCGTGACTCGCTCAGAACATCCGCCTTAGCGAAAACAGTGCCTATGCCCTATGGATAGTCGAGGTTCCAACTCATGCTAGAAAAGTAAAACTCTGCCCTATGCAGTAGGTACTTTTTGACATTGAGCCGCCCCTCGATTAGTGATATTTCTCAAACCTATCTCAGAACGACTTGGTGAAGATAGAACGGCAGTTGCAAAAGCCAAGAAAAACTAGTTCTTCAAGTGCCTAGAAATTGCGAGAATGACAAATGAACACCATGTGACAGTATGGAATTTTGTGCTTGATATCTGGCCTGACCCACGGACGCATTTTTGCGTACATTCGGCGAGTCATTTCTGTAATGCCCTTGCGAAGAGTGAAGACGGCCATCAATACGTCAAGATAGAGCCTGGAACATGAACTCTTCAAAAATTGTCCAAATTCTACAGCCCATTCTTCTATGACATCACAAGTTATTGACATGTCCTCGAAGTTATCTTGACCGGGTCTGAATGCGGAAACTGCTCTTGATGAAGACATAATATTACTTCACTTGGTGATGTCACATTGTTCTCAAATGACTTGGGTCTTCCCAAATGGTTATGCTATTATGTCCCCCACACACATGTTCTTGTTCATGAATCTTGACTCTCCTCTTCTTCATCTGGTGAATCGTACTTCGCGGATGCCTTTTTGCTGATATTGATTGGGTATTTGTTTAAACTTTCGTACCATTGAATCACACTTCCAATCTTTAGGCATCATTATATCAGTACAACAAATCAACGATTGCAAAGAGATATTCACATACCAAGAAAGCCCAAGATCCGATAAACGTGGCCAGCACCGAAGCATAGGCGGCTGACTCATTCTCACTGGCAAAGCCCAGGGCACCGCACAGAGTAAACCCTATAGCCCCGACTAGGTTCCAAAATCCAATGTGCCAGCCCAATGTCCCCCACGCGGGTCGGTACCAGTTGGGCTGCGTCTCGAGCATGAAGAGCCAGCCCGAAATGATGAAACCGCTGCCACCCACGACCTGCGGGAGCCAGTATATACCGTTGGCAACCGGCACGGATAAGGCATCGTAGATGGGCGGCAGGCCGGTGAGGCCGGCGATCCAGAAGATGGTGGCGCCAATGAATTGCGCGAGACAGGCCAGGAACCCAATTTCTCTAAAGTAATGTGTCCTCAGTTCCTCCCGCGTGGGCCACCATGCCCAAGACCTGTTCTCGGCTGAGGCGGGAGTATCGCGACCACGATGCGTCGTGAGCAGCGACTTGGTCTCGGCGTGGTGGTGCGAGCAATTGCCTGGCCGGGGCCGAAGGCGCAGTCCGTCCTCGAGGGCCTCCTCCAGCGCCCAGCCAAAGCACTGCGTCCGGCTCTCATTGACGGCCTCAAACATGAGCAGCACGGAGCCAATCTCGAAAATGGTGGCGCCGATAAAAGCCGTGATTCCGCCCCCATAGTCTACCTCGCCGCCAAACTCGGTATCGGGGCTCTGTTCGGGTAGCCATACGAAAAATCCATTGAATACCCATATTATCGAGCCTGAAGTCATGGTCAGCCGTCGACCATATTTTGCAGAGTCGTATGAATATCTATAGAGCAGTTTCAAGACTCACCGAGTGTGAATATCGTGGCCACGTCGTAACTGACATCCCAGACGGGATAGCACGCCACCATCTTCCAGAGACCGCGCATCACCCCTCTTGCGGAATTCGACACGTCTGGGTGCGACACTGCAGTGGGACCATTCGCCGTATGACCACGACGCGGCGGCACGATGATGGCGTGGCGACCTTTGCGATTGTCGCGAGAGCGCCATAGGTGATAGACACCCGTAGCTGCGGCTGCCGGCGCCGCATCAGTGGGCTTGATGGGCCCACCATTGCCCGGCTTGGCGTCCGCTCCCTCCGACTTGGCAGACGGGTCGACTTGGTCCTGGCCGTCACGGGCATCGGCAGGTTTGATGTAGGCTTTGGTGGGGTTGAGGAACGAGACGGGCCCTGCGACGCTGTGCGCGTGGCTCGGGTGTCTTTGAGACTGTCGGCGTGGCGCCATGGTGTCGTTGTTGTTTTTGGAACTTCAATGGAGCCTCGTCTTGCAATCATGAATGGATGTCTCGAGGAAATGCGGTATGTTTTTAGCCCTCCTTTCTGTTTTCGTCAAGACAGCATGGCTGCTCTCAAGTTCCTCTCATGTGCAGATGAATGTCTTTACCGCAGGTGATTCTGACGAATGTACGACTACCGAGGCCTGTCCCAGAATCCGGTTCCGCGATGTAATGCCAGTACATTTACGGATATATGGTGCCAAGGCATTCTTCACGCATCCAAGTGGCTCAATCAATTCTGGCGGGAAATGTTCCGTGCCTGGGGGAAGAAAAACAATCACACGTGGTTTCACTCACACGTCATTGTTTTCCAATAGGTGAGGACGAGATGGGCTTAGCGGGCGGAAAGACTCGCTTACAGAGCTACCCCTGCTCTGCTTGACCTCTATTGTAGAATACATACATGATCTCCATATTCTGTATACTGTTTTGCAACTAAATCCTTGAGCCTCCTTTTTGTTCACACTTCCATGGACAAGGAGATCTCGGGTAGATATTAAGCTTCCAAGCATTATTGCATTGTTCAATAATCATGCTGGAAGCCAAGAATCCACGCCATAGAGTCTCAAGCCGACGAGCTCGGCTTCGGCTTGAGTTTGCGTGCTGGAATCCCGGTCCATAGACCTCCATTCCTATTTATCTGCTCGTATGCAAGTAAAAAGTGATGCAATTCATTGACATCGTAATGTCGGTGCCTAATAATGCAAGAGAAGCGGGATGTGATGTGCTCTTCCGTCCTGACGTGACTGGCGCCCGGAGTGCCCTCAAGCAGTATAATGCGGAGTTCGGCATAATCTAAACCGCCTGATCTGACCCGGCGAGCGGCCGACTAATCCACACCGATACACTGCAGCTCCGTCGAGTTGTCAGCACCCGCATATAATGCTCTCTCGACAAGATTGTATTTTTTTCACTTTTTTCCCCTTCCGCTGACTTTTGAACGTACAAATTGCAAAAAAAAAAAAAAGTCTGGAACGGCCATGGCTTTCAACTCATCTTCGGATATCCTGGTCGAGTCCAGCATTGGACCCTCGGCACCATACAGGTTTGACTTCACGCTCGCCTTTGAGAGTATCATCTTGTCCATTGTGCCCTCAGCTTTGTTCCTCATCGTAGCTCCCCAGCGCCTCTTCTGGCTGATCAAGCAACCCCGCAAAGTCACCAAGAGTACACACTCTGTCTTGAAAGTGGTCGGTACCAATTACTTGCAGCGTCTGTACAACAGAATGCTAATATATGACTTCCCGTCTCAAGGCGCTTATTGGAATCTATACTGCTCTACAACTTGTTGACCTTTTATATTTGGCTCTTGGATCGTCGGTCATCACCACGGCTCAGATTGCAGCCGCCGTGCTCGTCTTTGTAAACGGGCTCCTGCTGTTGCTTGTGTCACATGCTGAGCATACACGCTCAGTCAGCCCGTCGACACTCATCAACGTGTATCTCTTTTTCACCTTGCTATTCGACTGCGTTAATGTCAGGACATTATGGCTTCTTCAAAACGTCGACATCCTCGCGAGGCTTGTAACATCGGTTGCTGCCATTAAATTTCTCGTTCTGGCGGCCGAGGCCTGGGAGAAGAGATCCATCCTCCTGTCCCAGTATCGAGAGCTGTCGCCCGAGGTGACGAGTGGGATTCTCAGCCGGACGGTCTTTTGGTGGCTCAATCCGCTGATGAAGGCTGGCTTTGGTCGCTCGCTGACGGAGCAAGACTTGTATAGTGGTACTCGTCTCGCTTTGAGATTTTCGGTCGCTAAAATATCCTAGATTTCCCATCCACGAAAGTCTGGAGGCGACAAGATTGCTTGAACGATCACAAAGTGCTTGGGGCTCAGGTATAGAGTAAATCCATCCAGAGCACGCATAGCATATACTGACGAGACAATAGCTAATAGATCCAAGAAAAATGCGCTCTTTCGATCGACGCTCATTGCCTGCAAATGGGTTTTTCTCTCTGGCGTGTTTCCTCGCCTCTGCCTAATAGCGCTCAAGTATACCCAGCCCTTTCTCATTTCAAGAACTACAGACTTTGCAGGGGATTTATCGCAACCAGATGAGATAGGCTGGGGTCTCACGGGAGCATGGCTTCTCGTTTTCCTTGGATTGGCGGTAAGTGTTCTCTTTTATGTCAACTTCTTTCCCTATTCTCGCGATTTCAAGACTTCTAATGATAGTAATAGATAGGTAATGGGTTCTACTACCACATGACATACAGGTAAGCATTGTGCTCATCATGTGAATCTGACATGTGCTGACTCCCCAGATTTGTCACTGCAGTAAGAGGAAGTCTAGGTGGCATGATTTATTGCAAGACATTGGATCTCAGCACAACTGCTCTAGATGAGTCCAGTGAGTTCTCGCCGCTGGCTGTGGGAGCAATCTTTCCACTCACAATTTCACAGTCGCCGTAACCTTGATGTCAACCGATTCGGAGAATATCTGCCTGACCTTTGCCAACTTGCACGAGGTTTGGGCCTCGCCTATCGAATGTGGTGTGGCCTTGTATCTCTTGTATAGAAACCTGGGTCTGGCGGCATTGACACCAATGACGGTAACGATAAGTCGGTTTTCTCCCGTCACCGAACAGCACCCCAGCAAACACCAGACTAACCTGATCACAGTCGCCACTGTTTCCATCATGCAACTTGCAAGATTCATGGGAAATGCTCAAAGAACCTGGATCCGCGGCACGCAAACCAGAGTCGACGTGACTGCGTCGATGCTGGGATCCATGAAGGTGTGTATTCCCTGTCCGAAATTCAACGAAATACTAACAACATACAATTGACAGGAGGTAAAAATGCTCGGTCTCACCGATCTATTGACCCAAACGGTTCAAAAGCTTCGTGTAAAGGAGCTAAACTTGGCGAGCAAATATCGAGGGCTGCTTAGCTGCCGAGTATTCCTTGGTAAGACATCTCACTCTGGTTCAAAAGTACGCGCAATTGACGATACCTAGGAAGCAGCACGGTGACAATTGCGCCCCTGGCAACTTTTGCGACTTTTGTCATCATTTCCAAGGGGACCGGTCAGCCTCTGGATGTGGCTTCGGCATATAGCTCCCTGTCTTTGATCTACCTCTTATCGGATCCGATAGCCACTGTCATTCGCACGATTCCCATGCTGAGTGCAGCCAAAGCATGTTTCGAACGCATCCAGAATTTCCTTCTCTCGGAAAGTCGCGAGGACATGCGGCAGTCCTTGAGCCAGAGCTCGAGTGGAAATGCTTCATCAATATTCGAGGAAGATATGTCATCGCGGAACTCGGTTTCCATCCAGCTGCAAACTCTTCGAGCACCATCAGAAATTCACCATGGGGCACCGTTGATGATGTTGTCCAATGCAAGTTTCGGGTGGTCAGCCTCTGAGGCCCCTACGCTGAAAGACCTTTCCTGCACTATCCCCGCTCAACAGTTGACATTTATTATTGGAAATGTTGGTATGTACCCCATTTCACTCCCGCTCTATCACCTGACATACCACGTTCCGTCACAGCTGATCCAAGGCATCAGGTTCTGGAAAGAGCACGCTTATGAAAGCATTGCTTGGAGAAATTCGGCCTATAAAGGGGTCCATTCACACCGTTTCGCGTGATGTTGCCCTGGCTAGCCAAGAACCTTGGATACAGAACTTGACGATACGTGAGAATATTCTTGGGGCTGCCGCCTTGGACAAAGCCTGGTACGAAAGGGTCATTTCGTCGTGTTCACTCGAAAGAGATATGCTAGAACTGCCAAATCAAGATGCGACAAAAACGGGCAGTGCTGGAGTCTCTCTGAGTGGAGGACAGAAACAACGACTCACCCTGGCGCGTGCTATCTATTCGAGAAAGAAGGTTGTTTTCCTTGATGACATCTTTGCTGGACAGGATGGGCGCACGGAAGAACACATCTACCAAAGTCTTTTCGCAAAGGACGGATTGTTTCGAGAGATGGGCACGACTGTGGTCTGCATTACCAATACAAGTAAGTCCAATTAAACCTCGAATATATTGTTGGTAGAATACTGACTCCCCTGCGCCATCATTAGTTCACAGACTAGCATATGCTGATCATGTCATCGCACTCGATGAGAGCGGTCACATATTCCACCAGGGCTCTTTCGAGGAGCTTCAGGCAAATACCAACTATCTACATGGTCTGCAAGTCAAACAGAATGGGTCTGATCAGCCAGAGGACACCTCCGGCCACCAAGATATGGACATGAAGACGGTGCCTCGACGCCCGACCACGGATGAGCAACTGCCCTCCACGACTGGATTTATCGGAGAACTTGCAACGTACGGATACTATCTGGGGTCGTCGCCTCTGTGGTATTCATGGCTATTTGCAATTCTCATTGTCTTTTACTCGGCAGGTTTCAAGTCCACCGAGTTGCTCCTGAGTTTCTGGACTGGCCAGTCCAGTACCGGACAGGAGATCAACAACTTCTACCTCGGGTTCTATGGAATGCTCTCTGGTATCTCAATAATTGGTATCACTGGAGGGGCTTATTTCTATCTCACCGTCATGGTACCAAAGAATTCAGAGGTGCTTCACGCTCGCCTGCTGAATGCTGTCATGGAAGCTCCACTATCTTTTTTCTCCAATACAGATGTTGGCGTCACGACAAATCGGTTCAGTCAAGATATGTCTGTGATTGATACAGAGCTACCATATACTCTGATCGACTTTGCGCTGAATATCACCACAGTGGTCATGGCCGCAGTCCTCATGTGTGTCTTTTCAGGGTATTTCGCGGCAACATTGCCTCCCATCATGCTCTTCTGCTGGGGTAAGTTTAGTGTCTAGGCCATTGCGTGTTTGCAAGTACTAATATGTTTGTGACTAGTTCTTCAGGTAAATATTGACCAGTCTTCAAATTTGCATTCATTTTGAGTACAACGAAAACACGAAGTCGCTTGCTAATATCACTTTTCATATCTAGAAATTCTATCTCAAGACATCTCGCCAGATTCGTCTCCTTGATCTGGAAGCCAAATCACCCTTGTTCACCCAATTTCTCGACCTCCTTCAAGGCCTTTCTAGTGTGAGAGCATTTGGCTGGCAGACGCGATTCAAGGAAAGATATCTCGAGCTCCTGGATGCATCCCAGCGGCCTTATTATTTGCTCTTTTGCATTCAGCGGTGGCTGACGCTCGTCCTGGACCTGATGGTCGCGGTGCTGGCCACCATCCTCATGGTCCTGGTCGTCCACCTCCGAGCCGACTTCTCGCCGCGGTTCGTCGCCCTGGCCGTCCTCAACGTGACGGCGTTTAGCCAGACGCTCATAAACGTCATCAAGGAATGGACGCAGCTGGAGACGTCGTTTGGCGCAGTCGCCCGGGTCAAGAAGTTCTGCACAGACACCGAGAGCGAGAACCTGCTCGGCGAGAGAGCCCCTGTGCCCGAGTCGTGGCCTCTAAACGGACACATCTCCATCAAGAACCTCACGGCGGCATATACGTCAAATGGGGAGCCAGTCTTGCATAATCTTACTCTCGAAATACCCGCGGGCTCTACCGTAGGAATCTGCGGGCGCAGCGGCAGCGGGAAAAGCAGTCTCGTAGCCTGCCTGTTGCGCATGATGGAGGTCAGTAGCGACTCTCGCATCGAGATTGACGGGGTCGACATCACGACGCTTTCGCGGCAGGCGGTCCGCGCCGCCGTCGCAGTCGTCCCTCAGCACCCCTTCTTCCTCAAGAACACCAACGTCCGCGACAACTTGGTGCCTCTGGGCGGCAGGCAGACGGACGAGAGGATCCTGGCCGTGCTGCACCGCCTAGAGATGAGGGAGACGGTCGAGCGCATGGGCGGTCTCGATAGCATGCTCGACATGGACCGCCTGTCGCAGGGCCAGCGCCAACTCCTGTGTCTGGCCAGGGCCGTGCTGGCGGGGAAGAGAATCATCATGCTCGACGAGGCGAGCAGCAATGTCGACGAGCGATCCGAGAGGCTGATTAGGCAGGTGATTCGCGAGCAATTTGTCGGTTGTACCGTGATTGCCATTGCCCATCGCATCGGAGCCGTGGCCGACTTTGATCGGGTAGCCGTCATGGGGGGCGGGAAAATTCTCGAGTGGGATAATCCTCGGACGCTGTTGGGTCGGGACAGCGAATTCAAGAGACTTTGGGACCTCGGATCTGGCTAGTAATCATGCTATGAAGAGAAACAATGAGCTATCCGCCAAGTGCAGCTTTTCGGAGAAATCAGGGCCTGTCTTAGTCTCCCTTGACAGACAAATAATCATGATCACGTCCGTTGAATACAACAAAACTTTCTTTGTAGTCGTAAGCTATATTGGATGGGGGCGGATTGACTAGTCGAGGATATGTGCCAACCCTCCTCTGTGCGCCATTGGCGATGCGGAGGACATGTCCCGAGAAAACCGCTGCGATTGCTACCGCCTCCAGCAAATGAATTTCCTCCGCCTCCAAACGTTACCTATGCCGTAATTCGCCCATCTACATGACAGCCAAGTCTTGAGCAAACTTCCACGAATCATGCCTGACCTACAAGGGAATGGAGGCTCCTCTGTAAAGACTAGCGAAGACTAACAAAATCACCTGTAAAGCAATTCCATCACATATCATAGTCAGTGAATAGCAAAAAAAATCAACAGCCGAAAATATGTGATATATGGCACGAGGGAGTAACCGGTGTTCCTACTCATTCCGATCATGTTGTCGAATCGATGCCACTCCTTTCAAGTCTCAAATAGCCTACTAACTTCTCAGTTGGCAAAAGTCGAGTTGCTGCCGAGTTCCTCGGTTAAAAATTGGAGATGTTTTTGAAAGCGATATCATGATGATCATATGCCATGTTACTACAATTTTCAAAATCATGAGATTGACTCAGACCTCATTGAGAACTTGGGCCTCGGGAGCATGAAAGCTAGTTTGCTCCGATAGGAGGTCAAATAATTAATAGATTGCATTGCTATGGTGATAGTGCCGGGTAGTCACGACCCTCCCTTGGTATCGTTGCCGATATAGAGGAAATTTCCATTCTTTTGCCGACAGGATTGATGGGAGAAAATCAAGCTTGTGGTCGACGTGATGTGTCCACGGCTATTGCATAACAGCAACAAGGCTTGGACACGGGGAGAAGTCGGGAGCGAGTTTGTACCGATGTCAAGATACCGCAAGCAACACCTCCATCATGAGTGAGTCTACGAATAAACATGCCAGTCACTCTGCTTGTCTTACCTACCGTCCAGGTAAATTATATAGTCGTGCACATTCGTAGTTCTGTGGCCGTCGCTCCCGGGGCTAGGCGAGCCGCAATTCTTGAAATATAGTAACACATTGTGCGGTTGGTCTGGCCGGCTTTCCTGTGACTCGCATGTTTTCAGTCGTGGCGTAGGTAAGACATGCATTGGTATACTTTCTAGCTTTCTCGATCATGCCATGTAGACGAGAATGCACCACTACATGCGGAATAGTCATGGCGAAAACCCAGATATCCTGCTACGTGCAGTCACCTGTACCGCGCCATGCTGTTTAGTCGCGCTGTTTGATATGGGGGGGGGACTTTTGGCTCCCGCCTGCAAATAAAGGTCAGAACGGATATTGGCGGTTGTTCATTCCTTTTGGGTATTAAGATTTTGTGTTTCCGTCGAAAATGCCTGAGGCACGCTTTCCTCATCAATGTCTTGGAGGGATACCGTCCACTGCTATATGCAGTGAGTTATATAAGACATGATTGCCCATATTAGTTTGTTCATTGAAGTTTGCAGATATTTGTTTTGTAATCACTGGTTACATAGAAATCCAATTTATATTGCAGCCAGTCATTATTGGAAAGAAAACACATTCAGTAAATATTAACTCACAATGAATTTACATAGTAAGTATTAGATGAATATACTACTTGGGAAATGGACTGCACAGTTTCAGCTTAATTGTACTCGCTTGTGCCGTGCACTGAAAAAGAACATCTGCTTACTGCATTCACCTCCTTGGCTCCTGCAGGTAATTAATATTATATATGACCAATATAAAACTTGTATAGTAGCCTCTATTGACGAGTACCATGCACGCCATGGATGTTGTCTCCTCACCAGGTCGAAAAGCATCGAATGCCAAGTGAAGTTGTCTAGAAGTCGGAAAAGCTCCATATCTTTCGGTCGTCTTCTGTTGTGAGATCCCGGGGATAGCTTTGTTGGCATTCTTGCAAGGATGTCAAAGCCATAGCTATGAGGATGTCCGTGGCATATTCTTTGAGAAGCACGTTGGATTACGAAATAGACATGATGATAATTATGATGTGATCTCCCGAGTTATTGACGGGGGACAACGGGAGTGCTCCATCGAGTACGAGCGGCAAGCGAGGGTAGATATATATTTATAGGTTACATCGTTCGAAAAGTACCTCTAGAACATGGGAAGTGTTTGCCGTCTGCAACATGCGCATCATAAGAAGCAGTCGAGTTTCATTTGAGCTGGAGAAAGAGTGAGAGAGGGCAATCCAATATGATGGAAAAGCTGCAGGGAAGCATGGGATCAGCTCACTGTCAGTCGCTCCTTGTCAGAAAGAGGTGGCCATAAGCAGGAATAGTTGCGACGCACGTCCAGGTATAGTTTGGAAGGAAATGGTGACGGAATAAGAAAATAGTTTTCGAAAAAAGAGTTTACTTTTACATCACATTTCGCAATTCAGGCTGCAGAATTGACAGGTCTCAGCCAGAAGCCTGGTCGACATGACATGACATGACATGCAGAGACGGCAACTCCCCACTCCGCTGTCCACGATGTTTAAAAACTGCATAACCTTAAATTTTATATTTCCTGCTCTTACTTATGGGGGACTTTGAGGACGAGGATTGCTCGTCAGCCCCAAGCAAGATGTGGTAAGAAGCAGTTCATCCAATCAGTGGCTAACGTTATTTGGCGGATGCAAGATATTCCTCTATCAGAAATAGAGAGATTGTGCGTGTGTGTACGAAGGTTGTGTGTGTGTGTGTGTGTGTGTGTGTGTGTGTGTGGCTGGCTGACAAGAGCCCGCGAGCAGTTCCCAATGCGGACGAGAGGCCGTTCCTAGCATCATGCAACTCCAGTACTTCCCAACATATCAGACCAAGGACGTTGAAATGGGAAATAATCCATGACCGCATCTAGACCTAGAGATAACCGCGCAACCACTTTTGATATCGGCTGCGTACAGTTTGTAGATTGTTTGCAGGTGCCTTCGGCATTTGTCTTTTGCCTTGTATATATATGACAAGCGCTGTGATATCTCACAATCCCCCCCCTTCCTCCGCCTCCCTTGGCGCGGGTATCACCGAGTATAGCGGTTGTAAAACACGGCCATCTCCGCACGTGGAGGTGACAGGCATGCGTCTTACCTGCAGATAGCCATTGGATTGCATTTGCTTGGAATTTGCTGACTGGTGATGGGATGAACACAAGCAAGGGGAGAAGAAAAAGAATTCCATGCTATGTGATTCTTCACCGGTCAACTGAAACAGGGCCCATGGCTATATTCCCGGAACCTTTTGTGTTTTTTTTTTTTTTACCTGGGGAAAAAAATAACGGTTAAGCAAAACCGCTGCTGATATGATTGATCAAAGTGTGACTGGGTAGATACGTATGAAGAAGCCGAGTCCGAGAAAAAGAATGATATTTGATACTACCACCATGCGGAGGCCGCGTCGGATGCAAGAAACCAGAGTTTTTGCGATTCGGATATCGTCCGTGTCATGCTGGCTGAGACGCGGGATTGGCAACCGGCCACTGGACCTGATTCCTACCTAGGGCTACCCAGGTCAATGGCCAAGACGACAAGGTATTCGATTCGCAACCTGGGACGCTGAGAAGCTTATATTTGGTCTAGGCTTGATCGTCATGTGGTTTTGTGTGTGCGTGCGCGCGCGTCTATACGTCCGTGTTTATTGGCGTCAAGTATTCTTGATAATTAAGTTTTCTTCTTTTCTGCCTTGTCCCGGGTGAGGTGTCACAAAAATAATCGGGGCAAAACGGCGCCGAATAGCAGTGATTCGTGCCGCCGCCCAGCAGAGCTCGAACGTTTCGGAGGAACTTTTGAGCAACATGGAGAGAGAAGGAAGAACCACCGAAGTAAGTATTGCCGATCAAATGCGACTCCTCTTCGCCTTGCGAGGCACCTTTTGACGATCTCTCTCGCCGGACGGGACGAGTGCCGGAGAGTCCACACCTGGCTGCCGATGTCCATATCGTCTCGTCGTCGTCGCCTACTTTTCCACTTTGTACGGGATTGGGTTAGATAAGACGAAAGCGAGAGATGGCTGGATCACTGTAGAAAGAAATGGGGGTCCCGGACGCGGACAGGGGAAGGCTTTGTGAACGAGCTTCCGAAAACGTCGTATTGTTCTCGACCTCGGCCGCGGGATTCTAGGGTATGAAACCACTCAGGTCGTTGTGCCCGTTTCTTTTTGGTCAAGCCCGGCATCAGACAGTATGTGGGGAGGAGTATGAGCTGGCTGTCGTCTGCTTCTCTTGTTTCGTTCTTCTTCTTGGAAATGATGTCTATTTCCCATCGTGGAGCCACTCAATATACCTGACCCACAATTTCGTCTGGGACGTCTTCCTTTCTAGTCCCCAAAGGCAACCTAGGGAAATAAGGAGTTTCCCAAATTTGGGCGGAACACCATGGAAGGCTTCCTGAATCCTTCGAGAAGATTATGCTATGTCGAATCTAGAATGTCCAAAGGCTGAAAGGGTGTCTCTCCTCGCACACATTGAAATTTTAGTTTGCAGAGTGAATGTCCTGTTCGAGTCGAGAATCCACCCCCAAACATGTCCAATCTCGCTGCAGCTAGCCCCAGGCAAGGGACGGGACGAAATCCTAAATTGACGGCCAAAGAGTCATGCCATGACAGACGCGATGGGAGGGACAGGGACTTTCTAACTACCTGCCTCATACTTCCAAGCACCTTCTCCCGTCGTCTACGCATCATGGTGGCCTGCGTAGTAGTAGAAGTCTTTGTGGGTTTAAGTCTACCTGTATAGGGCGACCGCTAGTAGTCATGATGGAAGACACTTGAGCACCTGTTGGCGGGAAGGAACTGGCTCTAGAAGGATAGGCCGCTTACTTAAGTGGAGGGAGAGAGTCATGAAGAGACCCCTACAATCATAGTCAATCATAGTCAGTCCCTGCATCAGTGATATGAAA